ATAAAAGCAGATGAATTAAACTTTGTCTTCAATAACGGCCATTTTCACATTTAGAAGTTGTTGGAATTGAAGTGTTAGGCATAACCAAGTCAGTCAGTCAGCCAATGGAAAACAACAGCTTTGTCTATATGAACTATAAATATATTATAGGCCAAATACAGTGAGGGAAAAAAGTATTTGATCCCCTGCTGATTTTGTACGTTTGCCCACTGACAAAGAAATGATCAGTCTATAATTTTAATGGTAGGTTTATTTGAACAGTGAGAGACAGAATTACAACAACAAAAATCCAGAAAAACGCATGTCAAGAATGTTATAAATTGATTTGCATTTTAATGAGGGAAATAAGTATTTGACCCCTCTGCAAAACATGACTTAGCACTTGGTGGCAAAACCCTTGTTGGCAATCACAGAGGTCAGACATTTCTTGTAGTTGGCCACCAGGTTTGCACACATCTCAGGAGGGATTTTATCCCACTCCTCTTTGCAGATCTTCTCCAAGTCATTAAGGTTTCGAGGCTGACGTTTGGCAACTCGAACCTTCAGCTCCATCCACAGATTTTCTATGGGATTAAGGTCTGGAGACTGGCTAGGCTACTCCAGGACCTTAATGTGCTTCTTCTTGAGCCACTCCTTTGTTGCCTTGGCCTTGTGTTTTGGGTCATTGTCATGCTGGAATACCCATCCACGACCCATTTTCAATGCCCTGGCTGAGGGAAGGAGGTTCTCACCCAAGATTTGACGGTACATGGCCCCGTCTATCGTCCCTTTGATGCGGTGAAGTTATCCTGTCCCCTTAGCAGAAAAACACCCCCAAAGCATAATGTTTCCACCTCCATGTTTGAGGGTGGGGATGGTGTTCTTGGGGTCATAGGCAGCATTCCTCCTCCTCCAAACACGGCGAGTTGAAATGATGCCAAAGAGCTCCATTTTGGTCTCATCTGACCACAACACTTTCACCCAGTTCTCCTCTGAATCATTCAGATGTTCATTGGCAAACTTCAGACAGCCCTGTATATGTGCTTTCTTGAGCAGGGGGACCTTGCGGGCGATGCAGGATTTCAGTCCTTCACGGCGTAGTGTGTTACCAATGGTTTTCTTTGTGACTAATGTCCCAGCTGCCTTGAGATCATTGACAAGATCCTCCCGTGTAGTTCTGGACTGATTCCTCACCGTTCTCATGATCATTGCAACTCCACGAGGTGAGATCTTGCATGGAGCCCCAGGCCGAGGGAGATTGACAGTTATTTTGTGTTTTTTCCATTTGCGAATAATCGCACCAACTGTTGTCACCTTCTCACCAAGCTGCTTGGCGATGGTCTTGTAGCCCATTCCAGCCTTGTGTAGGTCTACAATCTTGTCCCTGACATCCCTGGAGAGCTCTTTGGTCTTGGCCATGGTGGAGAGTTTGTAATCTGATTGATTGATTGCTTCTGTGGACAGGTGTCTTTTATACAGGTAACAAGATGAGATTAGGAGCACTCCCTTTAAGAGTGTCCTCCTAATCTCAGCTCGTTACCTGTATAAAAGACACCTGGGAGCCAGAAATCTTTTTGATTGAGAGGGGATCAAATACTTATTTCCCTCATTAAAATGCAAATCAATTTATAACATTTTTGACATGCGTTTTTCTGGATTCTTTTGTTGTTATTCTGTCTCTCACTGTTCAAATAAACCTACCATTAAAATTATAGACTGATCATTTCTTTGTCAGTGGGCAAACATACAAAATCAGCAGGGGATCAAATACTTTTTTCCCTCACTGTATGTGCTTTAGCATTCAGGTGCGTTAAACACACACACATACACACACACACACACACACACACACACACACACACACACACACACACACACACACACACACACACACACACACACACACACACAGTTGGGAGTCATCAGTGACCGTTACATTTCTTCGTCTCTTTATATTTTATTATGTATGTCATTATATTATATAAAAAATCGCATTTATTATGACAACAACAAGTAAGCCTATGTGCAAACTTTAAGGTGTGAACCAGTTGCATGTTAACGTTTTTTGTCATGAACCTTGTACTGGAGGCAGCTCTGCAGAGTGGTCACTAGCTGGCACAGCCACAAAGTCATAACATCTTTTTTAAACCTAACCATAACCTTAACCCTAACCTTAACCACACTGCTAACCCTAATGCCTAACCCGAACCTTAAATTAAGACCAAAAAGCATATTTTAGTTTTCATGAATTTGTACAATATAGTACATTTTGACTTTGCAGCTGGCCTATCTAAGGGGAAATCGCTCAGTTCTGTCTCCAGGAGAAGACTCATGACAATAAACGTCAATCTGCGAACCAGCCAGACTATAAACAGAGAGGAAGAGGAAGAGAAGAGTCCCAACTCGGCGGAAAATCTGTCTCCCTCCAGCAGGTGGCGGTATTTCGTTGTTTCGCCACCAAGCAAGGGTTTTTTGCATGGAGGTCAATGAGAGTGTCGAATTTGGTCAACAAAAAAATGTATGGCTTATTTGCTACCTGAGGTTTATTTGATCAAATATAAGTTTTGTAATGCTTAAGTTGTTACGAGTGTACTGATAGAAGTAGAACACATGACATCCCGGTAAGTCTGAGAAAAAACGCTTTATATCAGAGTTGTCTCGAGATGGCTATGCATATTCATGACATGAGGCTAGTAGCATAGCATCTCTTTCCATTGAATACAGGAGGTTGAAGTCAACAACCCTCGTTGAATATTCAAAAAAGGAGTACAATAATGAGATTTATGTATCCACCAATCCAAAGAAAGGATAGGCGGGAGCTAGACAGCCTGCTGTGCCTCTTTGTGGACAATGACTCCCATTGTTAGGGCGGAGAGACACGTATCTTGTCAGTATATCCATAATCTTTGCTACAATTCAATTTCAATTCAAAGGACTTTATTGGCATGGGAAACATTTGTTTACACTGCCAAAGCACATGAAATAGATAATAAACCAATGTGAAACAAACAATACAAAATGAACAGTAAATATTACACTCACAAAAGTTTCAAAGGAATAGAGACATGATAATGATGTGCAAATAATTAAAGTACAAAAGGGAAAATAAATCAACAGAAATATGGCAACAGGTCACAAATCTTACTGCAGTAATGGCACACTGTGGTATTTCACCCAATAGATATGGAAGTTTATCCAAATTGGATTTGTTTTCAAATTCTTTGTGGGTCTGTGTAATCTGAGGGAAATATGTGTCTCTAATATGGTCAGACATTTGGCAGGAGGTTAGGAAGTGCAGCTCAGTTTCAACCTCATTTTGTGGGCAGTGTGCACATAGCCTACTGCAGCCTTTCTCAATAGCAAGTCTATGCTCACTGAGTCTGTACATAGTCTAAGCTTTACTTCATTTTGGGTCAGTATGTTGTACACCGAGGATGTTTTTGCAGAATTCTGTATGCTGTCTCAATTTGGTGTTTGTCCCATTTTGTGAATTCTTGGTTGGTGAGCGGACCCCAGACCTCACAACCACAAAGGCTAATGGGTTCTATAACTGATTAAAGTATTTCTAACCAGATCCTAATTGGGATGTCGAATTTTATGTTCCTTTTGATGGTATAGAAGGCCCTTCTTGCCTTGTCTCTCAGATTGTTCACAGCTTTGTGGAAGTTACCAGTGGTGCTGATGTTTAGGCTGAGTTATGTATAGTTTTTTGTGTGCTCTAGGGCAATGGTGTCTAGATGGAATTTGTGGTCCTGGCAACTGGACCTTTTTTGGAACACCATTATTTTTGTCTTACTGAGATTTACGGTGCAGAAGATCTAGGTGCTGCTGTAGGCCCTCCTTGGTTGGGGACTGAAGCACCAGATCATCAGCAAATAGTAGATATTTGACTTCAGATTCTAGTAGGGTGAGGCCGGGTGCTGCAGACTGTTCTACTGCCCTCGCCAATTCGTTGAGATATATATGTTGAAGAGGGTGGGGCTTAAGCTGCATCCCTGTCTCACCCCACGGCCCTGTGGAAAGAAATGTGTGTTTTTGCCAATTTTAACCGAACACTTGTTTGTGTACATTGATTTTTTAATGTCATATGTTTTTCACCCAATGGCACTGTCCATCAATTTATATAACAGACCCTCATGCTTTGAGTCAAAAGCATGAGAAGACTGCCTTTGTTTTGTTTTGTTTGTTTGTCAATTAGGTTTGTAGGGTCTGTCGTATAGTAATTTGGTAAAAAGCCAATTTGACATTTGCTCAGTACATTGTCATCACTCTATACCATGTTTCTTGAAGGATGACAACAAATATTTTTTGGAACTAAACACAGATACACCACAGCCTGTCATTTAAAATAGAAACAAATTAGTCATAGTGGGCAGAACAAGCAAGGAGGTGGGCAGAGCCAAGCACGAGTTAGCGAGACCCTATTGGCGCGTTCTAGCAGACATCTGCATATTTCCGATAGGGAACGCCTCATTTGTGAAGTGCGCGTGTGCATTAACTCAATTCGCTTTTGCGCTCCTAAACAACACGATTTTTACAAACTTTTGCAAAGGGTAAAGTCTACAAAACGTAGTCCACTCTGTTCTTTAAAGATTTTAGTTTTGGGAACAGAAACCCGTATTGATCAAATGTTTCATCGATGAAAAAATGTGCAGAATGTCGGCCAAAATCAATCTCGTTCCATCTTCTCCCACTGCCGGCCAGTGGGCTTCCTCTCAGTGGTAGTGAGCGGAAACACCAAGCGGATGCTTCACATTTATAAGTCCGGTGAAATAGTTATCTCATTGTTCTATCTGTGATGACAATGTCTGTATTTCCAATGTATTTGATGAAGTCTGGGTTCCTGAACATTTTCGTGTGGTTTAGGCTCGTACAATTACAGTAGCCGTGAGCAGCGCATGTTGAGCATCTTTTACATACTGTAGGTCGCAGGATGGGGCAAACCATCATCTATGCGTAGCTCACTGCTCCCCCTACTGCCCACTGCAAATCATGACATTTGACGTCATATCCGTCGACATGGGCACACAGACAGGAAGGTTGCATTTGGCGACGTGGAAGTGACTAGTCGTCTGTTGTGAGGCTGTACACCAACCACACTGATCCGCAAACATTCCGTAACAATGATAAAGAAATTTGACAAGAAGGACGAAGAGTCTGGTAAGATATATTAAATGTAAAGAAGTTAATATAGCTACTTTGAAATAGGTAGCGTTTTTTTTTGTGCCAACTAGCTACCGCTGACAGAATACTAGCCAGCTGGCTAGCCAACATCTAGGTAACTACACTACCCTAAATGTGTCTTCGTTTGGTGGATAAAAAAAAAAATCAAATGGACGTGTCTATTTGTTGATCACACTAGCTACATGTGTCTATTTGTTGAGCAGATATGCCAATTGCCTGCTATCTAGCTTAAAGCGTCTATCTGTCAAATTAGCTTGCAAACGAGCTAAACTAACGTTAATTGGTTATGAAGTGAAGACTAAGTTAACTAACTGCGCCAAGTCAAACATACACTTATTCTTCTTTGGCTGTGCCGTGGAATTGTTGATAATATATTCAAAACCTAGTTAGCTACATGTGTCTATCCAATGTACCGTATCCCTGTAGTTGGTTAGATAGCTAATTTAGTTAATTTAAAAACTGTCAATGTTGTCTTGCTCACTCAAGCTTGATGACCATAGCAAGATGAGGTTTCAGCTACCTACGTTAGGAAGTTACGAGAATCACATTCAACACTATAGTAATGACGCATAGCAAGCGAAGCTACCTAGTTAGTTTTTATAAACTATCTTTATACACTGCTAAAATAAATAAAGGGAACACTGAAACAACACAATGTAACTCCAAGTCAATCACACTTCTGTGAAATCAAACTGTCCACTTAGGAAGCAACACTGATTGACAATACATTTCACATGCGGTTGTGCAAATGGAATAGACAACAGGTGGAAATTATAGGCAATTAGCAAGACACCCCCAATAAAGAAGTGGTTCTGCAGGTGGTGACCACAGACCACTTCTCAGTTCCTATGCTTCCTGGCTGATGTTTTGGTCACTTTTGAATGCTGGCGGTGCTTTCACTCTAGTGGTAGCATGAGACGGAGTCTACAACCCACACAAGTGGCTCAGGTAGTGCAGCTCATCCAGGATGGCACATCAATGCGAGCTGTGGCAAGAAGGTTTGCTGTGTCTGTCAGCGTAGTGTCCAGAGCATGGAGGCGCTACCAGGAGACAGGCCAGTACATCAGGAGACGTGGAGAAGACCGTAGGAGGGCAACAACCCAGCAGCAGGACTGCTACCTCCGCCTTTGTGCAAGGAGGAGCAGGAGGAGCACTGCCAGAGCCCTGCAAAATGACCTCCAGCAGGCCACAAATGTGCATGTGTCTGCTCAAACGGTTAGAAACAGACTCCATGAGGGTGGTATGAGGGCCTGACGTCCACAGGTGGGGGTTGTGCTTACAGCCCAACACCGTGCAGGACGTTTGGCATTTGCCAGAGAACACCAAGATTGGCAAATTCGCCACTGGCGCCCTGTGCTCTTCACAGATGAAAGCAGGTTCACACTGAGCACATGTGACAGACGTGACAGAGTCTGGAGACGCCGTGGAGAACGTTCTGCTGCCTGCAACATCCTCCAGCATGACCGGTTTGGCGGTGGGTCAGTCATGGTGTGGGGTGGCATTTCTTTGGGGGGCCGCACAGCCCTCCATGTGCTCGCCAGAGGTAGCCTGACTGCCATTAGGTACCGAGATGAGATCCTCAGACCCCTTGTGAGACCATATGCTGGTGCGGTTGGCCCTGGGTTCCTCCTAATGCAAGACAATGCTAGACCTCATGTGGCTGGAGTGTGTCAGCAGTTCCTGCAAGAGGAAGGCATTGATGCTATGGACTGGCCCGCCCGTTCCCCAGACCTGAATCCAATTGAGCACATCTGGGACATCATGTCTCGCTCCATCCACCAACGCCACGTTGCACCACAGACTGTCCAGGAGTTGGCGGATGCTTTAGTCCAGGTCTGGGAGGAGATCCCTCAGGAGACCATCCGCCACCTCATCAGGAGCATGCCCAGGCGTTGTAGGGAGGTCATACAGGCACGTGGAGGCCACACACACTACTGAGCCTCATTTTGACTTGTTTTAAGGACATTACATCAAAGTTGGATCAGCCTGTAGTGTGGTTTTCCACTTTAATTTTGAGGGTGACTCCAAATCCAGACCTCCATGGGTTGATACATTTGATTTCCATTGATAATTTTTGTGTGATTTAGTTGTCAGCACATTCAACTATGTAAAGAAAAAAGTATTTAAGATTATTTCATTCATTCAGATCTAGGATGTGTTACTTTAGTGTTCCCTTTATTTTTTTGAGCAGTGTAGTTTGACAATCCAATTATGTCTTAATGTGGCTGTTTTTTCTCTTCGCTGCAAAATTAGGAAGTGGCTCTAACCCTTTCCAGCATCTTGAAAAGAGTGCAGTGTTGCAGGAGGCTCGTATCTTCAACGAGACGCCGATCAACCCCAGAAGATGTCTTCACATCCTCACCAAGATAATTTACCTGCTCAACCAGGTGAGAAACAAATCCATTACTTGCAAACCAGTTGTTTTGCATGTATACCCTTTGATATTAACAAAACACTTTTTTATGTTCTGTCCAGGGGGAGCACTTTGGAACTACGGAGGCGACTGAGGCCTTCTTCGCAATGACCAGGCTCTTCCAGTCCAATGATGTGAGGCTACATTTTTGTTTTGGGTTTAATTGATTTCAATACAATTTACTCATCCCAGAAGGGGAATTATTGCTGATCATACAAGAAAACAATTAAACAACATTATCGACAGAACATACCACAACATGTACCATACATGATGACATAAACTCACACAAACTAACTTCAGACAGGTCCAGCTAGTGCCGTTAAATTAGTATTCAATGAGTAGTGTTGTAATTGACATATTGTAGAGAAATGTGGCGCATAGTGTTTTTGTATAGTGTTATCTGCTTTTTGAAAATGTTTCTTTGTATTCCTTCAGCAAACCCTGAGAAGGATGTGCTACCTGACCATCAAGGAAATGGCCAACATCTCTGAGGATGTCATCATTGTCACCAGCAGCCTGACCAAGGACATGACTGGCAAGGAGGATGTGTACAGAGGACCCGCCATCAGAGCTCTCTGCAGGATCACTGATGTCAGTTTCTCTGTCTGTCTCTCTGTTTTCTTTCTGTCTCCATTCTGATAGCTGAACAGCATTTTTTATTACATTTTTTACATCCAGCTTACATTGTTATTGTCATTGGACTGAACCTATGCTTTTTGGTCAATAAACTGAAGCCCCACTTTGTAACTCCGTCCCACAGACCACCATGCTGCAGGCCATTGAGAGATACATGAAACAGGCCATCGTTGACAAAGTGCCCAGTGTGTCCAGCTCTGCCCTGGTCTCCTCTCTGGTAAGAAATTAGCCACACAGCGCCTGGATGTCTCAAGGTGACTGTGTCGTCTGTAAGTACTCCCATTGCTTTGTGGGTAATGTAGTTTGTTGTTCCTGTGTGTCTTTAGCACATGGTTAAGATGAGCTACGACGTGGTGAAGCGCTGGGTGAATGAGGCACAGGAGGCAGCGTCCAGTGACAACATCATGGTCCAGGTGGGTTACCCACACACACTGCGCACACACACCGCTCACACACTGTTGATAACATGTTCATTAGGCACCAAGCAGAAGAAAACAGTCAAACGGGGAGGTTCTATCTTTACTCTTTCAATACGAAATACACTGAAAAAGGTTTTGATATGTTGTTCCCTAATGAACATGACCCGGATAAGTTGAAAGAGAATCTCTTCCACTGTGACCCCCCCCCCCCCCCAGTACCACGCCCTGGGTCTGCTGTACCACCTGAGGAAGAATGACCGACTGGCCGTATCCAAGATGCTCAACAAGTTCACCAAGTCTGGCCTCAAGTCCCCCTTCGCCTACTGCATGCTCATCCGTATCGCCAGCAAGCTGTTGGAGGAGACCGAGGCAGGGTAGGTAGCACCATGGAAGTACTGTCACATAGACCAGGGTTTTCATAACTCTGTCCTGGGCCCCACCGGTGCATGTTTTGGTTTTTGCCCTAGCACTACACAGCTGATTACAAATAATCAAAGCTTGATGATGAGTTGGTTATTTTAATCAGATGTGTAGTGCAGGGGTAAAAACCAGAACATGCACCCATGGGGGGCCCCAGGACCGAGTTTGGGAAACCCTGCTATAGACTGAGGCACATAGACTGAGGGAGGGCAGATAAGCACTGTCATGGACCGTTTACTTGAATGGGTTTTCTATTTCTTCTATTTCTATGGGTAGGGGTAAAACAGTGGGTTGGTGTCTAATGTTCCCTTTCATTGGTATGTATTGTTTTTATTGAACACAAGGGGGGGAAGGGATCTGTATAGTGTCATCATGCATTACATGTTCACATACACATGGCAGTGGAGGACACAGAATAGTGTCACATTTTACTTTATAAACATATTGGTATATTTTTCTCTTCCTGTGTGTGGCATTGTAATAAAAATGGTATGCTATTTTTCTGTTTGCAGACACGACAGTCCCCTGTTTGACTTCATTGAGAGCTGTCTGAGGAACAAGCATGAGATGGTGGTGTACGAGGCAGCCTCAGCCATAGTTCACATGCCCAGCTGTACAGCCAGAGAGCTGGCCCCTGCTGTCTCTGGTGAGTCTCTCTCTCTTATCTATTACAGACAGTTTGGTAATTACACCTTGCTTTCTGGTGTCCACATGTGGGTAGCTACCTGTAGACATAGATATTTGTGAGGTTGTAGTATCCTATGATCCTAGTACCTCTGGTTTTACAACTTGACTGTGTGTTAATGTGTTTCTCTCCAGTCCTGCAGCTGTTCTGCAGCTCTCCCAAAGCATCCCTGAGATACGCAGCCGTCAGGACCCTCAACAAGGTTGGTCTCCACTTCTCCATGCTCTTCATTACTCTGAATTACCAATAGCAATGTAGGCTATATCATGCAGATGAAGGATATGTTTTAGATTGAGTGAACTGTATTTACAACTGCATTTCCCCGTTTGTCCACCAGGTGGCAATGAAGCACCCGTCGGCGGTGACTGCTTGCAACCTGGACCTGGAGAACCTGATCACGGACTCGAACCGTAGCATCGCCACGCTGGCCATCACCACACTGCTGAAGACGGGCAGCGAGAGCAGTGTGGACCGCCTCATGAAGCAGATCTCCTCCTTTGTCTCTGAGATCTCTGACGAGTTCAAGGTGAGGAGGAGGATGTGTTTCTGTTTCAGTTTTAATGTGTAGTTTCTCCTCAATGATATGCTCTTGTTTTTTCCCCCTCTGCAATACTCTAGTTTAATAATTTAGGAATTGAAATGGTTGGAGAAATCAATTAGAATAGACTGAATATGTAATCCCCCCTCCCCCAAAACAATCTTTGTAGTAAGTTATACTATAGTCTATAGCATCATTCTGGATATTTTGAACAATGCTTTAATCCATTTCCAAACGAGGGGATTTCTTCACCAAAGGGAAGTCCTATCATCTGGGTGTGGTCCTATCATCTGGGTGTGGTCCTATCATCTGACTGTTGGGTGTGGTCCTATCATCTGACTGTTGGGTGTGGTCCTATCATCTGGGTGTGGTCCTATCATCTGACTGCTGGGTGTGTGTGTTTCAGGTGGTAGTTGTGCAGGCCATCAGTGCCCTGTGTCAGAAGTATCCCAGAAAGCACAGCGTCATGATGAACTTCCTGTCCAACATGCTCCGAGATGACGTGAGTTGAAAACACTGACTCGAACACACCAAAAGTAGCCTAATGTCTTTTTTCACTGATGTGTAGGACAATAACCTATTTTAGCACATGTATGCCCTTTACACTGACATATGGAGCCCATCTATGGACTACTGACAAAACAGAGCTCTTTGGCTAACTCTGGCACATTTACATTGATTTGACCACTCAGTTACTGATTTATTGTACGACTGTCCCTGACACACAAACCATTTAAACTATGCCTCCCCTCTCTCAGGGTGGCTTTGAGTACAAGCGGGCCATCGTGGACTGCATCATCAGCATCATTGAGGAGAACCCAGAGAGCAAGGAGACGGGGCTGGCCCACCTGTGTGAGTTCATCGAGGACTGTGAGCACACGGTGCTGGCCACCAAGATCCTCCACCTGCTGGGCAAGGAGGGCCCGCGCACGCCCTCGCCATCCAAGTACATCCGTTTCATCTTCAACCGCGTGGTGCTGGAGAGTGAGGCCGTCAGAGCCGGTGAGAAACGGGGGAGTGTGTGTGTTTTAAGTTGACGTTTCTACCGGAAACCCCTGCTGGCCTGGAGTTGTCAATAGCGTGTGTGTTTGAGAGACAGTTGTGTGTCTGGGTGCCACGTGAATGGTAGTTCTGATAAGTCTGTTGGGATTAGCTCCATTGTTAACTGGTGACATCACCAACCATGAAATGTTCAATTCACTAATATGAAAATAATACCAAACAGAGTACGTAGGCAAATCGTATTTGCGCCTGGCTTTTCAACAGAAACTCACTGTTAATCATGAAGGGTTTAAACTAATTTGAGTTAGCACGTTTTTGTTTCTACACATTGTGTAATAACTAAGCCTAGCTCCTTTCTCCTCCCTCTAGCTGCGGTCAGTGCTCTGGCTAAGTTTGGAGCCCAGAATGATGACCTTCTCCCCAGTGTGTTAGTCCTGATGCAGAGGTAGAGACAGCCTTTCACTGGCTCCCTGTCATACTGATCCATTTCCTGGTTGCTATGCAGTGTGTGGTTACTACTCTAAAGTGTGTTGACGTATCCTGTGGGTTTCTAGGTGTATGATGGACAGTGATGACGAGGTGAGGGACAGAGCCACCTTCTACATGAACGTTCTGCAGCAGAAGCAGAAAGCCCTCAACGCTGGCTACATATTCAACGGTGAGAACCCACTGCGCTCCTAGTTTGACCTTGAAAGCACTAAAACATGTGGACATGTCTGGTATAATTCAGAAAGTACGGTTGTGAATCGACACATGCTGAGAAACATTTTTCAATCGAACCTCAAAATGAATACATTTATTTCCATTATTGAACCGTGTGTCTCCTCCCCTCAGGTCTGTCGGTGTCTGTCCCAGGTCTGGAGAAGTCGCTCCATCAGTACACCCTGGAGCCCACAGAGAAGCCCTTCGATATGAAGTCCGTTCCCCTGGCCAACACACCCATCACAGAGCAGAAGACAGAATTCACTGCTGTCGCCACTAGCAAGCTGCCAGAGAAACCAGGCCCGACGCGCCAAGACATCTACCAGGGTACAGTCACCTTACTTGAAACTATCATGGCAAGACATGGTGTTATCACAAGGAAACAAAACATTTGGTCTGAATTTCTTGAGTAAAAACATCCAGTCACATTTATTTTCCAAGCTATAGCACACAATATTTGACATGAAACACGTTCTTAATGAACGATTGAATTCAGTGTGCTTCAAGTTATTAGCCATGGAAAACCAAGGATCATAGTAGCAGTAGTTGTGATCCTGGTATTGTGACAAACTTCAGGGCAGCTTTAATATTTAAGTAGTTAGGAATAGGGGTGGATTTGGAACTGGGCCTCTCCTCAAATCTCTCCCTCTAACCTCTCCTCTAATCTCTCCTTCCCCTCTCAACAGAACAACTGGCAGCCATTCCAGAGTTCCAGGGCCTGGGTCCTCTCTTCAAGACGTCGGAGGCGGTGCAGCTGACAGAGGCGGAGACTGAGTATGTGGTGCGCTGCGTCAAGCACACCTTCGCCAGACACATGGTGTTCCAGTTCGACTGCACCAACACGCTCAATGACCAGCTCCTGCAGAAGGTAGGGCTACGCTGGTGACTGGTGTGAATGAGGAAATTCACGTCTCCTTGCCAAGGTGTGGAGATCTAGTTTGGTGCAAAATCACCCCAAATCCCTCCTTACAGTGTAGATAGCTTTGAGCAGTTTGTATTCAATTCATAAAGCTTTATTGTCCATTCGATTTGATAGTACAGTAGACAGAAAAGTGTCTTTGGTGGCTCACATTAAACTCTACAACACTGACGTTAAGACACAGGACAAAATATATCTAAAATGTTTAGAAATTAGAAATGTATTAAGTCTAAGTCCACTGGGTTGTTGTCCTTCAGGTTATGGTTCAGATGGAGCCGTCAGAGGCCTACGAGGTTCTCCACTATGTCCCTGCTGCTAACCTGCCCTACAGCCAGCCTGGCTCCTGCTACAGTCTGGTCAGACTGCCTGAAGATGACCCCACCGCAGGTTACTTTATTATTAAACCTCTGTGTGTGGGAGAAAGAGAAATAAGCTATTTTCATGTCACTCGGTTAAAACCCTGGATTTCTCCGAAAAAACCCCCAGAAGGATCTGAATGGGGATCATGTAGCACCTAACCAAGATCAAAACACATGGGTTTTCCATTGAGAGAAGAATGCAGTTATCTGCTGGCCTTCTTCAAACACTAAGGACACTGTTATTTACATCACATAGGCCTAGTCATGTAATGTATGCACCATATGTGTATGTCATATTGAATGTGCTCTGTGCTCCCCAGTGTCCTGTACGTTCAGCTGTACTCTGAAGTACCTGGTGAAAGACTGCGACCCCAACACAGGAGAGCCCGATGACGACGGTTACGATGACGAATATGTGGTATGAGCTCAATAGAAAACCTATTTTTAAAATCTCTAAAAACCCATTTATCAAAAAAATAATTTCAAAGAACCCTTCATACATCTAGTTTACCGTCAATTGCCGAAACTCTATTCACTCCTTCTCTTTTTCTACCTTCTCTGCTCTCCTCTACTCTCTCCCCTCTCCCCCCGTGTGTGTGGTGTGTGTGTGTGTGTGTCAGCTGGAGGACTTGGAGGTGACTGTAGCAGACCACATCCAGAAGGTGTTGAAGCCCAACTTCTCCGCAGCCTGGGACGAGGTGGGAGACGACTTTGAGAAGGAGGAGACGTTCGCCCTGGCCTCCGTCAGAACGCTAGATGGTAATTATTTCAATCGGGATCTTTGGATTTATCACCCCAAAATTGAAGCAGTGTACATTTTGTGAGATGTTTTAGAGCAGTGGTTCCCATACATAGAAATATAATTATTAACAATTGTATTTTTTTCTCCATACTTTTCTCTTTCCATTGTGACTCACCTAAAGCCTTTTTGAGCTTGTTTGTGAGGCATCAAATGGGCTATTTCTAACCATAAGTCTTTAAATACAACCCAATGGAACTGGCCTCGTGACAGTATTTGACCTATGTATTTAACCCAGGTCTGGAGTTGGGGAACTGACTTCACATTAAATGATCTTTGTTGATAATATTTATCTTATGACACAACTACATATTTAAGGCAGTGTGAGTAATATGTGTCTTTGGACACAAGCACATTTGAAGGCAGGTTGTATCTAGGGGGCTACAGTGTGTTGAGTAAAATCTCCCAGTTGTCTCTGTAGAGGCCGTTGGTAGGTAACGTCTCTCTGTAGAGGCCGTTGGTAGGTAACGTCTCTCTGTAGAGGCCGTTGGTAGGTAACGTCTCTCTGTAGAGGCCGTTGGTAGGTAACGTCTCTCTGTAGAGGCCGTTGGTAGGTAACGTCTCTGTAGAGGCCGTTGGTAGGTAACGTCTCTCTGTAGAGGCCGTTGGTAGGTAACGTCTCTCTGTAGAGGCCGTTGGTAGGTAACGTCTCTGTAGAGGCCGTTGGTAGGTAACGTCTCTCTGTAGAGGCCGTTGGTAGGTAACGTCTCTCTGTAGAGGCCGTTGGTAGGTAACGTCTCTCTGTAGAGGCCGTTGGTAGGTAACGTCTCTCTGTAGAGGCCGTTGGTAGGTAACGTCTCTCTCTGTAGAGGCCGTTGGTAGGTAACGTCTCTCTCTGTAGAGGCCGTTGGTAGGTAACGTCTCTCTCTGTAGAGGCCGTTGGTAGGTAACGTCTCTCTCTGTAGAGGCCGTTGGTAGGTAACGTCTCTCTCTGTAGAGGCCGTTGGTAGGTAACGTCTCTCTGTAGAGGCCGTTGGTAGGTAACGTCTCTCTGTAGAGGCCGTTGGTAGGTAACGTCTCTCTGTAGAGGCCGTTGGTAGGTAACGTCTCTCTGTAGAGGCCGTTGGTAGGTAACGTCTCTCTGTAGAGGCCGTTGGTAGGTAACGTCTCTCTGTAGAGCAGGGATCATCAACTAGATTCAGCCGCGGGCCAATTTTTTCTTGAGCGGATTGCCGGGAGGCCAGAACATAATAAACCAAATCTTTTTAGACTTCAAATTGACTTCAAGAAGCCTAAACAGATATAATATTTGACTAAAACATAATAATTTGAAATCTTGATTACATTTGGGGACATTGTCCTGCGTAGGGTGCCGTCTTTCGGAATGGACGTTAAAACGGGTGTCCTGACTCTCTGGTCATTCAAGAGACCTCTCTGTTCCCTGTTGTCTCTGTAGAGGCTGTTGGTAACATCATCAGTTTCCTGGGCATGCAGCCCTGCGAGCGTTCAGACAAGGTCCCTGAAAACAAGAACTCACACATCCTCTTCCTTGCCGGTGGGTATTTTATTTATTTATGTTATCTTGATTTGAATGAATTATTGTTTTGCTATGTGAAGTGTATTGTAGGCTCATTCTGTACCCTTTATTACCGTAAATATGTTAAGAGCCGTTCCCAACCTTGACACGGCAGCTTGTGGTGGATGCAAGCCTCCCATTGGTCCTTGGTATGAATTACAGTTTCAATGTCCCTCCTCTTCCTCCAGGTGTGTTCCGGGGGGGTCATGACGTGCTGGTGCGCTCGCGCCTGGCCCTGGCCGATGGTGTCACTATGCAGGTGACGGTCCGCAGCTCTGACGAGACGGTTGTTGACATCATCCTAGCCTCTGTGGGCTAGAGGGCGCCAGCGAGGCCTGTTCACCAACAGGCCAATCCAACAAAGAAGAAGCTCCGAATTCAATGGCATATTCTAATTGTTTTGTCCACTTTTTCCCAATTCACAATATTCTCCACGCAATGTCCTTCTCCCCTGCTTTGTCGTTTGAATGTGTCTTCTTGTTGTGTTGTAGGGTAGCCTGTTTGTTGAGATGGAATACGTTATGGTGAGAGGTGTGTACTACTGGCATCCTTCAACACACAACTCATTGTGTAGACTGGCCCCAGATCAGTTGGTGCTTTATAGCCAACTCCAATGGTCATTCATAGGAGTTGGCAAGGCAGCACAAACAGATCTGGGACCAGGCTAGCGTCACTATATTTCCACTATAATTATCTATCAAATCTATTAAATGTTGACCAAGGAAGTACAAAATGACTGTGTTTTGTGGACTTAATTATTGTTACACAAGCTTTTTGGAAAACTAATTTTATTTCAAGGAAAGTTTACTTTTCTTAGTCAGTGCTGCATTTCCTCCATACACAGAATGTAGAAATATCAAAATAATTTTCCTTGGGATGCAACCTGTTAGAAATGCTCTACCACCTTATGAATTACATCAATTTGTCATAAACAACTATTAATTGAACCCCAAAGATAATCAAAATACTTTTGAGATTAGCTTGGGCAATCTTTCATGCTTCCAGTAAGATTTCCTATGTTACACAAATGTCCCTATAGCAGCAGTAGTTCCATTTAGTATTGTCATTTGCAGCTAAGCTATTGTAATTTTGTTCATACAGAGTAGCAGGAGACAGTATCTGTCGGACTTTGGTGACATCAATACCAGGAATGGATTCAAGATGTCTGTGTGTCATATCAGGTATGATTCAATGTGCACAGTTCTCATCCAGGTTGAAGTTTTTCAATTATGGGTGTTTGTTCACGACCGACCCAGCCAGTCAGAATCTGAATCTTTTGCACACTACTTTTTTATCACATAAACCATGCATTGTTTTCAATGGGAGATGTGAATATGTTCATTAGGCACCAAATGGAAGAAAAGGACTACCTGGGCTGGACTCCAATAAGAAATTCATATTTTTGTTTTCCCATTGCAAAACGTTTTAAATCCTTCCCGTTGTGAGCCCGAATGAACATGACCCAGGTTATGCTCGCAGATGTCAAGTTCAGATTGTCTAATGCTGGTGAGGTTGCTCAGAAGGCATTGATGAAGCTAAAGTAGGCGTTGAGGAAGCCAGTAGGGTCCTCCAGCTGGGGATAATGGCTGATGTGTTCATCCAGAACCGACACAGTGGACCTCTGGACCAGTTTCCTGAAGGACAATGACAACATTGGGTTAGGAGGGACAAGAGGACTTATTCATACATAAGGAATACTTGCATTCTGTAACACCCAAATGAATGACTGCGGCTAAATACAGAAACCCCAAATACTTTTTGTCCACATATGTATATACAACATTTTTTTAAAGCATTTGTCTCAGGGCTCTATTCAATCAGTTCTGGTTTAGCTGACATCTGCATAGAGGTTGTTTTGGTGGTGTCGGAGGTGGAACTGCGTTAGCGCTGTCAAATCCACAAGCGGCTCCCGTCATTATACCTAAAGCGGACATTGCTATTGGCTGCATGGAGTCACATTAAGAGAAATTCCATGCAGCCTTGTTTACAATTTCAAACACTGGAATGTGAGATGTAATTACAGCTCCATTAGGCTGATTGAAAATCATGAAATTAAATAATGTTTTCTATTTGAGCGTAATTATTTCTCGTTCTGAACTTTAACGCGAGTGGGACAGGTGTGGCTTCATGACAATGATCAAGCGCAGCTCCAATTGCAGTTACACCGCCAAAACATCAGCTATGCGGGTGTCAGCTATCGCCGGTTAACGCTTAATCTGATTGAATCTAGGCCAACGCCTATCAAACTCTACACCATATTATTATTTTGAGCTATTTGCTATTATTTAGATTATAATCTGTTATTTTCCTGTTCTTGTTGCAGTGTCTCATTAGGCCACTAGGTTATAAGTGCAGTACTCAGGTAACTGAGGAACACGTAATGTGAAACGTCAGTGTACCGGTGTTCATCATGGAATAAAACCTGAGCGTAAGAAAGATGCTGTTTAAGGAGGACCACTGAAATATGAGGATACTGAACTAATAAACAGTGAGAGGTGGGGTGGGGGGGGACTTCAAGTCTGTTTTCTCTCTCCATTGATGCTTTGGGTTGAATGTTGAGTAACTTTAAAGTCTTTTTTTTATCACTATTATCTAAATCCTGCAGTGGCTGAGTGGAATTGTCACTAGCTTGCAGAGCAAGATGATGATAGTTCAAAACCCGAGTAGGTCTGTAGCTAAGGCATAGCCTCAAGATAGCCTTCTCCTGTGGCACAGAGGCTATGCCAAAAGGTACAAAGAACATACTTGTTTTTCCCCTTTTCGGACTAAAACCTTATGTTGAGGGAGCCCAAGACGTCATGAAAGAGGGTGGCATTAGCGAAAATCATGTGCCTCTCAGTGGAGAGGTTGTGGGCTCGAATCCAAGCAGAGTCCATAGGGAAAGACTTGGCAGAGACTCTGGGGCGGGGGGCGGTGATTAGCAGTGGGAAGCGTCTTTTGGAAAAATGGTGAGAGAGTCCAAAGAAGTGAGCAAACTAGACCAGCTGAAACTCCAGCAACTGACACAGAACAGTTCAAGTATGGAGGTGAAGGAAGGTAGCAACCGGAGGTGGCGAAGTGGGTAGAGTTCAAGGCAAGCAGAAGCAAAGACTAAACAATAAAAAAAAAATTCTTCAAGATTTAACCATGGTGTTTTTCTGGTTAATTATTGCATAACCATCTGCATTTATATCTCTGAATACAGGGACCATGCCTCCTCTTCTGTTCTCTTCGCTCCCCATCTCAGAGATGAAGGGTGGTCCTCTTCAATCCAGAGCCGGGACAGGGATTCCAACCAGCAACCTCATCTGTGTGAGGCAGGGAGCATCTACCATCGCCACAGACCCCTTCACACTAACTAGGAAACACTTGGTATATTAAAAAGGTTGACATCTGAAGAGAGTAGGTTCATGTTAAAACGACATTGGCTGGGATTTGAACCCATGACCTTGGCGATTCAAGGCAATGACAATTACTGTTAGACACCAACTCCTTCAACTCAGTGTCCTTTGATAAACCTGTGTATAAGATAAACTGCTCAGACAAAGAGAGTATTTAACATTCTACACAACCTATGGACTGAGCTTTGAGCCCCAAAATACCTCTACAATATACACTGCTCAAAAAAATAAAGGGAACACTTAAACAACACAATGTAACTCCAAGTCAATCACACTTCTGTGAAATCAAACTGTCCACTTAGGAAGCAACACTGATTGACAATAAATGTCACATGCTGTTGTGCAAATGGAATAGACAACAGGTGGAAATTATAGGCAATTAGCAAGACACCCCCAATAAAGGACTGGTTTTGCAGGTGGTGACCACAGACCACTTCTCAGTTCCTATGCTTCCTGGCTGATGTTTTGGTCACTTTTGAATGCTGGCGGTGCTTTCACTCTAGTGGTAGCATGAGACAGAGTCTACAACCCACACAAGTGGCTCAGGTAGTGCAGCTCATCCAGGATGGCACAGCAATGCGAGCTGTGGCAAGAAGGTTTGCTGTGTCTGTCAGCGTAGTGTCCAGAGCATGGAGGCGCTACCAGGAGACAGGCCAGTACATCAGGAGACGTGGAGGAGGCCGTAGGAGGGCAACAACCCAGCAGCAGGACTGCTACCTCCGCCTTTGTGCAAGGAGGAGCAGGAGGAGCACTGCCAGAGCCCTGCAAAATTACCTCCAGCAGGCCACAAATGTGCATGTGTCTGCTCAAACGGTCAGAAACAGACTCCATGAGGGTGGTATGAGGGCCCGACGTCCACAGGTGGAGGTTGTGCTTACAGCCCAACACCGTGCAGGACGTTTGGCATTTGCCAGAGAACACCAAGATTGGCAAATTCGCCACTGGCGCCCTGTGCTCTTCACAGATGAAAGCAGGTTCACACTGAGCACATGTGACAGACGTGACAGAGTCTGGAGACGCCGTGGAGAACGTTCTGCTGCCTGCAACATCCTCCAGCATGACCGGTTTGGCGGTGGGTCAGTCATGGTGTGGGGTGGCATTTCTTTGGGGGGCCGCACAGCCCTCCATGTGCTCGCCAGAGGTAGCCTGACTGCCATTAGGTACCGAGATGAGATCCTCAGACCCCTTGTGAGACCATATGCTGGTGCGGTTGGCCCTGGGTTCCTCCTAATGCAAGACAATGCTAGACCTCATGTGGCTGGAGTGTGTCAGCAGTTCCTGCAAGAGGAAGGCATTGATGCTATGGACTGGCCCGCCCGTTCCCCAGACCTGAATCCAATTGAGCACATCTGGGACATCATGTCTCGCTCCATCCACCAACGCCACGTTGCACCACAGACTGTCCAGGAGTTGGCGGATGCTTTAGTCCAGGTCTGGGAGGAGATCCCTCAGGAGACCATCCGCCACCTCATCAGGAGCATGCCCAGGCGTTGTAGGGAGGTCATACAGGCACGTGGAGGCCACACACACTACTGAGCCTCATTTTGACTTGTTTTAAGGACATTACATCAAAGTTGGATCAGCCTGTAGTGTGGTTTTCCACTTTAATTTTGAGGGTGACTCCAAATCCAGACCTCCATGGGTTGATAAATTTGATTTCCATTGATAATTTTAGTGTGATTTTGTTGTCAGCACATTCAACTATGTAAAGAAAAAAGTATTTAATAAGATTATTTCATTCATTCAGATCTAGGATGTGTTATTTTAGTGTTCCCTTTATTTTTTTGAGCAGTGTACTTTGTCTGTGTGTAGGGCTTTTCATTTCTGGTATTATTGCAGACATTAGAAGGAATACACAGGCTCGTGCTCCAACAACAGGAGAAGAGGTACTACCTTATGTACCCTACGACAAAATAAAACTTGATACGCCATAGAAATTATTAAATTAATATCACGTTTTAGTCATCGACCAAACATTAGATCCTATTTCAGTTGTACAACTGACTAGGTATCCCCCTTTCCCTTATTTGAGACAGGAAAAAAACAGGATTTTTCAATCCAACCCTAAGCAATGACCCAGTGCCTGTGAATGAAACTCTCACTAACACCTTTAATAACGCAACATGTCATAGTAGAGAGGAGAGTGCCTACGGTAAGGAGGATGAATTGGGGTGAGGTGAGGATCCAGGGCCAAGACATTGCGAAACTACGTCAGGGAGGTTTGAAAGGTAGGAGATTGGGGGTGAGGGTGACGGACCAGGGGTCCTAGGGGTGGGGGGGATATGAAGCTGAAGAAGGGGTAGAGAGATGACAGTCAGGGAGAGGGATTATGGAAGAGGGGTTAGAGGTTAACGGGGGGGGGGGGGGGGGGGGGGAGTTTGACTTGACGTATCAACAGCTAGTGTGTTGAACAGGATTCTATGGGGATGGGGACCACGTGTAGTAGGGAGGGAGGTATGGATCACACCACTACCAGCTAACCTTAATGGGGCACAGATGGGCTAATAAACTCCTGGGAGGTATTAGTCTGCGCTAAGTAGCTTAGCCTCATTGACTGACTCGCTGGTCACCTCAGTTTAAACCAGAGGGGAGATTTACCGCTTACAGGCACTGTACAACGGCATTCAGAACTTCAGTGTACTAACTGACATGGCACTGTAACTTGTATTTGTGCAGTTTCATAGTAGGCACAAACTTACCCATTGCAGGAAATCAACGTCAACGGATAGAACAGCAGTGATTGAGTTAAATTAATGACGGACAGAGTACATCATTATCCTTGAAACTTCCTGCCATTGCCCTTCTGTCATTACAGAACCTTCAGAAATTATTCACAGTCCTTGACTTTTTCCACATTTTCTTGTGCTACAAAGTGCGATTAAAATAGATGTAATTGTCTTTTGTCAACGATTTACCCAAAATACTCTGTCAAAGTGGAAGAAAAATGTGAATTTTTTTTATTGTAATGGAAAATAAAACAGTAATATATTTGGATAAGATAGGTCTTCAACCCCCTGAGTCAATACATGTTATAATCACCTTTGGCAGCGATTACATTTTTGCCATTTAGCAGACACTCTTATCCAGAGCGACTTACAGTTAGTGAGCGCATACATTTTTCATACTGGCCCCCCGTGGGAATCGAACCCACAACCCTGGCGTTGCAAGCGCCATGCTCTACCAACTGAGCTACAGGAGGGCCCTGCTTGTGTGTATACAATCGTAAAAAAAGCAGGGGTCTAGCCCCCCTTGAGGTTCTTGAGAGCAGACATGGAAGTGAGAGAAGGGAAGAAGTCCATTTGAAGCAGCAGCAAGGGATGAACAATAGACTGAATGACACAGAAGAGGTGCATTGACAAAAAATTACATGGACACGAGAATTTGAGAATCTTCACTGTGAAATATTCTCTAAATGTGTGCATATTAAAATCTGTACAATGGTGGATGTAATCATTAAAAGCATGAGTGACTTATGAATGATTCCCATACCTCTGTCTTTCCAATCAGACTTTATTTACAGTATGTATGGTAGAAAAATTCTAACATTTATTGTAATGGAAAATAAAACAGTAATATAAGATAGGTCTTCAAACCCCTGAGTCAATACATGTTATAATCACCTTTGGCAGCGATTACAGCTGTGAGCCTTGTTGGGTATGTCTAAGAGCTTTGCAAACCTATATTGTACAATATTTGCCCATTATTCTTAAGAATTCTTCAAGCTCTGTCAAGTTGGTTGTTGATCATTGCTTGACAGACATTTTGAAGTCTTGACATAGTTCAAGCCGATTTAAGTCAAAACTGTAATTTAGGCCACTCAGGAACATTCAACGTCATCTTGCTAAGTAACTCCAGTGTATATTTGGCCTTATGTTTTAGGTTATTGTCCTGCTGAAAGGTGGATTTGTCTCCCAGTGTCTGTTGGAAAGCAGACTGAACCAGGTTTTCCTCTAGGATTTTGCCTGTGCTTAGCTCTATTCTGTTTGTTTTTTAATCCTACAAATTTTTTTAAATCCCTAGTCCTTGCCGATGACAAGCATACCCCTAACATGATGCAGCCACCACCATGCTTGAAAATATGAAGAGTGGTACTCAGTGATGTGTTGGATTTGCCCCAAACATAATGCTTTGTATTCAGGACATAAAGCTAATTTCTTTGCCACATTTTTTGCAGTATTACTTTAGTGTCTTATTGCAAACAGGATGCGTTTTAGAATATTTGTATTCTTAACAGGCATCCTTATTTTCATGCTGTAAATTAGGTTAGTATTGTGGAGTAACTACAATGTTTTTGATCCATACTCAGTTTTCTCCTATCACAGCCATTATACTCTGTAACTGGTTTAAAACCACCATTGGCCTCATGTTGAAATCCCTGAGCGGTTTCCTTCCTCTCCATCAACTGAGTTAGGAAGGACATCTGTATCTTTTTTTTTCACCTTTATTTAACCAGGTAAACCAGTTGAGAACAAGTTCTCATTTACAACTGCGACCTGGCCAAGATAGAGCAAAGCAGTGCGATAAAAACAACAACACAGAGTTACATATGGGGTAAAACAAAACAAAGTCAAAAATACAACAGAAATACATATAATATACAGTGTGCAAATTTTGCAAGTTATGGAGGTAAGGCAATAAAATAGGCTATAGTGCAAAATAATTACAATTAGTATTAACACTGGAATGATAGATGTGCAAGAGATGATGTGCAAATAGAGATACTGGGGTACAAATGAGCAAAATAAATAACAATATGGGGATGAGGTAGTTGGGCGGGCTAATTTCAGATGGGCTGTGTACAGGTGCAGTGATCGGTAAGGTGCTCTGACAACTGATGCTTAAAGTTAGTGAGGGAGATAAGTGTCTCCAGCTTCAGAGATTTTTGCAATTTGTTCCAGTCATTGGCAGCAGAGAACTGGAAGGAATTGCGGCCAAAGGAGGTGTTGGCTTTGGGGATGACCAGTGAGATATACCCGCTGGAGCGCAGACTACGGGTGGGTGTTGCTATGGTGACCAATGAGCTAAGATAAGGCGGGGATTTGCCTAGCAGTGATTTATAGATGGCCTGGAGCCAGTGGGTTTGGCGACGAATATGTAGTGAGGACCAGCCAACAAGAGCGTACAGGTCACAGTGGTGGGTATTATATGGGGCTTTGGAGACAAAACGGATGGCACTGTGATAGACAACATCCAATTTGCTGAGTAGAGTGTTGGAGGCTATTTTGTAAATGACATCGCCGAAGTCAAGGATCGGTAGGATAGTCAGTTTTACGAGGGCATGTTTGGCAGCATGAGTGAAGGAGGCTTTGTTGCGAAATAGGAAACTGATTCTAGATTTAACTTTGGATTGGAGATTCTTAATGTGAGTCTGGAAGGAGAGTTTACAGTCTAACCAGACACCTAGATATTTGTAGTTGTCCACATACTCTAGGTCAGACCCGTCGAGAGTAGTGATTCTAGTCGGGTGGGCGGGTGCAAGCAGCGTTCGGTTGAAGAGCATGCATTTAGTTTTACTAGTGTTTAAGAGCAGTTGGAGGCTACTGAAGGAGTGTTGAAGCTCGTTTGGAGGTTTGTTAACACAGTGTCCAATGAAGGGCCAGATGTATACAAAATGGTGTCGTCTGCGTAGAGGTGGATCTGAGAGTCACCAGCAGCAAGAGCGACGTCATTGATATACACAGAGAAAAGAGTCGGCCCAAGAATTGAACCCTGTGGCACCCCCATAGAGACTGCCATAGGTCCAGACAACAGGCCCTACGATTTGACACATTGAACTCTATCTGAGAAGTAGTTGGTGAACCAGGCGAGGCAGTCATTTGAGAAACCAAGGCTATTTAGTCTGCCAATAGAATGCGGTGGTTGACAGAGTCGAAAGCCTTGGCCAGGTCAATGAAAACGGCTGCACAGTACTGTCTATTATCGATCGCGGTTATAATATCGTTTAGGACCTTGAGCGTGGCTGAAGTGCACCCATGACCAGCTCGGAAACCGGATTGCATAGCGGAGAAGGTACGGTGGGATTCGAAATGGTCGGTGATCTGTTTGTTGACTTGGCTTTCAAAAACTTTTGAAAGGCAGGGCAGGATGGATATGGGTCTGTAACAGTTTGGATCTAGAGTGTCACCCCCTTTGAAGAGGGGGATGACCGCGGCAGCTTTCCAATCTCTGGGGATCTCAGACGTTACGAAAGAGAGGTTGAACAGGCTAGTAATAGGGGTTGCGACAATTTTGGCGGCTAGTTTTAGAAAGTAATTTTCCTTGTAGTGACTGGGTGTACTGATACACCATCCAAAGTCTGATTAATAACTTCACCATGCTCAAAAGGGATAATCAAAGTCTGCTTTTTTAAATTAATTTTTTATTTACCAATAGGTGCCCTTCTTTGCAAGGCATTGGAAAACCTCCCTGATCTTTTTCCTTGAATCTGTTCTCGACTGAGGAACCTTACAGATAATTGTATGTGTGGAGTACAGAGATGGAGTAGTCACTCAAAAATCATGTTAACACTATTATTGCACACAGAGTTAGTCCATGCAACTTATTATCTGACTTGTTAAATTCATTTTTATTCCTGAAGTTATTTAGGCTTGTCATAACAAAAGGAATTGAACAGTTATTGACTCAAGGCACTTTTTATTCATTAGTAAAAATTTCAGAAAACACAATTCCACTTTGACATTATAGGGTATTGTGTGTAGATCAGTGACACAAAATCTAAATTGAATCCATTTTTTATTATTTTAAATCCAGGCTGTAACAACAAAACGTGGAAAAAAGTCAAGGGGTGTGAATACTCTTATGATGGCACTGTATATCACTCATCTATATGAGATTATATCATTTTTAGTTATCATTCAGTTATCAAAGGTTCATTCATAACGAGACACTCTTGTGTAACAGACTTCACATAAACCAGGCATTGATGTTTCATCATTGCTCAGCAACTAGACAGACAGTACTCACCAGGGATGAAAGTAGAGGTGAGAGCACCAACCCATCTGTCTCTGTGCTTGTCCCTCTGGTTAATAAACTGCAGGATACTATGTGGAGAAGGGATATGCAATCTTATTACCATCACTATTAAATCACAGATCAATCAGTCAATCACTTTTATCAGTCACTGTATAGGGAGAAACGGGAAACTAGCTTATCTTAATCAATGCAATCAAAAGAAAAGTACAAGGATTACAACATTATCTATGCATATGGAAACAATTATCTGTTTATATACAGTATATTATAATTTGGATGGAAAATGTGCACATTTATTCAGTGCAATTTGGTTGGGTTAAAATTCATTTTTGAAATATTTTTTTTCCACCTATAACAATGTATCAAATAACACCAAATTTGACTAGCCATGTTAGTTTCAAATGAGTCAGATCTGTCTAGTGTCTACTCTATTCCGTATGTATAGGCATTTAACTAGTGAGGTCTGAAAACACAGAGATCTGTCTAGTGTCTACTCTATTCCGTATGTAAAGGCATTTAACTAGTGAGGTCTGAAAACACAGTGTACGGTACAGTACCTGTCCATGACCAGGTTCCCATCATTGAAGCGGACCCCTGTCCACATGTCGAAGAACTCAGCGTCTGTGGGCTGGGTGTAAGGACCAAACACGTCCCCAAGCCTGACATGAAACCAACAGTAAACAGGGTAAATGCTATATCTTTACACTGGTTAGGTAATCCTCCATGTTTTTACTCGGTTTATTTCGTAAGCTATGCTTTGCAACAAATATAAATACCTTCATACCATTTAAATAAAATGTTGTGTACAGCTTTGAAACAGTAAAATGGTTGAGGGGTTTATTATTTAGCTGAATGCACATAACTAGAGCTGGCCCACATTGCCAACAATGTTATCTTACTGTAAATATGTCATTTTACGGTTACATGCACACAATAATTATTGTGGATAGTCATTAATATAATAGTTCGATTCAAATGTTTACATGCTTTGCAAGAATAACGATCTCCCTAATAATCGTGTTTACATGGACATGTCGGAAATCAGGATACCTGATGGCACTCTGATAAATGCAGAAAATCGCCAATCAAAATTAAAGTCTAACTACCAATTGGATTTCACGAAATTGGGGAGAAAAAGGGGTAAAAGTATCAACTAAAAAAATTAAAAATAAAAAAATCTACCACCGCGACCACGTTATTTTTGGGAAGCATATTTGATTCTAAATTCGGACATATCAAGTTTGTATGTGAAAACTATTTCTGAAGCCGAAACCACAGAGACGCCATCAACATTTGCTTGCGAGATTAGAGTGCGTCAATTCACATACACAGCGTAGCATATGCCAATTTAATTGTCAATCCATAAAACAGTTGTATATGTTATGTTCGCTATGTAGCCCTTATGAATTATTGCTGTGTTCCTTTTGAGTAACCTTATATGTCCTACAGCAGCCTCCGTACATGCCAGCTTTAAACAGTTATGTTAGCTCACGAATGTGAGGGGAGTTGTTGCTAATACACCCGAGCAGTTTATAAAGAATGTAGCTAGTCTTATTCTTTCTACATACCAGTATTCTCTCTTGAAATCAGAGTTCCTCGAGTTTCCTAGCCCAAGCTATATGGCTGTGATCGAAATCAACACAGGTAGGCATAACGTTATAGTTTTCAAATATGCATTATTTGGCACTGGCAGTTAAAACGTAACACTAAATAGATACTTTAACTAAACATGTCACAATTCTAGACGTAACAATACACAAACATTTATTATTATTTTCTGGCAATTTATCCGCTCCTTTTACCAGCATTGTTTTTTAATTTGACACGCTATGATGCCGTTAACGCTCGCCCGTTCTCTTCTTCTATTATATAATGGCGGTCCGCAAACAAACGTTAAAGTTGCATGCCGCCAACTAATGTGCAGTCCGTTCTCTCATTCACTACCGTGCATATTAATTCCAGCGTGTAGACGCTAGCCAGCACATGCGCAGATCAAATGCACCGCTGGAACTCCGATGAAGGTGTTTACCTGTACTAATAATTCAAAAAAAATATTCTGAAAACCAGGTAATTGTCATATACTTAGATTTTGACCCCACACCGATCAAGATAAACAGAGTAAAGTGTTTATATGAATATTGCATAATCTGCCTACTGCCATAATCAGTTTAATATCGAAGTATGACTGTGCATGTAAACGTACTCAATGTTTGATTGCAGATAATTCAAATTACACAATGAAAAATATCAATGACCGAGCCCCTTGCTGTAACCCTGTTAGCTTGAGCTCATGTGTCTCTTCTGTGTCCATGTTAAAGATTCAAGCAATGTGTACAGTATCAGGAAACGTATACTGTATGTGAGAACACAGGCATGTACCCTTTAGAGAAGACCATGTAGTTGGTGAGACGGGTCAGCACAGAAGAGAGGAAGCTGGAGTCCTTGAGGAGCTGTGTGGGAAACAGCATGGCGATGATCCAACAGAACAACAATAAGCAGTCATAATCCAGAATATCCACAGTAAATGTTGACTAACCTTCTGAAGGAATCTGGGATGGTGTGTTTCAGGGAATATTCCTGTTTAAGAAAAACATACATAAAATACTACATAACCAAACATGGCAAGTTAACAGTAAGACAAAGGCTATCAAAGCAATGTGTCACTTTTACATGGAGTCACATTTACATTTTAGTCATTTAGCAGGACGCTCTTATCCAGAGCGATTTACAGTTAGTGAGTGCATACATTTTCATACTTTTTCATACTGGCCCCCCGTGGGAAACAAACCCACAACCCTGGCGTTGCAAGCGCCATGCTCTACCAACTGAGCTACACGGGGCCCCGGTAATCTACTTTGTACACATATGAAATGGTCCTTGCTATCCGGGATCCTTGGGACATCCCTACCCCTCCCCCATTGACGTTTAGATTTTAAAGGGTTAGGGTAGGGGTTTTCTGTGCTACCTGCTAATTAATTGCACACACCTGGTGTCCCAGGTCTAAATCAGTCCCTGATTAGAGGGGAACAATGAAAAAATGCAGTGGAACTGTCTCTGAGGTCCAGAGTTCAGTTTGAGGGGATTAGAGTTTAGGGTAGGGATGTCCCAAGGATTCCAGATAGCACTAACCCATAGGAAACTATTGCGGTATAGTGTGTATGACTCGGAGTAGAGGAATTTGTAAGAACAGAAAATCACTGAATTGAATTAATCCAAGGGTGAGCAACTCTGGTGCGAGAAGCAGGGTGTGCAGGCTTTAGTTCCAGCCTAGCCCAGATACTCAAATAGCAGCCTGCGGGCCACAGCTGCAGGTGTCATAGGCTGCAATTGTGATCTTTTTTTCACTAATTGGTCTCTTGACCAATCAGGTCAGCTCTGAAAAATAGCTGATGTGATTGGTCAAAAGACCAATTAGTGGACAAAAGATTAGAATTGGGCTGCTTGGGTAAACGCAGCCTTAGTAAAAAATATATATTTATAATCGGACAAGACAGGTGAGTTTACACCAGCTGCCCATCTTTATCTAATCAGGCTCTGATTGGTTAAAGGTTGTACGCTACACACAACATATAAATACACTCCAGAGTCTCTTCACCAGCACTGTTCATTGGGCATCATGGCTGCTAGTATTGGCTCAGGGTAAGATAGTGGCAAGCTCAATGTTACGTTCATTACTTGCAATACTTTGAGTATGTTGGTTAACATTCAACCCCTTTGTCTGTAGGGGCCTCCTCCTTGCTTTGCTGAGCTGGGATGTTCTTTGCTATCCTTATCAACAAGGTAAGAGCAACATTAGAGTGCTCTGTTTGCTTGAGTTTTTAGAAGATCTTCATTTATCTGAAATCAACATTAACTAACATTTGTTTGTTCCTTCCCCAGTTTATAGGACCAGCTCTCTCCATCGAAGAGGGTCACACCCTGATCCTGCTGACCTAGAGTTCCAGGCAGGGGAGATCTCTCACTTTGAGAGAGTCTATGAGCACGGCAATAGTCGGAGCGAGACCGACGAGCATATGCTGCCTCCTCCTAAGGGTGAGGCTGAAGGCTCTATTCCTGTTCCATACCGACTAGCTCGTGTCAGCTCCAGCAGCAACCAGCAGGTTCAGGAAGAACAGCCAGAGCCTGAAGCGCCAGAGCCTGAAGCGCCAGAGCCTGAAGCGCCAGAGCCTGAAGCGCCAGAGCCTGAAGCGCCAGAGCCTGAAGCGCCAGAGCCTAGTGGGGAGTCTTTCCAGGGTGGAGAAGACCCTTTACTGCACCATTGGGGCCCCGGCTCTAACAAGATTCCTTGGCATGAGCAGAACAACAAGGTAAGGTTCTGATATCTTCTGGTTTATGTTAATGATTTCTTAGTATTGATGCAACTTCATTAATAATCCATATTTCTTGTTGGCTACAACCATGGTTGTTCCCAGGCTAAGGGTGGTGTCTGGTTGGAGTCTTCCCAGGGTGTATTTGTCTGGGTACCATCAGTATGGTCACTACATGGCTACTAGGTAAGGTTGATTTCTGTCATTTAATTTCTGATGTGTTGCAGCTTTAATTTTGATTTTTTTTTTTTCTCCTGGCTCAGCAGCTCTGTATTAACCTGGATCCTGGTATCATTTGGTTATGGTGCTCTACAACTTTGAATAAATTACTTTAAATCTATTCTTTTGTCTGGTTTGTCCATTTAAAATGGTACATCTTACTAAAGTATGTTTGGCCATTTGTGCTACCTGTAGCCAATCAGGAAAAGAGCTGGAACTGTACTCTACCTCCATTGGACAGACAGAGGCTGTTGATGGTCAAGTGTCCTGTCCTGTTGTGGTCACTCCTGTGAGATACAAAGATGGGGAAGGGGTCAGTTGGAAAAAGATCTATAGCATCCACCATATTTCAACTTTCCTGTTGTCAGGTAATTGAAGGGAAAACAATAGACTATTGAGATACAGCCCTTTCAGTACTGATGGTTCCTCCAGGATTGGTTTCCAAGCCTAACCTTAACCATTAGTGGGGGGGGGGAATGCAAACTGACCCAAGATCAGTGTCTAGGGGCAACTTGATTCTACTTGGTGCAGCAGTGCTGAGCTGAGCTGTAGAGTAGTTCCTGGGCCACAGTGTCTCCGTAGTCGTGGGAGAGCAGGTTGACCCTCCGCTCTGTCAGACCCAGGTGGGACACCAACGTCTCCACAACGCTGGCCTGCTCAAAGATGGAGTAGCGGTGGGGCCTCTGTCAGGGAGACATCATGTCAGTATAGGTGAGAACCTTAGCTAGAGCAAAAAGTGCCTATTTGGATAACTTCTGCTAATGCATGTTCACTTGCTTTGTCATTACTGTTGGCACTGTTTGTGGGTTAATGTGTAAGTTTCTCTCCCTGGTTGATTCCCTGGCTTTCTAACCAATGCCTCCTAGACAGTATAGCCCACAACTCAAGTCTGTCATAGCTTGCGACTCACAGGTTTGTCACTGAAGCCAAAGCCAAGGAAGTCCAGAGCAATGACTCGGTTAAAGCGCTGATTCAGGGGCTCCAATATCTGTAAGACAGAAACACACCTGGCATTAAGACACCTGTCCAGATACCTGGATCATGTTCATAAGACAACTGAAATTGGGTACTACCTGAACTTGTCAAAATGCTTGTTTTCATTTCCTGTTGCAAAGCAATATGCTACAGTGTGCACTATTGAACATGGCCCTGTTCACAATCTACCATCAGATTGTACAATAATGGAATAAGAGCTATCCCAGCAAACCAATTGATCAAATCTGTGCATAATTCTAGACACAAGCCCCTTTCTCTTATCAGCATACCTTGTACCAGTCAAGGCTGGAGGTAGGGAAGCCATGGAGGAGGATGACTACATCAGAGCTGCCTACAGCACCATAGGTTTCTGAAAGAGGAAAAAGTCAAGCATACACATCGTTCATCACATACAGTGGCTTGCGAAACTATTCACCCCCCTTGACATTTTTCCTATTCTGTTGCCTTACAACCTGGAATGACTTTTTTTGGGGGGTTGTATCATTTGATGTACACAACTTTGAAGATGCAAAATAATTTGTGGAACAGAACAAAACTTGAGTGTGCATAACTATTCACCCCCCCTCAAGAATTTCCCTGTATTTAGCGCCATCCATCATTTCTTCAATTCTGACCAGTTTCCCTGTCGATGGAAAAACAGCCCCACAGCATGATGCTGCCACCACCATGCTTCACTGTGGGGATGGTGTTCTCCAGTGTGATGAGAGGTGTTGGGTTTGCGCCAGACATAGTGTTTTCCTTGATGGCCAAAAATCTCAATTTTAGTCTCATCTGACCAGAGTACCTTCTTCCATAAGTTTGGGGAGTCTCCCACTTGCCTTTTGGCGAACACCAAATGTGTTTGCTTATTTTTTTTCTTTAAGCAATGGCTTTTTTCTGGCCACTCTTCCGTAAAGCCCAGCTCTGTGGAGTGTACGGCTTATAGTGGTCCTATGGACAGATACTCCAATCTCCACTGTGGAGCTTTGCAGCTCCTTCAGGGTTATCTTTGGTCTCTTTGTTGCCTCTGATTAATGCCCTCCTTGCCTGGTCCGTGAGTTTTGGTGGGCGGCCCTCTCTTGGCAGGTTTGTTGTGCTGCCATATTCTTTCCATTTTTTAATAATGGATTTAATGGTGCTCCGTGGGATGTTCAAAGTTTCTGATATTTTTTTATAACCCAACCCTGATCTGACTTCTCCACAACTTTGTCCCTGACCTGTTTGGAGAGATCCTTGGTCTTCATGGTGCCCCTTGCTTAGTGGTGTTGCAGACTCTGGGGCCTTTCAGAACAGGTGTATATACACTGAGATCATGTGACACTTAGATTGCACACAGGTGGACTTTATTTAACTAATTATGTGACTTATGAAGGTAATTGGTTGCACCAGATCTTATTTAGGGGCTTCATAGCAAAGGGGGTGAATACATATGCACGCACCACTTTTACGTTATTTATTTTGTAGAATTTTTTGAAACAAGTTATTTTTTTAATTTCACTTCACCAATTTGGATTATTTTGTGTATGTCCATTACATGAAATCCAAATAAAAATCAATTTAAATTACAGGTTGTAATGGAACAAAATAGGAAAAACGCCAAGGGGGATGAATACTTTTGCAAGGCACTGTACCATGAAAATGTTACATAGGTCAATGAAGGTCAGTAAAGTAAAGGGCTAAAATTATGACTAATCTGAACATGGGCTCCAACTTTTAGCAGTCCAGACTGTTCACTGTACTGATTTAAAGGAGACACTAGATGGCTACAGTAGTCCGCGCATCACTGCATGCATCTCAATAATGTACAGTAGTCCGCGCATCACTGCATGCATCTCAATAATGTACAGTAGTCCGCGCATCACTGCATGCATCTCAATAATGTACAGTAGTCCGCGCATCACTGCATGCATCTCAATAATGTAAAGGAATGCTAATTAAAGCTCAGTTTCTTCCTCTTTCTTTTGTCCACATTAATCTGTGACAACTGGACAGGTCAAATACATTACAGTACACTTCCCAATAATTTACATTTACATTTTAGTCATTTAGCAGACGCTCTTATCCAGAGCGATTTACAGTTAGTGAGTGCATACATTTTCCATACTGCTTTCACCGCTCCTGTCAATTAAATTACATTTGCTTTATTGACATGACGTAACAATGTACATATTGCCAAAGCTTACTTTGGAGAATTACAATATTAACATAATTAAAATAATAATAATCAATATTGTCAACTGAACAACAATAACCAAGGGTCAAAATAACCATACACTGAACAATGACAATGGCATAGAGGACATGTGCAGGTTGGTTAGTCTGTCAGACACTGTCCCTCATTTTATGGCAGGCAGCAATGTAGTGCGTTGCCAACCCACAGCTCTCTGCGTCCTCCCCCAACAGGACGGGTAACCTATTCTCATCAGAGAGGTCTTTGAAACCTTGAATAAGGGTTTCAAATTTGGGGAAATGACACTAATTGTTTTATATTTTTGACATTTTGTCAGGAAATGCAGCTCTGTCTTGGGTTTGCGGTGGCGCAGTAGTTGCACAGCCTTTCATCTACAGGGAGACAGGTTTTCCTGTGTCTACCCTTCTCAATGGCAAGGCTGTGCTCACTGAGCCTGTACTTTGCCAAGGTTTTTCTAAGGTTTTGATCAGTAACCATGGTCAAATAGTTTGCCATGTGTACTGTCGATTTAGGCCCAGATAACACTGCATTTTGCTTTGTGCTTGTGTTCCCAATAAGTAATGTAGTTTTGTTTTGACTGTGTTGTAATTTAGTTTATTCTGATTGATTGGATGTTCTGGTCCTGAGGCTTCAGTGTGTTAGTAGAACAGGCTTGTGAACTCGGCCCCAGGACCAGCTGGATGAGGGGACTCTTCTTTGCTCAGCTCTTGCCATTGCAGGGCTTGGTAATGCTATGAGATGTTTCAAAAACTTAATTGCTCTTTTTTTAGTTTGTATTATTATTATTGGATATTTGCCTAATTCTGCCCTGCATGCATTGTTTGTAGTTTTCCTCTGGACATGTAGGAGAATGTTACAGAACTCTGCATGCAGGGTTTCAATGGGGTGTTTGTCCCATTGGGTGAAATCTTGATTTGCAAGTGTACCACACACCTCGCTGCCATAAAGTGCAATTGGTTCAATCACACATTCAATTAGTCTTTAAAGATCAGTACAGTGCACCACTATCAGGTATGTGCAGGGGATAGGGATATGGATTCATAAGCAAGTTCAATTTCAAAATGTACAATGGTTGGATTTATATAATATGAATCAAATGAGAATAGACCCTATCCCTCCATTCTACTCTTACTGATGCCAAATCTTACCTCTGTAGAATATATTGTTGCCCCTGAAAGTGAAGAATGCTCCGGCAGAGTGCCAGGTCAGGAGAGCAGGGGACAGTTGGGGAGGAGGGAGGTGGAGGTAGACCGCCAGCAGAGGAATGCACAGCAAGCCCACAAGAAGCCACCATGCCCTCATCTTTCCTTAGGTAGGAGGGCCGGAATCGCATTCCGCACTCTGGAATATACGGATGAAGACAACATTGGGGTCACAGCACGACATGTAATTTAGGCTACTATCATCCTTTCACATGACTAGTTTACAAGTGCCAGACCTATTGTGTGATGATGTCATGTGACACCGAGATACTTCATAAATTCTTGAAGCAACATGGTCGGCAAAACTAGACTTTGGAAGATCGTCAAAATAGTGGGCTACAGGCAAACATCGCTGTCTCCTTGCAACAATAGGCTATGCTATCATTCCGTTTTAAAAAATAAAATATTAGCCTACCTCTTGGAAATGTGTCAGTTCTGGACACTAAAATAACACTTCCGCCTGGGGCACTGTCAGTGCTGTACCTACCTACAGCCGAGTCGCGGTTCTGTCATTCCTGTGCGCTCAGTGGTCCGCGTCCCGGTCATCTGGGTATGTTTCGAACCTTGGCCCAGTGCACTGTATTAGTGCAGAGTCGGGGAAATTGTATTATTTTGTAGTGTCGCATGGAGGATTGCCAGGGTCGCATGGAGGATTGCCAGGGAGCTGAGCTCTAAATCTTCAGGAGCCATCTGTCGGTGTGGATGTCCAATAAGCATGCTACCTGTGTTTGAGGTTTTGTATTCATGCATCCATTTCCAAATGTCCACTTTCATGGAACAAATCATATACTGATTTGAAAATGACTATTACAATAACAATTACACTATTTAGGGAAGGCTGCTCATAGCATGAATCAATGGAACAGTAGTCGAGGGAACTTGCATTATCCTACTGATAATCAGTGCCATAATCAATATCTAGCTGATTATTAAAATGAGACAAGGCCAATGTGGTATATATATATGATTATATTATCCTATATATTTTTTCTCCATGCATGAGGAAATCACCGACCTGCAGCCATCCAGTGGACGAGTTATATTTCAAAACCCACCCAGACGTACCACTAGATGGAATTGTAAGACAACTAAAGCACTAATCAGACGTCTGACAGAAGTAGGGTTTCATTACAGGCAGAAACATACTATTATTAAAAGGACACGTTAACTTTTTTTTAACCAAATCTGTATTTTGGATGTAAATGGCATGTTATAGAAGTTACCAGAATTTTTTTTTTTTGTTGATTTCACTTCGATTTGATAAACATATCCCACCAGCGATATACTGCCTCATGCAATCACAGGCGAACAGATAAAACATGAACAAAGGATCCAAAACCCAAATACGTCCTTACAAAGGATCCAACACCCAAATACGTCCTTTAGGAAACGGCAAAGCTCTCAGTGTTCCACGTCTTTAGACGTTATACAAATGAAATTGTGTCATTCCGAAGTTTATCTGCAACCTTCTATTCCATTTTGTTGGCCTTGAGGAATACTTTTCCATGTGCATAGGCTATGTGCCTTTTTCATCCAAAATACAGATTTTTTTTTTCAAGTGCACTTGTCCTTTAAGGTGGCCTGTTATGCATGATAAATGAAAAACATGACTGTATTTAGGCTAAATATCAATTTTTTATTTTTAAAAACCATACACATTACTCGACAAGTTTCAAATGTAAATCCAATCACGATAATCATTTAAATTACTCAAGAAAAACAGACATAAGTAGTTTTTATTTCCAAATGTTAAGATAAAAAAATAATAATCCATAAAACAGATGGATAAACATTCATTCCCGTTACAGGAAGAATCTACAGAACAAACTTATGGATTCTTTTTTCTTCCCATTTCTCATTTTTGCAATCTCAAGATGCTTTTTTATTTGTAAAAACACAAGGAAAACAATTTATTCCCAAAATATAATTGTCATTGAGCAACTACTGAACATATCCCTTTCCTCCCTGTCCCCCCCTCTCTTGGCCCACTACACCCAGCTTTGGGTGAGAGGTCTAAACAGGTGAGGGACTTAACAGTCAGAATCATTGCACCCTGCTGCCTAAACAAAAACAACCCAACATGGCTGACAAGCTACTTCACAACATTTAAAAAATGTGTTAGTATTTTGACCACAGGCCTATATAAAAGCCTAGTCTCCTATTTCATACCATTTGCCACCCTGAGAAAAATATTCCTATCATCAGAACCAATTGCAACCCTTTTTATTGAGCGCCCCACCCCGTCCCAAATGTTCCATTGTGTAATTTGTGTCAAACCCCAAAACTCTGGTTCAGTAGGTTGAAAGTTATCGTCTGCGTTTCCATAAAAATACAAAGGTACAATTTGTATGGTTGTCTGTATAAAAATGTTCCCAAGGGAGGTGTTATGAAACAAAGTACCCCTGTGCAGTTACCAGTGTATGCCTAGTCTTTTTATTCTTTAAAAATGTATGTGTCAATCTTTTAGTTTTTCCAGTATATCAGGTGTCAAAAATATTCTACAAACAAATCAAATGCAGCAACATTTATGACTGTGAAAGGAGTCTTATGGGGGAGGTTGATTTTTCAAATGTCAACAATCCAGAAATTGAGGGGAATTTAAGTTTTCATGAAAAGAAATGAAAATAATTGAATGAAATATGAAAATAATCCACTCGCTTAAAAAAAAAAACATTTTACCACCTAAAGACCAAAAATTTGAAGTTAAAATGTTTTCTTAATTTATAGAATCAGTTTTCAATTCAACCCTTTTCTATGCCTGAGTAAACAATATTGTACATTGGCAGGGCCTGAAGTGTCGCTGAGTGAAAAAAAAGACAAGAAAAACAGAACTGATTCTCAATGTGATGACCAACTGCCAAACTCCCTTTATGAACTCTTAAAGTGTAAAAAAATACTATGATTTTAATACCCCTCCCCTTAACCCACAATTAAGGAAATGAGAAACAGGACTTTTGAGTTTCCCTGTGAACGAGAAAAATGGAACATTGAAACTGCTAAAGCAATGAACATGGTAAATATTTATAGAAATGTGAATGGATAGAGTCCCTTGGTGGTTCTTACCCCTTCCCTCTCCTGTTGAAACTCTCCACCCCCCCCAATGGACCGCTTCGCTATACAAGCCTTAGTGTTTATCTGTTTGGCTAGAAGGTTTCAATTTATCTACAAATATATAACAAATAAAAATTGCAGGCAAAAAGAGTTAAGTTTCAATAGAAACACCCTTTTTTCCTGAAAATACAGCAGTATCTGAAATAGTCCTCTTATTCAATGTTTTACTCTGTCCCTCATTTTTCTGCATCGTACGTCAGGAAGCTCTTTCGTCTACAAACAGAAAAAAAGTATCTACAAACTTTGTAAACAGACCTGCTTTTTCCAAAAACATAAATAATTAAAAATATTAACAGCCAATGGAGCAGAAAAAACTTTTCTGAATGAGCAAGGGCCAAAGACATAAATATACAACACCATTCAGATAAAGAGAAGCTAAAGGTTGTCTTTAATTTCTTACAGCTGATCTTCAAGCCAGGAGGAGGACCTCCACCCCTCATAAAAATAATAATATTACAAAAAAAAAAAACAGGTCACTTTCAATCTGAGTTTATATTCACCCCTCTTGCACCAAGAACAACCTAAAAGTTATCAATGAGGGAGGGGTGGAGACAAAAGAAGCCCGCACATTGCCAGAGGGGTATTTTTTAAAGAAAATACAATTTCTAATTAAATAAAAGAAAATCATCAAAACCAAACCCTACATTCTCGTGAATGTTTGCTCTTGTTTCAGTCCAGCCCAAGCTCTAAGCTTACAGAAGACTATCCGCTCTCCATTCCACTCTCCCCCGCCTTTCCTCTTCTCCTCTGCCGTCTCTCCTCCTCCGAGGCGAGCTCCTCGTCGTGGGTAGAAAAGTGGCCGTGGTGGTGGTGGTAGTAGTAGTGGCTGAGGGGTGGGGGAGCTGGCTCAGAATCAGAGGGAGGTCTCCAGGCTGTGTAAGGGGCTCCCTGGGGCCGAGGGGGTCCCTGCTGCCTTGTTGCCCTCCACGTAGAGGTGGTTGTTGCCGCTCTCCACTGCATTATTGTTCTGGTTGGGTGAGGGCGTCGGCTCGAGTGACGGGGAAGGAGGGGTGGGCGTGGCGTTGCGGGGGGAGGCGGAGTTGCGCTTGGTGGGGGCATCATCCTCGGCGTCGGTGTCGTCGATGAGGGGGATGGAGGGCTCCGAGTCCTCTATCCTGAACTCTGGGTGGGTCATGAAGTTGTGGATGGAGCTGCGAGACTCTGGTTTCTCCAGCCCCTCATAGGGGGACAGGGAGCTGCGGAATGCATTCACCACCCGGATCTGTTGGGGGGAGGGAGGGTAAGGGGGACACACAGTCAGTCTCAACATAGAATCATACACACATACATTTAGCATTTTCAATTGCAGTTCAAACCATGGACACAAAATAAATGGGGCTTTGTTTTTAATGGGTCAATTGCGGTGAGTTTGGGACGGGGGACATGAAAAAACACCATTGATTTTGTTGTGAAACTCTCAACAAGACATGCAAGTATGCAGTGAGGACTAGTCCCGGAGGCTACGGTCAATCGTCAACCCTGATCACTTTTGTTACCGTCTTTCCTCGGACTGAGACTGAGCACTCAGTGGTGGAAGAAACCAGTCAACAGTTAGTGGGTCGTGGGACATATGTCTCTTACCGTCGGCTTTCACACCTCAAGAAAACTCTCGGGATTCAACAAACCATTGAGAAAACAACGCAACTGTTTTGAGGGGAGTAGTAGTAGTAGTAAATATCATTTAAAAAATCCAGCTCCAAAAATCCAACCCTCGGTTCATGTTATTCAAAATGCAAGAAAAATCGAGGCATGTTCTGGGGCGATGTTCTGGACGAGAACACATCCATAGAGGACAGAAGCTTGGACACAGATAGGTTACTTGTTTTGGTCATGCTCAGGGGGAGGGAGGTGAGGAGGGTCAGTCACTGATTATGTTGATGTGGAGAAAACAAAAACTGCAGCAGCCAAGCAGATCTAAAGCTTATAGCTAGATACGCAACAGCACAAGAAACACTCAAACGGACTATATAGACTGAACCCATGCAGAGCGGTGCTACCTTGTGTTCAACAGTAGTAAACCTTTGAGTATAGCCCATGACACATTTCACAGAATCTAAGGAGGAATATGGTTGAGTCAGTAAGATTCGGGTGCTTTTTTGCTTCATTTTTTGGGGGTGACAACAGTGGACAGTACACACTTGCTATGAAAGAGGAATATTGAAATAAAAAGTATCAAATTATATCAATCCTAAATGTTAAGTGTTCTCATCAGCAAAGCACCTGGAAAGAGAGGGTTCATCATTTAGTGGGGAGATATGGCTTACACCCCAAAGAGACAAATTGAAATTAAAACATGGTCAAAACACTGCTCACTAGTATCAAAGCCTCTGAAGAAACATCACATCAGTTAATACAATCAATGTCTGCAACTGCAGGTCAGCCAGTCTAAAAGAACAGTTGAGTTCACACAGACACACTCCCTGGTAGAGAACAGTTAATACACTCGGAACACATATCAAAGCCCTTAATCTGGGTCTAAGGAAAGAAGGTTCATTTGGGAAGGGATAGCCTTGGTTATTTGCGGGATGCTGAAAATTCCATTCCGGAGAGGACAGAGACATTCCAGGAGCCTCCTGCACACAGTACAGCAGCCCCCGGAATGTTCCACTGATTGTCTATTAGTTGGGCGACAAGGTGGCTGGAATACCCAGACCGACCTAACACTCTGGACTGGACTTCACCCTGGAAAGACCCTGAGAAAGAACCATGCCGGTCTAAAATGGAAAAGATCATTATTGGTTACGTGGCAAATGTTGACCAACATAACCAAAACATTGACAATATGTTGATTTGGAGAGAGAAATAACTCTTATTTGTTTATGCTCAGTCAGAGACAACCTCTGGTTTTTGGGGGGATTTTAGCAATACCATCTACCGTGACCATGGGCATATACTCAAAACATTTACACAGCTACTAGAGAGGGGGGCCAGAGCTGCGACAAGACCCATGAGAGCGCTAGTAGCCAGGGGGGCCAGCCAGGGGGGAGGGGGGCACAGCAGCAGATGTGACCAGACAACAACCTCAATCCAACGTTCCTCTAGCTCCTCCCTCCCTCCTCTCCCCCAACCTCTATCTTCAGAGAATGAAGCAGAAGCAGGAACAGAAAACAAGATGTGACACAGAAAAAACCCTCAGGACTAGTGGTGACCTTGTGGGTGTTACAGTACATCGATATACACAGCAGTTATGTTTCCAAGCAACATGTGGTTGTTTTTTGTATTTTTTGAAGAAAAGTAGGGACAATTAAGAGTGAATGAATTCAACGTTAGGCGAGAGAGTAGAAGAGGACGATGTTAGATTTTCATGCACTAAGGAAACACACACTCACACCCCACAGTGGAAGAAGCGGTGTTGGCGTCAGTGGCAGTAGTAGAAAAGGCTACATGTGTAGGGCTAGAAACATTGGTTACATCGTGCTGTTGTTGGCTGGAGGTGGAGGGCTGCCGCCTTAGCTGGCGCTCCTGAAAGGAGCTTCCGCTCTGGAAGGCACTCACTACATCCATCTGCAAGGAATCAGATAGGGTGACAGGAGAGGATAGGGCCCAGAACCCACAGCAAGAGGAGAGAGGCAAGAGCGAGAGAGAGAGGAGAGAGAGAGGAGAGAGGGGAGCGAGAGAGAGAGAGAGAGAGAGAGGGGAGCAAGAGGAGACCAAGAGTGGAAGAAACCAGAGAAAGAGAAAGGTGAGAGGAAGATGACAGAGAAAGAGAGAAAAGGCACCAAAATACAATAGAAATGTATATTTACCCCCTCAGAGAGACATAGCAGTTGAGAGAGAGAAGGGGGGGGAAAGGCACTGATCTGAAGAAGGTTTCCCCAGAGCCTGATCTGACGCTTTACATTTACTCAGAAAAGAAATCATCCCATATTCAAATAACTTTCACACCTGGTCCTTTAAGATACCTGTACCGTTATTTTCTCTGCATTATGTGGTCTTCTCAGTATCACACAAAAAGGGGCATTTTCTTCATTGACCATTACATTAACATGATGTTCAACTCAGCTTGTTAGAAAGCCAGAAATAGAATAGGCAAAAAGGACCTTGCTTTAGCTTTCCAAAGCAAACAGGAAATCAAGTCAAAAGAAGGCTTCTGAGGGGAACATGCCAGCCGTTGATTCAAAGTGCTGAGAGGAAGGGGATGAGAAGTGCGTAGTGTTAACCATAACATAACCTTATGGCTTGTGATTCCTCTCTGCTGTGGTCGACATCGGTGGAGAAGCAGTCAAGGAGGACATTACCTGAGTCTGGATGCGGTTGAGGCCCCTGAACCAGAGGATCTGTCCACGGCGCAGCTCGCGCTCGGCGTGGTCGATCTCCTCCATGTCCTCCATGTCCTCCAGCTCCTCGTCGGGGATCTCCTGCCTCTGGGTGCCGTGGCCGGCAGACTTCAGGAACCTCAGACTTTTGGTGGGGATGGATGAGATCAGCTGGAGGGAGGAGAGGGCAGAGGGCTTATCAGAGTCCAAACCATGTCTGCAATATTGGACCGCAAATCCCATCTCTGCCACAGAGGACTGACTACTAACATACAGACAGCAAAGACCCAGATTACTAGTACATATGCAATGACAAGCTGGACTGCAACAGCTGCACAACAGGCACCCTCACACAATGTGCATCAGTTAACCGAACCACCAGTTTCCACAGGAAGTCAGCTCGGAAAATAAATGTGCCTGAGGCTAAAGTAATGGGTTGTTGTCTGGTGACAAAGCAATGTTTGGTCTGTGGTCATATCCGGCCATTTATTTGCTAGGGTCAGCATCACAAAATGCAACACCAATGAAATCACAATCAACAACATAATTAAAACAGGAGAAGGCCAACAGGAAATTGTAATGCAATAGATATTTCAGAAATAATATGACGGCGCTCAAATCAGGGATTCTAGATCCTTCTGTAAAAATCATCATCCAACTAGCCATTTCAATACAGTGTGGCTACCCAACACAGCCACATTGGGGCAGTAGTGTATCCCTGACGGATGGGGCCGTGTTGGAAAGTTACAGGTGACGCACTTGCAACTCACTGAGTGTGTGTGTGTGTGTGTGTGTGTGTGTCTTCTTACCTGACCCCAGAGGAGACTGCTGAAGCCCAGAAAGGTGCACCATAGCCACTGGTCGATGCTCAGGCCCACGCAGCTGAACGGTTTGCCTCCCCACTGCACTATGACTATCTGTGTGGCCGGAGAGGAAAGAAACACATTTAGAGGTCAAGCTCATTTTCATTCATGCCAATCGTTTCTTGGTTTCCTGGTAATTCCATTTTGACAGATGTGTGTTACAACGGTTTTCATGTGAACCATGTATGAATATGGTTTGGGTTTCGTTTTTCTTCATCCTTTATTTATTCAGGTCAGAGCCATTGAGATGGGACTCATTTAAGGGAGCCCTGGCCTTCTTATATATGGGGAAGCATCTATATTCTTCCAGAAATGGACCCCCTTTCCTATACAAGTGTACTACTTTTGTAGCCTGCAGTCAGGCCAAATGTAGTGCACTATATAAGGAATAGGGTGCCATTTCAGACATAAACATCTGAAACCCTACCTCTTCAAATAGTATCTTAAATTAACCCCACATCAACAACGTGCACTATTCTTTTCCTGCTAGTGCTGACTTTGCTGATAACTACTTTGAGGGGAAATGTACTGATACGACTGTGATATGTGGTTCTCTCACCTATCTTAAGATGAATGCACTAATTGTAAGTCGCTCCGGATAAGAGCGTCTGCTAAATAAATAAAAATGTGTGTCTGTTTAAAGCAGTGAGCAACCGGCAGGCAGACATGCTACAGCCTGAAGACACTAGGCACTAAGTTACCTGGATGATGAAGGTGCCGAAGACGATGGAGCAGAAGATGAGGTTGTTGAAGATGCCATCGAAGACGTTGCGCTCGCCGTGGATCTTCCTGGCGTTGATCTCGTTGAAGAGCTGCAGGAGGACGAAGGTGTTGAAGATAATGGTGTAGTGCTCCGAGGGAGGAGAGTGGAGGGGCGCGTACCGCCCGCTGTCGATGTCAAAGATCTGCTCGCCTGGGAGGGGGAGGAGAGAGATGGGGAGATGAAGTGTTGGCCTACTAGTTTTTAAAATATATTTCTCTGAATTTCATGGAAGGTCGCTACTCCCTTGTACATGACTGCTTAATTAAGGTCACTAATTAGTAAAGAACTCCCCTCACCTGGTTCTTTAAGTCTTAATTGAAAGTAAAAAACTAGCAGACACTAGGCCCTCTTTGGAATGATTTAAAGGTAGACTCAGCGATATGATGCAGAAAGTATAACAGCATAGTGGGTAAATTTCCGCAACTACTAAGAACGTTGAAGCACATGGCTCAACTTCACCGCTGTTTTGGTCCGGTGGCTACCACGCACTAACAGCGTTAAGCGAAACCCTTACACATGTGCAGATACTGTATGAGAGCGAAGTGTTGCATCTCGCTCATTAAAATATCTGCGGTGCTGCTCGTGGCAACATCATTTGGCTGAGTCTACCTTTAACCTTTATTTATTCAGTAAGTCCCATTGAGGTCAGAACACATCTTTTACATCAAAAGACCTCTTTCAGATCAGTAAATTTCACTTAACCTTTCAAATGTTCTCGGCCTTCGAAAGGGAAGAGCCCAACCCTTTTGTCGACTGAGGTTAATCTGACACTGAAATTAGACTGGACAGCCCAATAAGATGGCAGCCCAGTCACTAGACAGTGTGGTCGACCTACTATTTTCCAAAAATACACCGGATTGGTGGAGTGAAATGTGTTGATCTACAGGGTCAGCAATAGTAGTACGGCGAACCCTGGAGCAAATTAGGGTTAAGTGCCTTGCTCAAGGGCACATCGATAGGTTTTTCACCTTGTCAGCTCGGGTATTTGAACCAGTGACCTTTCGGTTACTGGCCCAACGCTCTAACCGCTAGGCTACCTGCCGCCCTAGTTAAGGTTGTAGTAGTTAAGGTGCTACGATCAGCGAGCCAGTCGATCAAGACCGCCTCATACCCATGTGAAATTGAATGGCATATGGTAACCCGTTTCAGCTCAGTGTGCAATTAAAGTGAGATACAATCAGTGAGGCAGATAATGCACACACGCTCCAGTCATTTACCTACGAAGAGAAGGGTGAAGATTATGATGAGCTGGTAGACTCCGTGGCCCAGGATGTTCTTCATCATGGTGCGGGAGATAAGGGGCTTGTTGCGGCCGTACGGCTTCCTCAGCAGGAGAGACTCGGTGGGGGGCTCGGTGGCCAGGGCCAGGGAGGCAAAGGTGTCCATGATCAGGTTCACCCACAGCATCTGGACAGCTTTCAGTGGAGAGTCCTGGAGGGAGAGAGCGAGAGGGTGGTAGGAAAAGGAGAGGGGAGACAGAGAGGGATGGTGGTAAGAAGGAAATGGAGAGGGGAGGAGAGAAAGGGGGTGTGAAAAAGAGGAGAAGGAGAGAGAGATAGAGGACAGAGAAGGGAGTTGAAAGAGGAGGAGATAGAGAAAGCGGGGGAGAGCAGGACAGAGTGAGAAAGAGGAAAAATAAATGGATTACTCATGCAGTCACTACTACTTACATAACATCCTCCACACTATCCCAACGGCAGACTGCCGACACACTGCACAAATCCAACCAACGCATTAAAAGAAGCGCAGGCCATAACACGAAGCGCCGATGCTGCCTGAGCAGTGATCATTGAAAGCTTAGTCTTCAGTAGCCCACACACTGCTCAGAAATGACACACAAGCAGCTATACAGTGTCCACTTCCTGACTCACCAGAGCTACTCAGGCTCCATTACAGAGGCAAACCACTTCACACCAGCAGAGGAGCTAGCGAGCTACATACAGTGGGGAGAACAAGTATTTGATACACTGCCGATTTTCCTACTTACAAAGCATGTAGAGGTCTGTAATTTTTATCATAGGTACACTTCAACTGTGAGAGACGGAACCTAAAACAAAAATCCAGAAAATCACATTGGATGATTTTTAAGTAATTAATTTGCATTTTATTGCATGACATAAGTATTTGATCACCTACCAACCAGTAAGAATTCCGGCTCCCACAGACCTGTTAGTTTTTCTTTAAGAAGCCCTCCTGTTCTCCACTCATTACCTGTATTAACTGCACCTGTTTGAACTCATTACCTGTATAAAAGACACCTGTCCACACACTCAATCAAACAGACTCCAACCTCTCCACAATGGCCAAGACCAGAGAGCTGTGTAAGGACATCAGGGATAAAATTGTAGACCTGCACAAGGCTGGGATGGGCTACAGGACAATAGGCAAGCAGCTTGGTGAGAAGGCAACAACTGTTGCCGCAATTATTAGAAAATGGAAGAAGTTCAAGATGACGGTTAATCACCCTCGGTCTGGGGCTCCATGCAAGATCTCACCTCGTGGGGCATCAATGATCATGAGGAAGGTGAGGGATCAGCCCAGAACTACACGGCAGGACCTGGTCAATAACCTGAAGAGAGCTGGGACCACAGTCTCAAAGAAAACCATTAGTAACACACTACGCCGTCATGGATTAAAATCCTGCAGCGCACACAAGGTCCCCCTGCTCAAGCCAGCACATGTCCAGGCCCGTCTGAAGTTTGCCAATGACCATCTGGATGATCCAGAGGAGGAATGGGAGAAGGTCATGTGGTCTGATGAGACAAAAATAGAGCTTTTTGGTCTAAACTCCACTCGCCGTGTTTGGAGGAAGAAGGATGAGTACAACCCCAAGAACACCATCCCAACTGTGAAGCATGGAGGTGGAAACATCATTCTTTGGGGATGCTTTTCTGCAAAGGGGACGACTGCAACGTATTGAGGGGAGGATGGATGGGGCCATGTATCGCGAGATCTTGGCCAACAACCTCCTTCCCTCAGTAAGAGCATTGAAGATGGGTCGTGGCTGGGTCTTCCAGCATGACAACGACCCAAAACACACAGCCAGGGCAACTAAGGAGTGGCTCCGTAAGAAGCATCTTAAGGTCCTGGAGTGGCCTAGCCAGTCTCCAGACCTGAACCCAATAGAACATCTTTGGAGGGAGCTGAAAGTCCGTATTGCCCAGCTACAGCCCTGAAACCTGAAGGATCTGGAGAAGGTCTGTATGGAGAAGTGGGCCAAAATCCCTGCTGCAGTGTGTGCAAACCTGGTCAAGACCTACAGGAAACGTATGATCTCTGTAACTGCAAACAAAGGTTTCTGTACCAAATATTAATTTCTGCTTTTCTGATGTATCAAATACTTATGTCATGCAATAAAATGCAAATGAATTACTTAAAAATCATACAATGTGATTTTCTGGATTTTTGTTTTAGATTCCGTCTCTCACAGTTGAAGTGTACCTATGACAAATTACAGACCTCTACATGCTTGTTCTCCCCACTGTACGTATTAGCGGCTTAGCATGCTAGCAGAGCAGCTACCTACATACATTATACATCCAAAAATTAGCAGCTTAGCATGCTAGCAGAGTGGCTAGCTACACACACGTAAACACATTAGCATCTATAGTAGCATACAGTGTGTGTGTGTGTGCGCGCGCGCACACCCGTGTGGCCCTCTAGTAAATGCTCAGCCACTCATTGCTCATGATCCCAAAATTACAGCACTGTTGGATAATGCACTCAGCTCGGGCCCAGAGCTTTAAATAGCTGTTTGTTCCTTTTCTATTGCAGGCCCATTTACCATTGTTTCATGCTTGGTTGAGCACTGATTTGGCGGCTGCTGTGACCGACAGGTCAAATAGGGGCAGATGATTGCTACCACTAGTCACAGAGAACCTGAAAAGTAGGACCTATTTCAAAACCTGCTCTGATCCAAGGGAATACATTAGAATAAATTGGTTGCGGTTTCCAACGTGCAGTGCACCATTTTGTACTGCCTCAGTCATTGTTGATACACACACACACACACAGATCATAGACTTCAGTCATAGGTGAGAAAAATCTTGCCATTCAAGCTAAGGGAGGATAGATCCTGGAGCTGCACCTAAGAACCAAACCCTCTATTCCTTCTACAAACTCCCCTCTGAATGCAAATCAAATCCAAGAGCACAGCGATTCGTTTTTCTCCATATCACATACAGTGAGTCATGTCCGCTCTATTCATGACATTTCTATCTGCAGCTTCCCACATCACCGGCGTTTCCATACCTGTATGATACAGGATCCGGTGAAGGCCATGATGATGGCCACCACGTTGACAGTGAGTTGTGTGTGTGTGTGTATACACTGAGTGGACAAAACATTAAGAACACCTGCTCTTTCCATGACAGACTGACCAGGTGAAAGCTATGATCCCTTATTGATGTCGCTTCTTAATTCCACTTCAAATCAGTGTAGATTAAGGGGAGAAGACAGGTTAAACAAGGATTTTTAAGCCTTGAGACAATTAAGACATGGATTGTATCTGTGTGACATTTAGAGGGTGAATGGGCAAGTCAAAAGATTCAAGTGCCTTTGAATGGGGTATGGTAGTAGGTGCCAGGCGCACCGGTTTGAGTGTCTCAAGTGTTTTTCACGCTCAACAGTTTCCCGTGTGTATCAAGAATGGTCCACCACCCAAAGGCCAACTTGACACAACTGTGGGAAGCATTGGAGTCAACATGGGCCAGCCTCCCTGTGGAATGCTTTCGACACCTTGTAGAGTCCATGCCCCAATGAATTGAGGCTGTTTTGAAGGCAAGGTGTTCCTAGTGTTTTGTACACTCAGTGTATGTGTGTGTTAGGGATTATATATTTTTTGGAGACCTGCTCACGCAGCGCGAGAGAGAGCTGGTGTGCTGCGCTCTGCTTGTTTCAGCAGAAGGTGGGAGAGGGGCGGGAGAGGAGAGGAGCAGGTGTGTGTGACAGTCTGCATGTGTGGCATGGAGGGAGAGAGAAAGTAGCTAAACCGACACGCGATAATTATATTTTAAGACGAAGCCTTTTCATTTTAAAAATAGGCCTATATATTTTTTTCTTCTTACAAATGAATACTCTCTCAAGTAGTGGAATACTAACGTCCGTTGGGATATTTGAATAACCGTGCCCATCCCTAGTTTGTGTGTGTTACCTGCGTGATGCAGGCGCCGGTGAAGGCCACGATGACAGCCACTACGTTAACGGTGAGCTGAAACTGGAGGAACTTGGAAATGCTGTCGTAGACATTGCGTCCCCACATCACCGCCTTGACGATGCTGCTGAAGTTGTCGTCCGTCAGGATGATGTCAGATGCCTCCTTGGCCACGTCCGTGCCAGCGATACCCTGCAGGTGACACACATTCACATAAAGTTCTATATTCAATTTATGCAGAGCTCGTGGTCTAGCATTAACACCCCCCTGCTCTGGATACACATACATCTCTCCCAGGAGACCGGCGTTCAATCCCCACTCCAAACCTTCATACGGTTTCTCCATATCCCTGTCTACCCCTCTGTCCATTCATAACGGTCTCATTAAGTCAAAATGCGTAAGAGAAACAAGTTAGATATTCAAGTAGTCGTAGCCCTATACACATGTAATTGCGGTGCAGTACTTTTGTTGTTTCTGTTGATATGTGCGATATGTGATGGCCATTGGTCACTACTGAGTGTGATGTTATCCGTCAGTCAACTTCGTTGAACTTTAGTTTCACATTTGTATCTATTTTTTCCCACATGATATATTAATTGTATTGCTTTGTAAACATGCAGTAAATTACATCCATAAAGTTTACAATGCCATCTTTAAACCCAACACCCTTTTTGACTACCCATATAAAAAATGCAGATTAAAGTTACATCATGATCATTATCTGGACTTGTGACGATATGACTCATGGTTATCTGGACAGTATGAGCTGCCATACAGTATGGGCAATCATTTACAGCCAAATAGTATCAACATGTTAATTTCTGATACGACGGGCAGAGAAATGAGACTCACCATGGCGAAGCCGACATCGGCTTTCTTCAGGGCGGGCCCGTCATTGGTGCCGTCTCCTGTGACTGCTACTACCTGCCTCTGTTCTAAGACCGTACTGTCGATGATACCTGGAGGGAGAGAGAAGGATTTTTTGGGGGATTAAATTACTCATTTGAAATTTAAAATTTCAAGACACTGACATTTTCCATTTTCATCCTGAAAGAGCAAATGTCACGAATTCAGCCAAGGCTGCCCCTCCTCCTTGCTCTGGCAGGTTTCGGCATTCGTCGTCACCGGCTTACTAGCGACTACCGCTCCATTTACCATCACTCCATTTGTCTTGTCTTGTCTTGTCAATCACACACACCTGGTACTCATTCCCTCATTAGTCTGTGTATAAGTGTTCCCTCTGCCCCCTTGTCCTTTGTGAGGGATTGTTCGTTGTGAGAGCGAGTAGCTCGGTTGAATTACTCTTTACTTGTATGCAGCCAAGGTTGATTTTCCCTTGTGCTAGTTTTGTTCTGTCGTTATATGCGCTACATTATTGTACACTGAATAAACTCTTGATTTCAGTGTTTTACCTCCTGCGCCTGACTCCGTCATTCACACCTCATCACAGAATCACTCACCCGCTATGGAGTCAGCGGGAGAAGAGCGCACACCTGGAATCGTGGCAAGGGTCCAGGAGCATTCCACGATGCTGGCCAGCTTGGGGGAAGCGATGGATCGGGTTCTTCAAGTCGTCCAACGCCTGGGGAGAAGAGGAACCGATCTGTTCGAGACCAGCTGGCCAACCGGATCCAGCCACCTACATCACAGCACCCGGAGGGATCCAGATATCCCGACCTCGGGCGTTCGATGGGACGCCGGCTCTATGTCAGGGATTCCTTCTCCAACTGGAGCTGTATTGCTCCAGTGTCAGGCCGGCGCCATCAGATCAAGAGCAGGTGTCCGTCCTCATTTCCTGCCTCTCGGGGAAAGCCGTGGAGTGGGCCAATGCGGTTTGGAGAGAAGGAGGAGCCGCGTTGGAGGACTACAGGGAGTTCACCCGCCTATTTCGGGCTGTTTTCGATCACCCGCGAGAGGCAGGTGAGCAGCTGGTCCACTTGAGGCAGGGGACGAGGACAGTACAGGAGTTTGCTCTGGAGTTCCGGATCCTGGCAGCAGGGTCCGGGTGGAACGAGCGGGCCCTGATCAACCAGTTCCGGTGCCATCTACGGGAGGACGTCCGACGGGAGCTAGCCTGCCGTGACACCAGTTTGTCTTTTACCGAACTGGTGGACATGGCCATTCGTCTGGATAACCTGCTGGCAACCAGAGGACGTACTGGAGGAGGTCTGCCCGTTCCCGCCCCGACCGACGCGGATCCAGAGCTCATGGAGCTGGGTGGTACCCCGCACCGAGAGAGCGGAGGACGACAGCGCCAGTGCCACTCGGATGGCACGAAGGGACATTCCACCACACGTTGTCGTCAGCGCTCTTTTGGGTCAGGAGGAAGCCGGCAGGGCACTCTCGCATCACCCCAGGTATTGAGCACCCACTCTTGTTCAGAGCCCTCTGCTGAGCACTGTACTATACCCATATCCTTCCCTGATCACATGAGAGTTCCCCAGTGTAAGGCGCTAGTCGATTCAGGCGCAGCTGGGAACTTTATGGACAAAACTTTCACACGCCGCCAGGGCATTTCATTAGTTCCCCTATCCATTCCACGCCCCATCAGAGCACTTGATAGTCGACCATTAGGGTCCGGGTTGATAAGGAAGTCACGGTACCAGTCACAATGATCACACAAGAGACGCATTGTGAGCAGATCACTTTTTCCATCATTGAGTCTCCTGCTTTCCCTGTGGTGTTAGGTATTCCATGGCTAGCACTCCACAACCCCACTTTCTCATGGCCACACACGGGGTGGTCGCGAGAGTGTCAGGGTAGGTGTATGGGTGTTTCCGTTGGTGCAACCATGGTGGAAAGTCCAGACGGTGCCTCCAACGTGCGCATTCCCCCCGAATACCATGAACTGGCACAAGTCTTTAAAAATAAAGTGACTAAATTACCACATCGAGCGGGGGATTGCGCAATAAACCTTTGGGTAGACGCTGTACCTCCCAGGAGTCATGTGTATCCCGTCGCAGGCGGAGACGGAGGCTATGGAGACATACGTCACCGAGTCCCTGCGCCAGGGGTACATACGTCCCTCCACTTCACCCGCCTCCTCAAGTTAATTTTTTGTGAAGAAGAAAGACAGCGGTCTGACCCCCGTGCATTGACTATCGACCACTGAACAAGGAGACGATTAGATTTAGTTATCCTCTCCCCCTCATTCCGTCAGTGGTTGAGTCATTGCATGGAGCGCGCTTCTTCACTAAATTAGATCTCAGGAGTGCGTACAACCTGGTGCGTATCCGAGAGGGAGATGAGTGGAAGACAGCATTCAGCACAACCACAGGGGCATTATGAATACCTGGTGATGCCCTATGGTTTGATGAATGCTCCCTCAGTCTTCCAGTCCTTTGTGAATTAGGTGTTTCGGGACATGCTTGGTCGCGGTGTAGTGGTCTACATCGATGACATCTTGGTGTATTCCGCTACGCGCGTCGAGCATGTGTCCCTGGTTCGCAAAGTACTGGCCCGACTGTTGGAAAATGACCTTTATGCTAAGGCAGAAAGTGTACGTTTTTCCAGCAGTCCGTCTCTTTCCTCGGATACCGCATTTCTACCACAGGTGTGGAGATGGAGGGCGACTGCATTGGAGCCGTGCGTAATTGGCCGACTCCAACCACGGTAAAGGAGGTGCAGCGCTTCCTTGGCTTCGCCAACTATTATCTGAGGTGTATCCGGGGCTTTGGCAAGGTCGCAGCTCCCATTACATCTCTGTTGAAGGGTGGGCCGTCCCGGCTCCGCTGGCCTGCTGAGGCTGACAGGGCCTTCAGTAACCTGAGGCCTCGGCCCCTGTACTGGCCCACCCCGATCAATCACTACCGTTCGTAGTGAAGGTGGATGCGTCCGAGGTTGGGATGGGAGCAGTCCTGTCTCAACGCTCGGGCACGCCACCCAAGCTCCGCCCCTGTGCGTTCTTCTCAAAGAAGCTCAGCCCGGCGGAGGAGAACTACAGCGTTGGTGATCGGGAGCTGTTGGCTGTTGTCCGAGCTCTGACAGTGTGAAGACATTGGCTCGAGGGGGCGAAACACCCATTCCTCGTCTGGACGGACCACCGTAACCTGGAGTACATCCGGGCAGCGAGGAGGCTGAACCCTCTCCAGGCCAGGTGGGCCCTATTCTTCACTCGGTTTGATTTCACACTGTCATACATTCCAGGTACGAAGAACGTGAAGGCAGACGCACTGTCCCGGCTGTACGATAGAGGAGAGGCCCAGAGACAATACCCCCATACTGCCAGACTCCGGCATTGTGGCGCCGGTAGTATGGGCGATGGATGCGGATATAGCGCAGGCATTACGCACAGATCCATTTCCACCGCAGTGTCCAGCTGGGCTGCAGTACGTGCCTGCGCTTATCCTTGATCGTCTGATCTACTGGGCACACACGTCACCCTCCTCTGGTCACCCAGGTATCGGTCGTACAGTGCGCTGCCTGACCGAAAAGTACTGGTGGCCTACCTTGGCTAAGGACATGAGGGTGTATGTTTCCTCCTGCTCAGTGTGCGCCCAGAGTAAGGCACCTCCCAGCAGGTAAGTTAAAACCTTTACCAGTTCCACAACGACCATGGTCTCATTTGAGTGTTGATTTTTTAACTGATCTGCCTCTCTCTCTCTCAAGGGAACACCACCATCCTTGTTGTTGTGGACCGCTTTTCGAAGGCCTGCCGCCTCCTTCCTCTGCCCGGTCTCCCCACGGCTCTGCAAACTGTGGAGGCCCTGTTTACACACGTCTTCCAGCACTACGGGGTGCCAGAGGATATAGTGTCTGACCGAGGTCCCCAGTTCACGTCAAAAGTCTGGAAGGCGTTCATGGAACGTCTGGGAGTCTCGGTCAGCCTGACCTCTGGGTTCCACCCTGAGAGTAATGGGCAGGTGGAACGGGTTAATCAGGATGTGGGTAGGTTCCTGAGGTCCTATTGCCAGGACCGGCCGGGGGAGTGGTCGGTGTTCCTGCCATGGGCAGAATATGCCCAGAACTCTCTCCGCCACTCCTCTACGAACCTAACGCCATTTTAGTGTGTTTTAGGTTATCAACCGGTTCTGGCACCATGGCATCAGAGCCAGACCGAAGCTCCTGCGGTGGATGACTGGTTTCGGCACGCTGAGGAGATGTGGAACGCTGCCCATGTTCACCTCCAACGCGCCGTGCGTCGTCAGAAGGCCAACGCTGACCGTCACCGCAGTGAGGCCCCCGTCTTTGTACCGGGGGATCGGGTCTGGCTCTCGACCCGGAATCTGCCCCTCCGCCTGCCCTGCCGGAAGCTGAACCCGCGGTTTGTAGGGCCGTTCAAAGTCCTGAGGAGAATCAACGAGGTCACATATAGGTTATTACTCCCCCATGATTACCGTATTAACCCCTCGTTTCATGTGTCACTCCTCAGGCCAGTGGTGGCTGGTCCGCTCCAGGAGTCTGAGGTGCGGGAGGTCCCTCCAACTCCTTTGGAAATCGAGGGGGCGCCGGTGTACTCTGTCCGGTCCATCCTGGATTCGAGGAGCCGGGTGGGGGGCCTTCAGTACCTCGTGGAGTGGGAAAGGTACAGTCCGGAGGAACGGTGCTGAGTCCCGGTGAGGGATATCCTCGATCCCTCTCTGCTGAGGAACTCTCCCTGCTCCACGTCCTCCTGGCCGTACCCGAAGCCGGTGTCGGCGCGCTGCTGGAGCTGCGCATCAAGGGGGGGGTACTGTCACGAATTCAGCCGAGGCTGCCCCTCCTTGCTCGGGCAGGTTTCGGCGTTCGTCGTCACCGGCTTACTAGCCACTACCCCTCCATTTATCATCACTCCATTTGTCTTGTCAATCACACACACCTGGTACTCATTCCCTCATTAGTCTGTGTATAAGTGTTCCCTCTGCCCCCTTGTCCTTTGTGAGGGATTGTTCGTTGTGAGAGTGAGTAGCTCAGTTGAATTACTCTTTACTTGTATGCAGCCAAGGTTGATTTTCCCTTGTGCTTGTTTCGTTCTGTCGTTATATGCGCTACATTATTGTACACCGAAAAAAACTCTTGATTTCGGTGTTTTACCTCCTGCGCCTGACTCCGTCATTCACACCTCATCACAGCAAAGCAAAGTACCTTTGACTAATGTGTGCTTGTCGGTGGGTGAGGATCGTGCAAGTACTCGGAGTTTGGGCCAGATCTTATCGATGCGCTCTTGTTCAATCTAGAAGGGGGAAAAGGAGACTAATTAGCCTACAATCCCAATTCTTAATCTATCAACCATGCTGTTAGTTTGTTTCATTAGTCCATCAGGCCCAGCTAACCCTACTAGGTTTATAAACACTGAAGTACAATGTCAAACAGGGTCGTGTTCATTAGGGCACGCAATGGAAAAAGGTCTCAAACCTTTTGCAACGGGAAATGAAAATAAGTGTTTCTTATTGGACAAGCCCAGGTAGTCCCTCCCTGTTTCAATACATTTTCTTCCGTTTGATGCCTAACAAACACGACCTAGTTGGTTGGGTTTTCGTGTAAAGGCACAACAATATATTTAACCCACCTCTCCCTTCTCGTTGCGTATCCGTCGGTTGAACTCCTTGCCTTCCATGCACAGGAACTCGTCTCCGGGCTGCAGGATGCCGCACTTGATGGCAATGGCGCGGGCCGTGTTGATGTTGTCCCCGGTTACCATGCGTACCGTGATGCCGGCACGCTGACATTTCTTGATGGCGTCTGGGACCTGGAGGGGCAGAGAGAGAGAGAGACGTGTTAGTGTGACTGACTGGCTGCGAAATCCGGGTCTCCTGCCAGTTGCAGGACTGTCCTAGCCTGCGGAGCTCAAGCCTAGGCATCAGCTCAGGGAGTGTACACAAGTCTTCAGGTCTCGGGCAAGGTCATTGTACGAGCGAACCACTTCTGTTCCATAGGGAACAAGTCATCCTCAGTACTCCACCTGGTTGCAATGGGTCTTTAACTACGCTTTCACCATCACAGGAGCTGTTGATAGACCATGTGTGAGGCTGACAGATATTATCCATTAACTAGGACCCAGAGTTGTTCCTAGTCAGTGGCCTCTATGAATGTCACATATCTATACTGATAAGAACACACTTCGGGGTCAATGGAAATGTCAATAACACAATAAATCTGACATTTGCATACAACTGTGGGCGGAGGCTTGCTTCCTTTTCACTAGCATCATGCCCTAGAAGCAATGTCGGGGGTTTGGTAGGTAGGTAAAGTATATAATATCAGATTACTCCACTGTATCTTTGCTAATGTCGGTCTGCTTGTTTTGTTTGACTGTGGTCCATAAACTGACCTCGGGTCTGACGGGGTCCTCGATGCCCACCACACATACACAGGTCAGGCTGGTGAGGATGTCGTTCTCCTGGTCCCAGTCAGGCTCGCCCTCCGAGACAGGGAAGTCGCGGTAGGCCAGGCAGATGGTGCGCAGGCCCTCTGAGGCCATGGGCTCAATCACCTTCTTCACCATGTCCTCTCTGTCCCGGGGACGGAACACCTTGGTCTCGCCGCCTGCCGTCAGGAGCTTAGAGCACCTGGTGGTGGGGGGAAAAAAAAGGAGAGAGAGAGAGAGAGAGAGAGAGACACAGAGAGAGAGAGAGAGAGAGACACAGAGAGAGAGAGAGAGAGACACAGAGAGAGAGAGACACAGAGACAGAGAGACAGAGAGAGAGAGAGAGAGAGACACAGAGAGAGAGAGAGAGACACAGAGAGAGAGAGAGAGAGACACACAGAGAGAGAGAGACAGAGACCTAAGTAAGCTGGTCCTGGGGCTCTGTTCACAAACACAAACAGACCCCACAGAGCCCCAGGACAACAACACAATTAGACCCAACCAAATCATGAGAAAACAAAAAGAGAATTACTTGACACATTGGAAAGAACAAAAAAACAGCAAACTAGAATGCTATTTGGCCCTAATCAGAGAGTACACAGTGGCAGAATACCTGACCACTGTGACTGACCCAAACTTAAGGAAAGCTTTGACTATGTACAGACTCAGTGAGCATAGCCTTGCTATTGAGAAAGGCCGCCGTAGGCAGACCTGGCTCTCAAGAGAAGACAGGCTATGTGCACACTGCCCACAAAATGAGGTGGAAACTGAGCTGCACTTCCTAACCTCCTGCCAAATGTATGACCATATTTGAGACACATTTCCCTCAGATTACAGCGATCCAAAAAGTATTCGAAAACAAACCCAATTTTGATAAACTCCCTTATCTACTGGGTGAAAAACCACAGTGTGTCATCACAGCTGCAAGATTTGTAACCTGTTGTCACAAGAAAAGGGCAACCAGTGAAGAACAAACACCATTGTAAATACAACCCATATTTATATTTATTTATTTTCCCATTTGTACTTTAACTATTTTCACATTGTTACAACACTGTATATATACACATATGACATTTCAAATGTCTTTATTCTTTTGGAACTTCTGAGTGTAATGTTTACTGTTAATATTTATTGTTTATCTACTTCACTTGCTTTGGCAATGTTAACATATGTTTCCCATGCCAATACAACCCTTAAATTGAATTGAATTGAGAGAGAGACAGAGAGAGAGAGACAGGTTGGTAAAAAGGAGGCGTGTTTGGAGCCATTTGGGAAGAGGCTTAGACTCATTTCTCCGGGCCTGTTTTTAAGATGCTACATTAAGGGGCTTGGTGGGATGCACTTGAACTAATTAGCACCTAAGCCTAAAACAATTCCTTTGCAAGCCTGTCTGGCCACCAAGAACCCATTTTAAGCTCTTTGAATGAGAGGTGCTTAGTGCTTTGCTAATTTTGTGCCATCCACTACAAAACCAAAATCGCCCCACACTGAATACTGAGAGCAGGTTGATTTTGCTTGAAACCCAAACCTACTTCTTTAGGAGGATCTCGGAGGCTCCCTTGCTGAACATGCGGAAGCTCCCGTCGGCGTTCTTCAGCACGGTGCTCATTGACTTCCTGCAGGAGTTGAAGGTGTAGACCTTGTAGAGCTTCTCCTCAGGGATCTCGTTGCGGATGGCCTGGTAGTCACGCTTCAGGTCATTGGCGAAGCCCAGCAAGGCACATTCGGTTTTGTTGCCCACCTGGCGCGGCAGACCACCTTCCTTCTCCGGAGACTGGTTACAGAGAGAGACACACCAAGTCTCATGTAAGGGTCATGTTCAGTTGGCACAAAACGGAAGAAACCAGTACCAAAGGGAGTGCAATGGGGAGGTACCATCTGAACTTGCCCAATAAGAAAAGCTTGTCTTCCATTGTAAAATGTTTTGCTACGGCATGGCCTAATGATTACGACCCAGGTCATGTTGGAGGCTATTAACAGTACATTCAGTCATCTCATACTAGTGATTTGTTACTGACATGACATTTACAAGCAGAACTCCTACCCCACATTTAAATCAACTAAATTAATCGTCAACATCTACTCTAAACCCATCATTGCCTGCACATCGATAGCACACACACATCTGTGCAGTTCTCCTGGATAGACCACCATTTATCGAGGCAACCTCACTCACCATAATGTTGGTGGTGTAGGCGCTGTTGACGCTGATGCCCAGGACGAGGATGTCCATGATGGCGGCGGGGATGAGCTGGGGCTCAGGCACATTGCGGTAGTGCTTGTCGGCCACGTAGGCCTGCACCACCGTCATGCGGTTCATGGTCAGCGTGCCCGTCTTGTCCGAGCAGATGGCCGTAGCGTTGCCCATGGTCTCGCAGGCGTCCAGGTGACGCACCAGGTTGTTGTCTTTCATCATTTTCTGTTAGGAAGAAGATGGAGGAGGGAGAAGGGGAGAAATCATGAAAAAGGTCATTGAATTAAATATGAGCTGCAGAAGGTAAATATGAGCTGCAGAAGGGGGTCAAAAGCCTAAAAATAGAAAGGGAAGGTTTAACTAAGCTATTCCATTCAACAGTAATGCAGTGACAACCTCTCCTCCCTGCATCAACAGCTGCTATAGCTTCTAAGTCCACAGTGGTGTGAGTGGGCTGGATAACTCCTTAGATACTGGTCTTCCAGAGCTAGAGTCTACTACTGATTTAATAATCAGCCTGTTGGCCCAACAACTCCAGTAAGAAGGGTCATGACATAGCCAATTGGCTTTAATGTATCATGGAAGGTTAGCCAAGACTCTAGCTTTAAGAGGCTAAGTGAAGGGCTAACTGGCTGAAGGCTAACCTACTTGTAAGCGAATAAAGCTACGGTTAACAAGTAAAGCTTGTTGGAAGTGCGGGACCGTTCACACTGCTTGCGGTAAAAAGCTACACCAGGAAGTTAACTGATGAATTGCAACCATGCACATCCACTATGGCTGTGCGATATGACCTAAACATCGATGTTTTCAAACTTATGGGCGATTCACAATATACACTATATGTACAAAAGTATGTGGACACCCCTTCAAATTAGTGGATTCGGTCATTTCAGCCATGCAATCTCCATAGACAAACATTGGCGGTAGAATGGCCTTACTGAAGAGCTCAGTGACTTTCAACGTGGCACCATCATAGGATGCCACCTTTCCAACAAGTCAGTTCGTCAAATTTCTGCCCTGCTAGAGCTGCCCCGGTCAACTGTATGTGCTGTTATTGTGAAGTGGAAATGTCTAGGAGCAACAACGGCTCAGACAAACTGGTAGGCCACACAAGCTCACAGAACGGGAACGCTGAGTGCTGAAGCGAGTAAAAATTGCCTGTCCTCGGTTGCAACATTCACTACAGAGTTTAAAACTACCTCTGGAAGCAACGTCAGCACAAGAACTGTTCGTCTGGAGATTCATGAAATGGGTTTCCATGGCCGAGCAGCCGCACACAAGCTTAAGATCACCATGCGCAATGCCAAGCGTCGGCTGGAGTGGTGTAAAGCTCGCCGCCATTGGACTCTGGAGAACGCTACCTGCCCCAATGCGTAGTGCAAACTGTCAAGTTACCTGCCAAGTTTGGTGGAGGAGGAATAATGATCTGGGGCTGTTTTTCATGGTTGGGGCTAGGCCCCTTAGTTCCAGTGAAAGGAAATCTTAATGCTACAGCATACAATTACATCCTAGACGATTCTGTGCTTCCAACTTTGTGGCAACAGTTTGGGGAAGGCCCATTTCTGTTTCAGCATGACAATGCCCCTGTGCACAAAGCGAGGTCCATACAGAAATGGTTTGTCGAGATCGGTGTTGAAGAACTTGACTGGCCTGCACAGAGCCCTGAATTCAACCCCTCGAGATCGGTGTTGAAGAACTTGACTGGCCTGCACAGAACCCTGAATTCAACCCCATCGAACACCTTTGTGATGAATTGGAATGCCGACTGCGAGCCAGGCCTAATCTCCCAACATCATTGCCCGACCTCACTAATGCTTGTGACTGAATGGAAGCTAGTCCCTGCAGCAATGTTCCAACATCTTGTTGAAAACCAGAAGAGTGGAGGCTGTTATAGCAGCAAAGGGGGGACTGTGAGACGCGGTGTGGGTGAACGGATGATCTCCGCATGTGTATTTTCCCACCGTAAAGCATGGAGGAGGTGGTGTTATGGTGTGGGGATGTTTTGCTGGTGACACTGTCTGTGATTTATTTAGAATTCAAGGCACACTTAACCAGCATGGCTACCACAGCATTCTGCAGCGATACGCCATTCCATCTGGTTTGGGCTTAGTGGGACTATCATTTGTTTTTCAACAGGACAATGACCCAACACACCTCCAGGCTGTGTAAGGGCTATTTTACCAAGAAGGAGAGTGATGGAGTGCTGCATCAGATGACCTGGCTTCCACAATCCCCCGACCTCAACCAAATTGAAATGGTTTGGGATGAGTCGGCCGCAGAGTGAAGGAAAAGCAGACAACAAGTGCTCAGCATATGTGGAAACTCCTTCAAGACTGTTGGAAAAGCATTCCAGGTGAAGCTGGTTGAGAATGCCAAGAGTGTGCAAAGCTGTCATCAAGGCAAAGGGTGGCTATTTGAAGAATCTCAAATATGAAATATTTTTATTTGTTTAACACTTTTTTGGTTACTACGGTCATGGTCAAAAGATTTGAGAATGACACAAGTATTGGTCTTCAAAGTTTGCTGCTTCAGTGTTTTTAGATATTTTTGTCAGATGTTACTATGGTATACTAAAGTATAATTACAAGCATTCCATAAGTGTCAAAGGCTTTTATTGACAATTACATTAAGTTTATGCAAAGAGCCAATATTTGCAGTGTTGACCCTTCTTTTTCAAGACCTCTGCAATCCGCCCTGGCATGCTGTCAATTAACTTCTGGGCCACATCCTGACTGATGGCAGCCCATTCTTGCATAATCAATGCTTGGAGTTTGTCAGAATTTGTGGGTTTTTGTTTGTCCACCCGCCTCTTGAGGATTGACCACAAGTTCTCATTTGGATTAAGGTCTGGGGAGCTTCCTGGCCATGGACCCAAAATGTCGATGTTTTGTTCCCCGAGCCACTTCGTTATCACTTTTGCCTTATGGCAAGGTGCTCCATCATGCTGGAAAAGGCATTGTTCGTCATCAAACTGTTCTTGGATGGTTGGGAAAAGTTGCTCTCGGAGGATGTGTTGGTACCATTCTTTATTCATGGCTGTGTTCTTAGCCAAAATTGTGAGTGAGCCCACTCCCTTGGGTGAGAAGCAACCCCACACATGAATGGTCTCAGGATGCTTTATTGTTGGCATGACACAAGACTGATGGTAGCGCTCACCTTGTCTTCCCCGGACAAGCTTTTTTCCGGATGCCCCAAACAATCGGAAAGGGGATTCATCAGAGAAAATGACTTTACCCCAGTCCTCAGCAGTCCAATCCCTGTACCTTTTGCAGAATATCAGTCTGTCCCTGATGTTTTTCCTGGAGAGAAGTGGCTTCCTCGCTGCCCTTCTTGACACCAGGCCATCCTTCAAAAGTCTTCGCCTCACTGTGCGTGCAGATGCACTCACACCTGCCTGCTGCCATTCCTGAGCAAGCTCTGCACTGGTGGTGCCCTGATCCCGCAGCGGAATCAACTTTAGGAGACGGTCCTGGCGCTTGCTGGACTTTCTTGGGCGCCCTGAAGCCTTCTTCACAACAATTGAACCTCTCTCCTTGAAGTTCTTGATGATCCGATAAATGGTTGATTTAGGTGCAATCTTACTAGCAGCAACATCTTTGCCTGTGAAGCCCTTTTTGTGCAAAGCAATGATGACGGCACGTGTTTCCTTGCAGGTAACCATGGTTAACAGAGGAAAAACAATGATTTCAAGCACCACCCTCCTTTTAAAGCTTCCAGTCTGTTATTCTAACTCAATCAGCATGACAGAGTGATCTCCAGCCTTGTCCTCGTCAACACTCACCTGTGTTAACTAGAGAATCACTGACATGATGTCAGCTGGTCCTTTTGTGGCAGGGCTGAAATGCAGTGGAAATGTTTTTTGGGGATTGAGTTGATTTTCATGGCAAAGAGGGACTTTGTAATTAATAGCAATTCATCTGATCACTCTTCATAACATTCTGGAGTATATGCAAATTGCCATCATAAAAACTGAGGCAGCAGACTGTGAAATGTAATGTGTGTCATTCTCAAAACTTTTGACCACGACTGTACATGATTCCATATGTGTTATTTCATAGTTTTACAATGTAGAAAATAGTAAAAATAAAGAAAAATCCTTGAATGAGTAGATGTTCTAAAACTTTTGACCGGTAGTGTATATATATATAAAAAAGTTCTCAAAATAAGCTTTGTTGCACTATTAAAGGTCGATTCACTGCATTTCAAACAATCAGGAATAATCTAATTATACCTAGGCTAAATATAAGCCTTCCACAACCATTAGACCCACTAATAATTTAATACAAATAGTTTAACTTGTTTTTTTGCAATAATCACTGATCTGACTTAAGTCTATGAAAATGTTTTTAAAAAACTAACAAATTTAACCATGCACATCCACTAATAATGACCAACTTCTTGTAACAGACATTATAGAAAACGAACACAGGTCTCATTAACAATCTCAAGCACAAGCCCACGTGCTAGTGAGTAGCCAGCTAATCTTTATATTTAAAGTCTAGCCAACTTGGATCTATTTGCTAGCTAACAAGGTAGAACAGTTGAACTGTTATAAATAGACCCTCCTGTTCATCTCCAACTGTTTGAACAACAAGCCTGTTCACCTTGTTTATACTGTATGTTGAAATCACGTGGCCTACCTGGATAAGAAGATGGTTATTTCTCAGAATGAGAACGAGTTGGCAATTTTCTTTATTTTTAGTGATTTTAGCAGACGCTCTTATCCAGAGCGACTTACAGTTAGTGAGTGCATACATTTTTTCATACTGGCCCCCCGTGGGAAACGAACCCACAACCCTGGCGTTGCAAGCACCATGCTCTACCAACTGAGCTACACAGGGCCTCTTTTTCTATGCTCATTGCACATTTATAAAAACCAAGACTAGCCAGCTGGTAGAGCATGGTGCTTGCAACGCCAGGATTGTGGGTTCGTTTCCCACGGGGGGCCAGTATGAAAAAATGTATGCACTCACTAACTAAGTCGCTCTGGATAAGAGCGTCTGCTAAAATGACTAAAAATAAAGAACAATTAGTTCATCTTTCGTCTTTGTAGTGAGTGGCAGGGGGATGGGCTTGGTGTCTGTGTGCGAGTGGGAAGTTGCACTGTGCACACAGCACAGAAGGAGCGAAGGAGATGAGACCAAAAAGACAGAATGCTCATAAAAAAACGAACAAAAAATAAAAACCTAACCTCTTGCAATACAGGCATTCGGAACATCGCATTAAAACATTAATTTGATATAATCGCCCAGCCCTAACAGACACTAGAACCAATAAAATGGCTTATTGTCTGGTATAGTGTTTGTGCCGCAGACCCTGAGGCGGAACCTACTTTGACGGAGTAGGCCAGGGAGATGGTGACGGCCAGGGGAAGACCCTCGGGGACAGCCACCACCAGCACGGTGACGCCGATGATGAAGAACTTGACAAAGAACTGGACGTAGATGGGCGTGCAGTCCTTGTGCCAGGGCAGGCCCTGCACCCAGAAGGTGTCCACCACGAACAGCACCACCAGGATGATGACAGTGATGGCTGACATCACCAGGCCTAGAGAGGACACAATAGTGAGACTCATCATCCACAATATAATCAACAGGGGTGTAATCAATACGCCAAACTTTTTACTTTCAACAGAAAATGTTTTGCAACCAAAACTATAGTTTCTATTGGTCAAATTAAGGTACGTCCCTCCCTGTTTTGTTCTGTTTGCTTCCGTTTGGTTCTTAAACGGTTTCCGATGCAAGACGTAATGAACGCACCCCAGGTCTTCCTACTAGACTACAGAGTAGACCAGAACCTAGAGAGCGATACCACAAGAGAGAGAGGGGGGAGAGAGAGAGCGAGACCGCGAGAGAGAGAGGGGGGAGAGAGAGAGAGAAGAGCGAGAGAGGGGGGAGAGAGAGAGCGAAGCTGAGAAGAGAGAAAAGGGGAGGAGAGAGCGACCGCGAGAGGGGGGTAGAGCTAGAGAGAGACCAGACCGCAGAGAAGGGGGGAGAGAGACGAGAGCGAAGAGAGAGGATGGGAGAGAGAGACGAGCCCGAGGGAGAGGGAGGAGAGAAGAGAACCGCAAGAGAGAGCGAGACCGCAAGAGAGAGAGAGCGAGACCGCAAGAGAGAGAGCGAGAGCAAGAGAGAGAGCGAGACCGCAAGAGAGAGAGAGCGAGACCGCAAGAGAGAGAGCGCGAGACCGCAAGAGAGAGGAGGGCGAGAGGGAGCAAGAGGGAGAGAGAGCGAGACCGCAGAGAGAGGGAGAGGGAGAGAAGCGAGACCGCAGAGAGAAGCGAGACCGCAGGAGAGAGAGCGAGGACCGCAGAGAGAGAGCGAGACCGCGAGAGAAGGGGGGAGGGAGAGCGAGACGCAAGAGAGAGGGGAGAGAGACGCGAGAGCCGACGGAAGAGAGGGGGGGAGAGGCGGAGAAGACCGCGAAGAGAGAGAGGGGGGAGAGAGAGAGAGCGAGAAGACCGGAGAGAGGGGGGGAGAGCGAGGTAGAGAGAGCGCGAGAGCAAGAGAGGAGAGGGGGAGAGAGAGACCGCGAAGAGAGGAGAGGGGAGAGGAGAGAGGAGAAGAGGAGGGGAGAGAGAGACCGCGAGAGAGGGGAGGAGCGAAGAGCCGCAGAAGAGAGGGGAGAGACCGCGAGAGAGGGGGGAGAGAGCGCAAAGAGAGGGGGAGAGAGAGACCGCAAGAGAGGGGGGGAGAGAGACGCAGAGAAGAGCGCGAGCGCAGAGAGAGCGAGAGAAGAGAGAGACCGCAAAGAGAGGAGGAGCGCGAGACCGCGAAGAGACGAGACGCAAGGAGAGAGAGAGCGAGACCGCAAGAGAGAGAGAGCGGAGCCGCAAGAGAGAGAGAGAGACCGCAGAAGAGAGAGAGACCGCAAAGAGAGGGGAAGAGCGAGACCGCAAGAGAGAGAGAGGAGGAGCGACCGAAGAGAGAGAGAGAGGGAGACCGCAAAAGAAGAGAGAGCGAGACGCAAGAGAGAGAGAGGGGAGGAGAGCGAGACCGCAAGAGAGAGGGGAGAGAGAGCGACGCGAGAGAGAGGAGGAGCAGAGACCGAGACCGGAAGAGAAGCGAGAGCGAGAGAGAGAGGGAGAGAGCGAGACGAAGAGAGGAGAGAGAGAGCGAGACCGCAAGAGAGAGAGGAGGGACCGCAAGAGAGAGGAGAGCAGAGCAAGAGAGGAGACCGAAGGGAGAGAGAGAGCGAGACCGCGAAGAGAGAGAGAGAGAGAGAGAGAGCGAGACGCGAGAGAGGGGAGGAGAGGCAGACGCAAGAGAGAGAGCAACCGCGAGAGAGGGGGGAGAGAGACGAACCGCAGAAGGGGGGGAGAGGAGCGAGAAGGGGACCAGAGGGGAGAGAGCGAGAGGCGATGACGGGAGAGAGGAGACCGGGGGAGAGGAGGAGGACCGAGAGAGACGCGAGACCAGGGGGAGAGGAGACGCAGAGAGGAGGCGAGACGCATAGAAGCAAGAGGGAGAGCGAGACCGCAAGAGAGAGGGGAGAGCGAGACGCGCAAGAGAGAGAGGAGGAGAGAGACGAGAAGCAGAGAGGAGAGGCAGGAGAGGGAGAGGAGAGACCGCAAGAGAGAGAGAGAGGAGACCGCAAGAGAGAGGAGGGAGAGAGAGGAGAGAGAGCCGCAAGGACGCGAAAGAGAGCTGAGGAGCGGGGGGAGAGGAGACGCGAAGACGCAAGAGGGGAGAGAGCGAGACAGCAAGAGAGATGAAGGAGAGAAGAGACCGCAGCCAGAGAGAGGGGCGGAGGAAGCGGACCGTCATAGAGATGGACCGCGGACGAGAGGGGGGGCGTGAATCGAGGGAGAGAGCGAGACTTAGCTGAAGGGGAGAGAGAGGGGAGGGAGAGTGAGACCGCTTGGAGAGAAGGAGACCCTAAGAGAAAGCAAAGGAGAACGCTCGAGCGACAGCAAGAGAGGAGTGGAACCAGAGTAGCGACAAGACTACAAGTTGGAGGTAAAGAGTCACTGAGTAGATAGCATGCCTTCTGCCTCTTGCCATGTCAGTGGCCGAAGAGCACAGCGTTGAAGCGACTGGGGGAAGAGCGTAGACTCAAGCGATCAGCAAAAAATGTTCGGACGCAAGGACTAGTTGAGTAGTAGTCAGTCCTGACCGTTTGCAATGACTGCCTAGGGGTGTGAGATGGACCCAAAGTTGGATATACCAAGCTGGTATGACTCGTCGGTTAGGGGTGCATTCATAGGCGGCTCGTGAGTAGGGGGGAAGCAGGGAGGGGGGATCGAGGAGGACTCGCGAATACTAGGTGGAGCTTGGTTATCGTCAAACTGATTGGTTTGCAAAGTATGAAAAGTATAAGAAGTATCACTACGTAATGCTGTGCATGGCATCGGTTAAAGAAAAAACAAAAACAAATACATACTCAGACAAGCCATTGTAATCACTGTTAAGTAGAACACATGAATTCCTCTAAGGTCTCTAAGTCTCCTAAGCAGACTTTAGCCATCAGCCTCTAGGCTGATCTACTTAGTCTTCCTACCCCCCTAGTCCTCCAAGCTTCCTCAGCTCATCTCCTCAGTCTCCAGCCTCATTCGTCCTCTTTCATGTCTTCCTCCGGTTCTCTCAGTCTCAGCTCCCGACTATCGACCAAGTAACTCTGCGGGACACTATGAGTTTTGCTATGGTATGTCATAGGAGAACCAAACAAAGGCTTGAAACAGGATTTACTATGGGTTTATTGGTACAACGTACAATCAAATGGCCCATTGTAATTTTTCTATTTCAAAACATTCCCTGTTTCGTGCCTACTGACCACAAGCTGATTACCTTCTAATTCTTGCACGTTCATTTAAAAAAGCAAGTCACTGCACAACTGTTAAAGCAAAAAAACTTTGGACATAGAAGCCTTGAGGGGGGCGGGGTTGAGATAAGCAAGTTGGAAAATCAATGGCAAGTAGCTACATCTCTCCAGTCCTTTAGTGTGATTCAATACGGAGTGATTTTCAAAGAGACTTGAGAGGGTGCCATATTTTTTGCAAATGTTTTATTTTGGCTTTGGCTTCGATTCGCAGAGGAGTGCTTTTGAAGGGAACTTGGGTTAAATGTCATTGCAATTATGAGTCCGGTCCAAAAATGTAATTAGGCTTTGGTAGGAATCAGTATGAAAAAATAAAAAAATGTATGCACTCACTTACTGTAAGTCGCTCTGAATAAGAGCATCTGCTAAATGACTAAAATGTAAATGTAAAATTAATCAAATTACCATATTCCCACTCAGAGAGCAGCAGCCCTGGGATCTGTGGAATCCACTGTTACAGTAGCCAGACAGACACCACTTCAATTCCTCTAAAGGCTCCCTCCCTCAGTCTCTCCCTCAGTCTCTCCCTCAGTCTCTCCCTCAGTCTCTCCCTCAGTCTCTCCCTCAGTCTCTCCCTCAGTCTCTCCCTCAGTCTCTCCCTCAGTCTCTCCCTCAGTCTCTCCCTCAGTCTCTCCCTCAGTCTCTCCCTCAGTCTCTCCCTCAGTCTCTCCCTCAGTCTCTCCCTCAGTCTCTCCCTCAGTCTCTCCCTCAGTCTCTCCCTCAGTCTCTCCCTCAGTCTCTCCCTCAGTCTCTCCCTCCCGGGTTGGACAATGCCAACAGACACCTTGACTCATCTGACCAAGTAACCTAGAAGACGACAGCGGGCAGGCGGGCCAGCAGGGCTGATCTCTAACCCATCTCTCCCAATGATAAAATCATTATCTCTGGCCCTGCCAGAGCTAGCACTGCAGGGGAGGATACCTGTGTCGGCTTCATCTCAGTCTTTCTCTCCCAACCCTGGACTGACTGAACACTCATTATATACTGTATGTCTCTCTCCCAGCCCTTGACTGACTGAACAGTCGTTATAGAATCGCCAGTCGAGTCTATCCCCAGGCTCATCCCTTGCTGATGCCAGGAGCCACACAGCCAGCGTGTACAGGATGGGTGCCATGATATTCCCAGGTGGTGTGTTCTGCATTTACACAGCCTGTAACCCCAGACTGAGGGATTATTCTGGGGTGGTGTGTTCTGCATTTACACAGCCTGTAACCCCAGACTGAGGGATTATTCTGTGGTGGTGTGTTCTGCATTTACACAGCCTGTAACCCCAGACTGAGGGATTATTCTGGGGTGGTGTGTTCTGCATTTACACAGCCTGTAACCCCAGACTGAGGGATTATTCTGGGGTGGTGTGTTCTGCATTTACACAGCCTGTAACCCCAGACTGAGGGATTATTCTGCTCCCTCCTGGCAGACAGAGAATCAAAGGACCGCCACCAGGACCTCAATTAACAGGCTCAGGCTAGCTAACAGCATGGCTGCCGCTCTGTAGACAGTGGGTGACAATGGAGTTTAGAGAGCTGGGTCTCATAGTCGTACAACAGCATGACGCTGAATAGCTGACAAGGTCTGAGTACTATAGAATGAATGGTTCAGATTGGACAGACAGACAGAAAGAAAAAAAAGAAAGAAGCTAGAAGGGCAAAAAGCAGATGCTCTTCCCTCAGGATGGTTACAGGGCTCCTCAGATCTGGATTCAACAGCACCTGTCGCTCAGTGCAGGAGAGGGACAAGGAAAAGAGAGGGAGAGAGAGAGAGAGAGACAGAGGGAGAATGGAGAGAGAGAAGGGAACATGCTGGCCCAGACCAGACAATGAATGGACCAGTCACCGGCACGCAAGCTCTGACCCACAAGGCCACAGAGTAGCATGGGGAAACACAACCTGACACTGGTTAAGCTACTACTACTGACACCAGGCTAAGCGACAGGTCAAGGTTAAACTAAAATCCAATACTGTTAAATGGGCTATGGAGATGGCATTAATATAGAGCGAAACAGATCAAGGTACAGTAGCAGCGCGCAACCAAGTCGAAAGGAAATGAAAAGAACTCCGGCCTGTTAGACTCACCTTTCTTGCGGTTTTCGGCTGCTCCATCTTGCTCTGTGGATGGAAAGCAAAATCGAGAAGAACAGAGTCAGTCACCTATTGGGAAGCAATTTGCAAACAGCTGCAATTCTGAACACCAACTTAAAATCAAAATCTCCCATTTTGATTTGATACCGTGAGAGACGGCAATAATTTTTATGAAGCCAAACAGATGAGTGCTGGGGTTGCATTATGACATGCAAATTGTAAATCAGCTCCTCCAGCCAACAGGTAATTTCTACCCATACCAAACAGGTCCACACACACACACACACGATAGAACTACAGCCAGCCACTTTCATCATACACAAAACACACCGAAAGCCATAAACTACATAAATTGATCCACATCCTACTATAGTATATTAACTTGTTTCAAAACCGAAACGTATGCACACATACACATAAAAGTATGTAGACACACCTTTAAATTAGTGGATTCTGATATTTCAGCCGCACCCGTTGCTGACAAGTGTATAAAATCGAGCACACAGCCATGCAATCTCCATAGACAAACATTGGCAGTAGAATGGCCTTACTGAAGAGCTCAGTGACTTTCAACGTGGAACCGTCATAGGATGCCACCTTTCCAACAAGTCAGTTCGTCAAATGTATGCCCGGTCAACTGTAAGTGCTGTTATTGTGAAGTGGAAACGTCTAGGAGCAACAACGGCTCAGCCCGTGAAGTGGTAGGCCACACAAGCTCACAGAACGGGACCGCCAAGTGCTGAAGCGTGTAAAAATCGTTTGTCCTCGGTTGCAACACTCACTACCGAATTCCAAACTGCCTCTGAAAGCAATGTCAACACAAGAACTGTTCGTCGGGAGCTTCATGAAATGGGTTCCCATGGCCGAGCAGCCGCACACAAGCCTAAGATCATCATGCGCAATGCCAAGCGTCGGCTGGAGTGGTGTAAAGTTCGCCGCCATTGACTCTGGAGCAGTGGAAACGAGTGCTCTGGAGTGACAAGTCACGCTTCACCATCTGGCAGTCCAACGGACAAATCTGGGTTTGGTGGATGCCAGGAGAACGCCACCTGCTCCAATGCATAGTGCCAACTGTAAAGTTTGGTGGAAGACGGAATAATGGTCTGAGGCTGTTTTTCATGGTTCGGGCTAGGCCCCTTAGTTCCAGTGATGTAAAATCTTAATGCTACAGCATACAATGACAGAAGGCCCTTTTCTGTTTCAGCATGACAATACCCCCGTGCACGGTCCATACAGAAATGGTTTGTCGAGATTAGTGTTGAAGAACTTGACTGGCCTGCACAGAGCACTGACCTCAACCCCATCGAACACCTTTGGGTTGAATTGAAACGCAGACTGCGAGCCAGGCCTAATCGCCCAACATCAGTGCCCAACCTCACGAATGCTCTTTGTGGCTGAATCGAAGCAAGTCCCCACAACAATGTTCCGGAATCTAGTGGAAAGCCTTCCCAGAAGAGAGGAGGCTGTTATGGCAGCAAAGGGGGGAACAACTCCATATTAATGCCCATGATTTTGGAATGAGATGTTCGACCAGCAGGTGTCCACATACTTTTGGTCTTGTAGTGTACACACACACACACACGGCCTTGATTGAATAGAACTACAATTGCTCAACAAAGAATGCCAGAAAGCACTGCGCTATATGTACAACGAACACCTAACCTCATATACTGCATCGTGAGCTGCAAGCACTCAATACAAGGCTGTGGACTTCACAGGCACAGCAGCATTGAACACGGCAGCAAGTGCTAAAGTAAAGCCTTGCTAACTATTCCCATTGAAGCAGCAGCTCTCCCAAAATAAGTTCCACCACAGCTGAGACCTGACCTGTGCTCAGCCCTTCCTCAGCTTAGCTCTAGTTCAAACCCTCACTCTCCTCTGTCAGCTCAGTGCAGTCTGCTCTGCTGTGTGAGTGAGTAGTGGCGCCACTGATTCTCTACCTGTCTGACTCCGCTTCCTCACACTTCTCTGCACATCAACTGCATCTATAGAAATTCAACAAAAGACTGTTGAGAGAAAAACTCCATTCTTTGTGCAACGGGCAAAGGCATAATAAAATAATTGTAAAAAGCGTGGGTAGAGAGAAAACTGTAGATGATGCTCTGCCTTGCACACTGTGAATCATGAATGGATTCCACGCGCTCTCAAATGTCAACGTACTTCTCTTCTCCTTCTTCTCCTTCTTCTCCTTCTTCTTGGCCTCCTTCTCCTCCTCGTCATCCTCGTCATCCTCCGAGGCGCCCAGTAAAGCGAAGATTATTCCAGTTTGAGAGTTCTCACCCACGGCCGTGACCAGCATTTTGCCGGAGCCCTCCATGACGTGGGTGCCTGCAGAGGGAAAACAGATAAGGGGGGGGTGAGGTAGCGCCGCCATAGACATACAACTGATGCTTACACTGTATAGGCCTCTGCCAGGGTTTTCCTTACTATTACTTAGCTAAAGCCATGTAGACATTTTCCATTATAGTCCAATTCTATGGGGAGTGGGGAATGTGGGTGTTAGCAGTCCTGGATGTTGATTCCCGTGGTAAAGTGAGTAAACCTGGGGGATACAGATTAGCATGATGTTTGTGCCTGCCCGCAGATAGAGAGGAGAGGTAGGGTGAGGTAGGCTAGAAAGTCAGGCGCCTAGCTAATGCTACAGTGTAAATGCCAGGTGTTCCCCTGACTATTACTTAGCTAACGCTACAGACGTCAACATTCCCGTTACAATTACATGGAAAGTGCAGGCAGCCTGCCTAGCTCTGTTGCTCACGGCTTCATTTGTCTGCTATAAATTGGTACTGATAGTAAGGAATATTTGGGTGTTTCCAGTCCTGGGTCCAGATTCGGGAGCCTGTGGTCATTGTGAGTAAATCTGACGGGAAAAACTGTAGGCCTATTTACAGCTAAATATGAAAAACTGTAGGCTTATTTTTACAGCTAAATATGAGCGCATACAAACTTAATAAAGTGTATCACGTTTTGGAATTACATTTCAAAAGCAGAGTCAAGCCTCAAATACTCGTCCTGGATGACAGCACTAACACATTTGCACACTCCCAGCTTTTAATCAAAAGCCAATTGTGAGCCTTAGTGAATTAATGGGAACATGAGCCCCACAACACAACAGTAGCTTTCTCCAGAGTTTAATGCCCACAACTGACTGAGAACAGAGAGACAGTGAGAGAGAGAGAGACACAGAGACAGAGAGGGAGGAAGAAGTGCATTAAGAGCTCCCCCATGCCTGTGTTAATTAGGCTGTATTTCTCTATCAGAACAGAGGCAGGGGCTGGTCTGAGCTGGGTGGGAAGATGATGATGATGCAGACTAAATGCAGACAGGCTCTCTTGGAGGTGAGACCACAGGGGGCTGGGAGAGGCAAACAAGCACTTTTTAAATCCCCTCCTTGGGGATCTGACCAAGGAAGTGCCATTTTATTAAAGGATCAACTTGCTTTCATAAAATGGTATTAGGGATAAGACAAGCAATACCCTCAGACGGCAAAATAAAAACAGGGTTTAGAGGTCTATATATTTCACAGTGCTCAAGTAGTCCTGGACCTACACCATCAAGTCCACAGTCAGGGGTTGTATTAGAGTTCAGAAATCTGCATTTTCAAAACGCAGACCATCACATTGCATATTACCTGAGAAAAGTAGGCTACACCAAGAAAAGTACCAGAGAAAAGTAGCAACACATCAGTCAGAGCGCTGTTTGCTGATAGAAAGCCATTTGTGAATTCACATCAGAGTGGAGAAGTGCAACTGAAGCACAACAGTCTGACACCGAGCAGAAATTACAACAAGCAGCATTTCAGATCTGCGTTTTAAAAAATGCAGCAAGATATTTGGTATGCGTTTTTTGTGTGTGTTCTTTTTTGCAGAATTCTACATTAACGCGATCCCTGACAGTACTGCTGGACTCCAGCTCAGAATATTGCTGGATACTGCCTGCATACCCCATTCCAAGACAAAGTAAGATCATCTATCAAAGGCCTTATATTCCAGTTGCAAAAATTGTTTATTCCACTATTAGGGGTGGGGACAAATCTAGGCCTGGTAACTGAACTACAACCACATGAGCTTCATAGTATAAAACAAGGCAGAAGAACAAGAATAGGACAGCTACCTGACAACAGCATGGGGTCTCTATCCAGCGTTTTCTTGACGTGGTCCGACTCCCCCGTGAGGGAGCTCTCGTCGATTTTGAGATCATTTCCTTGAATAAGAATACCGTCCGAGGGTAGGAGATCACCTGGGACACACAAACAGGAGAATAAATAGTCCTTTATGAATTCAAAAGACGTGGATGAACGCAGAAAACATTACACGCTCTGGTCAATTCATCCTCGCCAATAACTGATAATTGGGTCCCAAACGTCACCCTATGTACTATGTAGTGGGCCCATAGGGCTCGGGTCAAAAGTAGTGCTCTTATATAGGGAATAAGGTGCCATTTGGATGCAACAAGAGACGCCTCTTACCGTATTTTATCTGTGCAACGTCGCCGACCACAATCTCAGCCACGGGGATTTGGATGACTTGGCCGCCGCGGACAACGGCAAACTTCTGCTCTTGTTCGATGCGGCTCTGCAAGCCACGGAATTGCTTCTCTTTGCTCCAGTCGTTAAACGCCGTCACCAGCACCACGCAGACGACCGACAGCAGGATGGCGGCGCCCTCGATCCAGCCCGCCTCCGCCTCGCCATCGTCCTCCACCCCTCCAGCTGCGCTCCCACAGTCTGCAGACGGATCAAAGCACACAGTTACAGGGATAGACCGCCAGGTGACTAACAGACACAATCTGAACACACATCATTAAATGTTGATGTAAATGGTTATTAAATAGTAATAGGCCCAGCTGCAGAATTTATTTTAAATAAACTATCCCTCTGCAGTGAATTTAAGTCAAATACAAATACAACTACTCAGTGCAGTACATTGGACACCTACAGTGCCTTCAGAAAGTATTCACACCCCTTGACTTCATCCACATTTGGTTGTGTTGCAGCCTGGAATTGTTTATGATTCAATTGAGATTGTGTCACTGGCCTACACACAATACTCCATAATGTCAAAGGGGAATTATGTTTTCAGAAATTAAATGAAAAATGAGAAGCTGAAATGTCTTGAGTCAATAAGTATTCAACCCCATTGTTATGACAAGCCTAAATAAGTAAAGATTTGCTTAACAAGTCACATAATCAGTTGCATGGACTCACTGTATGCAATAATAGTGTTTAATATGATATTTGAATGACTACCTCATCTCTGTACCCCATACATACATATAATTATCTGTAAGGTCCCTCAGTTGAGCAGTGAATTTCAAACACAGATTCAACCACAAAGACCAGGGAGGTTTTCCAATGCCTCGCAAAGAAGGGCACCTATTGGTAGATGGGTCAAATAACAATAAAAAAGCAGACATTATATATCCCTTTGAGCATGGTGAAGTTTTACACTTTGGATGGTGTATCAATACACCCAGTCACTACAAAGATACAGGTGTCTTTCCTAATTCAGTTTCCGGAGAGGAAGGAAAACGCTCAGGATTTTCACGATGAGGCCAATGGTGACTTTAAAACAGTTACAGAGTTTAATGGCTGCGATAGGAGAAAACTGAGGATTGATCAACATTGTAGTTACTCCACAATACTAACCTAAATGACAGAGTGAAAAGAAGGAAGCCTGTACAGAATATAAATATTCCAAACATGCATCCCGTTTGCAATAAGGCACTAAAGTAAAACTGTAAAAAATGTGGCAAAGAAATTAACTTATGTCCTGAATACAAAGCGTTATGTTTGGGGCATTTTATTTAGATCGTTAACAAAAAAAAAAAGGGTGTGAATACTTTCTGAAGTCACTGTAGGTGGTTTATAAACTATCAGGCCAATCCGAAGTGCTCCGATTTAAAAAGAAAACATCAGAGCCAGCACAGGATGGTCAGAAAACCACTGAGTTACCTCCATTACTGCCTAGGCATCAAGTAGAAGAGGTAAATAGGTGTTGCTTACGTTCTCGTTCGGCATCTGGAGGTCTATAGAAAGAAAGGCCTAATGAAACTATGGCTGCCACTTCCAGGATAATCAGTGTTACGTCTTGTAATGCTTCCCAAACTAATTGAAGAAATGTTTTGGGCTTTTTCGGAGGTATTAAGTTCTGCCCGAACACTTCTTTTCTTTTGTCGATGTCTGCGGGCTGCCCACTTAAACCTGGGGGAAAAGAGAGAGATGGAATTAGATTAAGCCAGTGCATTTGTGTTTTTACATTTTCTTAGTACCGTTGACATTTATTTTTGACAACCATTACCACAACCACCAACTCTGGAAAAGAATGGTAATATCCAATGCCTCATTAACCTCATCGACAACGATGCATGTAGACATTTGGTGAATTAATTAAATGAAAAGAGCCAGGACCAGAAAGACAGAATAGATTGAGGTAGGTCAGAGAGCCGTATTCTGTCGCAGGGCTCCTGAAAACAAGCACCCACAGGGCATCAGTGTTTCTGACAGGCCGTGCAGTTCCAAATAAACACACTATAAGACAACAATGCCACCCGGCGACAATACACATTCTACTTCTGCAAAATAAGTCAACCGGAGCTACGCTCTCAGATTTTAAGGGTAGAATTCCAGGATATATAAAAAAAATATATATAATTGAGGACAGTCAGAAAACCTACATGTTATTAAGACAAATCACACAAGTGACTTTCCCCCGCCAGTGATTGAATACACAGATTGATAACTGGAGATGCAGTGATCATTTTTACATTCAGACAGTCACAGCAAGGCCCTATCATTGTCTCACCTTATTCAACGTGACAAGGCCCGACTGCTCTGTGGACCCATTCATTTGTGTGCACAGAGAGCATTTCGCTTGCCGTGCAGCTCATTCAAATGCCTGCTCTCCACAGGCAAAGGAGGGCGGTCACATTCAAAATACTTTTCATACATTTGATGTGGCTTTTCGACCTATATTTAAGCGTACTGACTGACTGAACTGTGGAGGCAGAGAGTCAGAGGGAGACAGAGAATGACAGAGAGAGAAGAGACTAATCAATAGTGATCTGGGAGATAGATTGGGAGGTTATAAGCAGGCTCTAGGAGCAGAAATAGAGAGCGCAACAGAGAGAGATGAGAGATAGCTAGAGACAGACAGACATGGACTAATGAAGAGTGGGAGACTAGACTGGGAGGCTGTAGGCAAGCTGTAGGGAGTCAGTCGGGAGGCTGAGGCTCCCAGTCTAATGAATGGAGACTGAACAGCAGCAGAAGGGCCAGCAAGGGCTCACAGTCTGCAGGCAAGCACTGTGCAATGACATCACATGTAGCAGTGGGTAATTAGTCAGCATTGCAGAGCAGCAGTGGGGTGGAGAAGGAGAGGAGAGTGAAAGATAGAATAGAGAAGGGCGAGGAGATTGAAGGATACAAGGGAGGAGAGGGGGCATGCACACCTGCTGAGATACGATTCTCTGCCAGAAGGAGCTGTCAGAATCAACTTTTGAAGGTGCTACTGGAACATCCAGTGTAATATTTCAAGTACAAGAGATAGGGCAATTTGGCCACGTCAAGACCACTCTATTCACATTCGCATTACATCAAACTCCTGGTGGAGATAGCATGCCGGAATTCACCCCACAGAACAACAAGTAGCGAGCAATACACTAGAATATTGCGCTGCTGCTCTAAGCCTACTTACAGCAATTAGCCTATAACGTAAACCCCATGACAGTCATTTGACTGATCGTTTTCAGATCAAAAAAGGGACGTTTTATAGCTGGTGTCTATGTATGCGTCAAACTGTATCTCGTAATAAATCCATATTTCTGCGTGTGTGTTTACATGTTAAAGTAGTGTGTCGAGGGGCAGCCAGTCAGCCAGCTAGGGAGGTATAATGCAGTCTTCCCTCTCTCTCCCCCAGTGTGTTTGCGTGCGCGGGGATGAGGTGCTGCTGGTGATGACTCACCGTTTACAGCACGATCAAAGGCTAAGGTTTATCATGCTGCTGCTGCCGCACTGCTCTCTAGCTGGCTGTCCCTCACAGTCTATTTTGATTCATTACCAGCCTCTAATGAAAGCATGCTGACAGCTAATACTCGCTCCATTTTCCACAATCCACCACTTTCTCTCCACCCCATCTCCGTATTAGTGAAATAAACATTAGTGACAATAGAATGATTAAGGCAAGAGGACGTATGACAAACAAAAGGTTCAAATCATGTTAGCGTTTGAATCATTTAGCTATTTGAAAGTCCATCACCAGTCACCCGTGCGACTATTCATTAACTCTTTAATAATCAACTTGTCCCCGCTTAACCCCTCCAAGTACTGTCCTATTCTCCCGACACTGTGGTTTAAAATTAGCCCTCTGGACTTTACTCGTGGTGCAGGTGGTAAAATGATTTGGGCAAAACAGCCATGGATACATGATCTCTGCAGACAGAGAGTGGAGACATCTAGAAGTCTACGGAGGAATAGCTTCCCCTAGCAGGCGTCCAGCTTTATAACAAACCTGCTACTACTAGTACAGTGTAAGTCCTCCAGCAGCCCCAACAGTACACATTTTGGTTGTAGACCGGCACAAACATACCTCATTCAACGCTTGATGATTAGTTAACAAGTTGAATCAGGTGTGCTTGTCCAGGGCTACAATAAAAATGAGTACTGTTGGGGGAACTTGAGGAATGGAGTTGGAAAACACTGCAGTAGACTATAGACCAGGGTTCTCCAACCCTGTTCCTGGAGAGCTACCCTCCTGTAGGTTCACTCCAACCCCAGTTGTAACTAACCTCATTCAGCTTATCAACCAGCTAATTATTAGAATCAGATGCACTAGATTAGGGTTGGAGTGAAAACCAACAGGACAGTAGCACTACACAGCTGATTCAAATAAGCAACTCATCAAGCTTTGATTATTTGAATCAGCTGTGTAGTGCTATAGACAGTAGTTGATGGAAGCAAGATACGTTTTCATTCTGACAATCTTGCCTTAACAATTAGGAAACGTACTTTTGTGTTCCATCGGCATTCTGCGCAAAGTCTACCAGAGATGCTGTTTCAAAGACATAGCCTTGGTTTCAAAAGAGAACAATACTAGCAAGACTGACACAGCTTAAAAGTACAGGTAGGGTCAAAAACAAAACATCATGAAATCACCAATAACCAGAGACAATCCCAGAAGTGAGCAATCAACTATCCTGCTGAAGGGACTTTAACACCAGAGATTACAACAGGTAAATCAATCTGCAGGCAGACGAGATCAATATCACCAGATAAATGTAGTGGCACCCAAAATACGTCTACTCTGAAGAGTTCGAACAATAGTGAAAGAATGAGCGGGCAATCTGAAAAGATTCAGGGATTGCATAGCTTTCAGAAATCTGCATTTTGAAAACGCAGACCATCAATATCTGCATTTTAAACCATTTCACCTACATTTTATATTGAAAGTCAGTGTTTTTTTTGCTTCAATAGTGATTAGGGGTGAGCAACTATAGCTCACACAAAACAGTGCACACATTCAGCAGAAAATAGCTTCATTATCATCAGATGACAACCGAAGTGCAACGCTATTTTGGCTAGCAGCCACGTATATTAGTTTACGACACACTTTTGGCTAGCAGCCACACGTATATTAGTTTACAACGAAAAAGCAAGTTTTTTTTTGCAAAAACAATGCATGGCCATCATATTTCTAATGTTTATCATAGAAAGAATGTAGCCAGTTAATCTTTGCATTTACTGGAGAAAAGAACACAGGGAGAAGTAGGTACACGTCAGTCAGAGCACTGTCTGCTGATAGAATGGCAGTTCCTGAATGTGGGAAACTGATTGGTCTGACAATGAAAGCCAAGATTTCTCATCCGAGTGGAGAAGCGCAACTGAAGCACAAAATTAGTCTGAAGCCCAGCAGAAACGACGAATAAGAAGCATTTCAGATCTGCGTTTACAAAACACAGCAAGATTTTTCTTATGCGTTTTCTTTTTTTTCTGCGTGAAAAACACGATGCATTAACGCGACCCCTAAGATTGTCAATAATATTGTTGCTCAGGGGCAGAGTTATTTAAAATTCAGCTTATGCAGAAGAATGTGGTTAAGGGACAGAAGAACAGCCTCTTGTAAGAGGGGAAAGATTGTGGTTACAGTGTAGAAAATAGCCTTGTGGAGGTCTGGTGGGTACATATAGTATTCTGGGCTAAATATAGTGTGACATTCAAGGGTTATAGGAAGGCCTGCTCCCTTTAAAACAAATGTTAACGCTGTCCCTAGTAATGCTGTAACCAGTAAAGAAAGCAGATTTTCCAAATAAAAGCTGGAAGTGGTCAAAAGATTAGTGAAAGCACTGGGCTTTAGAATGGAGAAATAGCCTACTAACTAATTAGCAATCCTCTTTCGATTGTCAAGCTGGCAGTAATCTTAAATGACGGCTTAATTTCCTGGGCCAACAGTGAATGAGCTGATTGAAATACATGTGTCAAAAACTCTGGGGCACCCAGCCAAGTAGTGGAGCTGCTGCACTGCACACGCTGTGGAGGAAACAATGTGGAGCTACTCTAGCTTATCAGGGGCAGGGTGTCATGTCAAAATGTTCCCAATTTTCACGTTCTGATTGTTTTGACTGTTCTGATCGATTATGACATGTACATTCCTCACAGTTCAATAATTGCACGCGTCTACTTATGTGGATGGCTGTGCTTGTGCGGATGTCTCCCTCCACACCCTCCCTCACCCATAATTAGCTAGCTAGCGAGCTAGCATAATTAGTGGTCAAGCTGGTCGAGATGGCTTGTTCTCAGAGGTGTGCAGTTTTCGATTGTGTAGCTAAATAAACGATAGCTAGCTAATTAAGGCCGAGGGGGGTGGAGAGACATCCGAATGAGCTCAGCCATCCACATAAGCAGACGTGCGTGCAATTATTGAACTGTGACAATTTTCAGGCTCTGAGAAATTTTACAAAATCACATCACAATCGATCAGAAAGTGAAAATGAGGAGAATTGAATTGAGAACATTTTCACACTGGGAACATTTTCAAATGACACCGGGAAGGGCACTACAGTGGCTGTAAGCTATGGTCACTTGAAAGGAGAGCAAGCTGTGTAAACTCAAGTGTACATTGTCAAATATAGGTGGATGGGTAGAGAATCATTCATTTTCCAAATTAACACATTTCTCAGAGGAACATTCTATCAGAAATGACTAGCCATCCAAAAAAGTGCAAAGTAATAATACTGTAAATTCCTGTCAGCGGAAATGAAAGCGATGATTTGAAAGTTTCTGAACATGCACAAGGCCTAACTAAATGGACAGATAACCCTATCTGATCTCATCCGCGTTTATCCTTAATAAAACACCAACTGTCATGACTACTTACATGAAATTGTGTCTCTAGCTAGCATACATCAAGACAAAATAAATCTACCAACAACAATATTATACAAGGCATGGCCCTGTACAGATCCCCTGCTTTGTCATTACAAATTATACAAACTTTACAATTCACCAAAAACATCCAAATACAAAGCTCAACAAATCCTTGCAATTGACACATTTAAAACCCCCCCAGTTGGAGCTTTACTCTGGCACTTTGACACTGAGCTGGCAGAACAGAATCCAGCTATGACTAGGCCTAAATACTTCTGGTTGTTAATCATCTTGGTGTTTCAATACTCACTGAACAAAGGGCAGGAGAGGACAAGTACCATAACTGACTGATCTAGGGCATTTGAGATCATTCAAGCCTCAAGTATGAGCGGTCTTTCTGTTCGGCATTTCAACCGGTTGACACAGATGCTCAGACACGTGTAGACGATGGTCATTGTAAATCTGGTACTGGCACCGACCCTCTATATAGCTTCCATTCTACAGTTTTTTACTTCCTTTCTTATTTCTCATGTTGATTTTTTTAGTTCTACTCCTTTGATATTGAATACTGCACTGCTGGGAAGGGCCTGCAAGTTAAACATTTCACTGTGCATGTGACAAATAAAACTTGAGACACCAGTCTCAGCTATCGACCCTGCAAAACCTTTTTCAATAATCACAACAGCTTTGAGCAGATATTCAAGCCTTGTACAAAGCCAGGTGTGTGTGGTTCTGATGAAGACCATTGATGGCGGAAAAATTTATATTTTAACTTGAATAAAACAATGCATTTTTAATGGTGAGTGAGTGTTGAGCATTTTCCTTTTCAAAGAATGTCAGCTATGAATATGAGAAAACCGTTGTTAAAAAAAAAAAGATTATGCATGAAAGAATGGGGCAACCATTGTCCAAATCATTGAAATATTGCATATACTATAACATCATGGTATGTTAACTCTAATACAAACCTATCTGATGTTCAAAACAACAAACCCTTGTGCCACTTCTGAAGTTCAAACCAACAAATGAATGTTGCACAGGGGTTTGTAGAACCTACACCACCTACAAACGGATGTGGTACAGGCCATTCATTACTACCATTGAAACCATGCCGTTTTAATCTGGGATCAAACCGAAAATCCCCTCCCCCAAGAGTTCAATCCAGGTCATGCCGGCGATTAGGCACAACAACTTCTATGTGGGGACTGGAGAGAGAGCGGTAAACCAATGTATGCAGGAGAGGCTCTACACAAGCAAGTCCCTGATGTAAAGTGACTTGGCACTTTTTCCACACACTTGGCATGGCCAGATCTGCTGAGTGGACAGAGAGGATCAGCGTCTACACACACAGACAGGATATAAAGCAGACAACAGGGATAGTCCCTGAGGAACGGAACAGGGGTACTGCCTGAACCACCTTATAAAAATAGGATAAATATTGCAGTGGTGGTGGGGACTTATATATATATATATATATATATACACACACACTTAAAAAAGCAGTGCCATTTTTTAAGATTAGCTGCTACACAGACCAAGACATTGCTGGGGAGAGCCCTGAGAGACCTGTGCACCGGCTACAGCAAAAAGACAGACTCTGGTAATTAAGTGTTTTTCAACTCTCGTCTCCAGGGCATGATGAAAGGGGGATAAAAGCATGCCGTGCTGCTGGAAAGCTGCACAACGGAACAGGGTAGCAGACCAGTTCCGGAGATGAGCGTCTTGCCCACACCACAACTTTAAACCAGTTACTAGCTGTGCACACCATCCTGTCCTGTCCCCACATGTGGAACATTGACCTGCAGAGTCTGGTACGGTGCCCAGGCAGACAGCTGGTCTGTCGGAAGCCTCCCTCCGCACATCAGAGGTGAAAAAAGAGAGCGAGAGATACACAGGCCCCAGAATAGCTCAAGGCCCGGACCGGGTCAGTACCACCCTTCCCCGGCCACCTGTCTACTAGGATACCAGCTTTCCAAGGAAGTGATGTCAAGGTGCTGTGGATGACACGGCCCAATGACATGCTCTCTAAGCTAGCATTCACAACTAGCATTCAAGAACAACAGATCTAATCCAAATGAAGAGTGATGAAGGTGAATTGGTTGAGAAATAGAACGAGGCGGTATCTACCATCGACAGGTGACGTTTTCAATCGGGTGCAGAGTCCTTGAACATCCCCATAACTTTCCCTGATTTTGCCTATTGCCTCTGCCCCCCGCAGTTCCATGAGAGACCGCAGGTCCTTTAGCGAGCAGCCAAAGTCCCCATCATGGTTGGCCGTGGACGTGGAGTTCTTCACTCCGCTGTACGAGTTGTTCGCCATAATGTCCCTCTGCGCGCGCGCACCGTCGGCTACGGTGAAAAATGGTGTCCCAAAGGGAGAGCTAAAATCCTCTGCGAGCAAGCCCAGTAGTAGTTCCCATAAACAGCTACAGGTCCTTCAGAGGAGGATGGTGGTGAAGTGAGGAGACTCCAGGTAGAAGGACTTGGACAGATCAAAAGCCATTTCCCTCAGACCGTGGCGTGCCCTATTCTTTCATGTTCACCGAGGTTCACACACGCAGACTCAGAAGACAGCATACGAGGATCTGAAAGAGAAAAAATACATAACGTTGGTCATTCAGAATTCAAATGGCATGTTTCATTTCAATAACAGCACTTATTATGAAAAAGTCACAAGGCAACACACTGATGGTATAATCCAAACTATCAGGCAAAGACGCTTGTAGTCGTTTGCTTCACAGCACCCTTCTGAAAATAGATTGTAGGAACCCCAGGTCACTGGCAAAGACTAATAACCGAGCCCTGTCCATTCATCTTTTACCCCCCCCCCATGTTAGGGACCAAAGTGCAGAATAAAGCACAGCAGTGGTCAGCCTGTTTGAAGGAGGATTCTATTTGATTAAATTCTTAGAACCATCAGAAGGGAATGTGCCAGGTTCGAGCCGGACAGAGGGGTGCACCGGAATCAGGAAGTCAAAAAACGGCAGGAAAGATGACATGTAAAAGGCAGCTTTGTATGAAGAAAGGCAATTCAAATGGTCCGTGATAAAAATGACCCAACCTACAGTGGGGAGAACAAGTATTTGATACACTGCTGATTTTGCAGGTTTTCCTACTTACAAAGCATGTAGAGGTCTGTAAATGTAATTACACTTCAACTGTGAGAGACGGAATCTAAAACCAAAATCCAGAAAATCACATTGTATGATTTTTAAGTAATTAATTTGCATTTTATTGCATGACACAAGTATTTGATCACCTACCAACCAGTAAGAATTCCGGCTCTCACAGACCTGTTAGTTTTTCTTTAAGAAGCCCTCCTGTTCTCCACTCATTACCCGTATTAACTGCACCTGTTTGAACTCGTTACCTGTATAAAAGACACCTGTCCACACACTCAATCAAACAGACTCCAACCTCTCCACAATGGCCAAGACCAGAGAGCTGTGTAAGGACATCAGGGATAAAATTGTAGACCTGCACAAGGCTGGGATGGGCTACAGGACAATAGGCAAGCAGCTTGGTGAGAAGGCAACAACTGTTGCCGCAATTATTAGAAAATGGAAGAAGTTAAAGATGACGGTCAATCACCCTCGGTCTGGGGCTCCATGCAAAATCTCACCTTGTGGGGCATCAATGATCATGAGGAAGGTGAGGGATCAGCCCAGAACTACACGGCAGGACCTGGTCAATGACCTGAAGAGAGCTGGGACCACAGTCTCAAAGAAAACCATTAGTAACACACTACGCCGTCATGGATTAAAATCCTGCAGCGCACGCAAGGTCCCCCTGCTCAAGCCAGCGCATGTCCAGGCCCGTCTGAAGTTTGCCAATGACCATCTGGATGATCCAGAGGAGGAATGGGAGAAGGTCATGTGGTCTGATGAGACAAAAATATAGCTTTTTGGTCTAAACTCCACTCGCCGTGTTTGGAGGAAAAAGAAGGATGAGTACAACCCCAAGAACACCATCCCAACCGTGAAGCATGGAGGTGGAAACATCATTCTTTGGGGATGCTTTTCTGCAAAGGGGACAGGACGACTGCACCGTATTGAAGGGAGGATGGATGGGGCCATGTATCGCGAGATCTTGGCCAACAACCTCCTTCCCTCAGTAAGAGCATTGAAGATGGGTCGTGGCTGGGTCTTCCAGCATGACAACGACCCGAAACACACAGCCAGGGCAACTAAGGAGTGGCTCCATAAGAAGCATCTCAAGGTCCTGGAGTGGCCTAGCCAGTCTCCAGACCTGAACCCAATAGAAAATCTTTGGAGGGAGCTGAAAGTCCGTATTGCCCAGCGACAGCCCCGAAACCTGAAGGATCTGGAGAAGGTCTGTATGGAGGAGTGGGCCAAAATCCCTGCTGCAGTGTGTGCAAACCTGGTTAAGACCTACAGGAAACGTATGATCTCTGTAATTGCAAACAAAGGTTTCTGTACCAAATATTAAGTTCTGCTTTTCTGATGTATCAAATACTTATGTCATGCAATAAAATGCAAATTAATTACTTTAAAATCATACAATGTGATTTTCTGGATTTTTGTTTTAGATTCCGTCTCTCACAGTTGAAGTGTACCTATGATAAAAATTACAGACCTCTACATGCTTTGTAAGTAGGAAAACCTGCAAAATCGGTAGTGTATCAAATACTTGTTCTCCCCACTGTATACTGGCTAAAGGGCAAAATAGGACAGTGAATGACCAGTGGATCCACTAGGGCAGTGGTTCTCAAACTTCTCTTCGGGACCCCCAGACGTTTCAAAAATGTGTTGTAGCCCTGAACTAGCACACCTGATTCACCTGGTCAAGGGCTTGACGATTAGTTGACAAGTTGAATCATGTGCGCACACTCTGGAATATATCAAATACATGGAACGGCTGGGGGTCCCAATGGAGAGGTTTGAGAATCACTGCTCTAGAGGAAAGGAATTTACCACTGAAGGGGAGGCGGGGGACGCACTTCCTACTCCCTCTCTCAAAGTGGTCACCAGCTGGGCAGTCGGTTTTATTCACTGTCTGCATTAGTGTCTGGGTGTAACAATGAACTGAATGAGAAAGAGAGGAAAAGAAGAGAAGAGAGAGAGAGAGCGCTTCCCTTTTTAAAGTCGGATAGGAACATAATAATCATAATTGTATCTGCGTCAGGCCAAAATCCCTACATATTTTAAGACGCCCAGAAAGAGAGCGCTTTAACGAGGGCGCGAATGTGGTACATTCACACAACAAGTAACAATTTAATCTCAGTAACTGGACAAATGAGAGCAACCCAATGAACCCACTACTTTCAGACTCATTTTTGGGAAACTAGTCGGTCACATTCGTCAATTCTATTTGGAGCCATCTGCCATGGAAAAAGGGCAGGATTTATTATTCTTTACACAACATAATTGCAGGGCTGGTTGCATTTCTGAGGTGACATAAAACCTAATTTGAGAGGGAAATATCCCTTGTGCTGGCCACAAGTTTTGGGTGAGATTGAAAGGTACGCAGAGGTCTCCACCAAAATATTTCATGTGGTAGTGTTTAAAAAAATTTTTTTGTCAGATGTGTGAAAACACAAAGTGAAACTTTTTACCTTTGCCTAAGTGGAACTTATACTCAAATTTTAGTGTGGCCCATTTATACTAATTGAAACCCTCTGGCAACTTGCATTCTGCCTGACAGGAACGGCATCTTTCCACAACTTAAGACAAATTCAAGTGAATTTCCACTGTGGCCCAGATTACTTACCATGTTAACTTGCCTATTGCTGTGTGTGACTCGCTCGATGCGTTTTTTTTCTTCTCCTAAATGGCCCTCTAAAAATGGTTGGCATATTTGAGTTGCCCTCAGCACCCAGCAAACGCACATGTTCAACCCCAAAGTAATGGTGGCGGCCCAACTCCATTTCCCCTGTCCTCACATCTTATGCTCTGAGCCTGCACCACCAAGATGAAGGAAGTGCCAACATTTGCTGAGCGGTGACAGTTTCGGGTTGCGGAACAGGTCACATGTCACAACAGTGGAAAATCATTGTGATTGGATCTCTGAGCTAACAGCTGGCATGGTATGGTTGAACAACGACAGGAGCCAGGTTAACCCTTTGTGCACGACACCAGCAAAACCCTTACTAAGTAAGAGAAGACCAAAGAAAGCTATTGAGGTTTCACAACCGTATAAGAATAGACATTTGTCATAAAAAAGCCCAGCAGTTTCTCCTTTCCTGGGAGCAGAAAGTATTAAATGTACCAGCTCTCTATGGCCAAACGGTGCAAATGTTATCTGTTCAAATGACAACGTGTGGTGCTGGACTTCCAAGCAATGCCCCCAAACTAAGGAAACCCTCTTGGTCATGGTTGGCACTTTGAACCCCTCTACATGCCAACTTATTCGATGTGAGTCAAGGACAGCAATTCCAGGGATCCCTCTGCTATGGTCTTGCTGGTGCGGATGGGGTATTTTTAGCGTCCTACACAGACTACCCCTCCCTGTCCCCATCCCCCCACTCTGGCCACTGCTGAAGTGGGTCAGGGCATGTAAATGTGGAGGGTACAAAGTAGAGGCAGGCACCCAGACTTACTCATATCATGCAGCATGGCTCAGTGCTATCAGAGGGCCACTTCACACCAGAGACTGGGCACTTCTCTACTTTACTCTGTCTCCTACACGACCAGCCTGCCAATTCACGACACCATGCAGAGGTGTCCCCACCCGGCGTCAACTCTACGACAAACTTCCTTTTCCCAGTTCTCTTCTGCTAATTTAAATCGAGACTTGTGATCGTCTCTGGGAGGACATTTAAAAATCTTCCTTTTCCGTCTCCACTTTCTCTTCTGTACAAGCAAATGAAATCAATTGAGCCTCTTCGGGGTTTTTAAGGGGATAGAGGTAAATTTATGGAGGCTAGGGTTTTATTTAACTTGTATGTCCTTCATTTTCAAGAGCAGGCCATATTTGATCAAGTAACTTTGAAGATGAGAGCCCTTGGGCTCCTTTTTTAACTGACTCTGCTGGGCAGCTCTACGGCCTGAGGTAGGGCTGGGCAGTATGCCGTATTTGACTATATACACCGGTATTGATGCATGGACCGGTTTGGGTTTTTACTTGACCTTCTATAACGGTATTTGAATGTTTGGTTTATTAAATGTGATACGCCGCGTGGAACGTCCATTTTGATAGTTTACTCCGCTACTGGAGTCATCTCTCTCCGCGCCGCTTTCCACACAGACCTAGCCCCGCCCCCGTCACTCAAGGAGTGCATTTGTTGTTGCTCGACCAGAGACACTTTCGTTCAGTCTGCGTGGTCAATGCAGCACAAGCAACAATGTTGATGACAACGATGCCGTTTTCATTTTCTTAATATAAATCCACTAGCATTCTATAATTACACTATTAGTTTGTGTTTCTTACATCTGCAGATGGCTAGTTTTTCTTTTCTTAGCAAGTTGGGCCTAAATCGTGTTAGCCGCAAATGCTAATCGCTAGTTAGCTGGCTAGCTAATAAAATGTACTAAGTCAGAGCAAACGTAACTAGCTATACAGCCTGATAATACCAGTGATGGTGTAGACCTAAATCAGCATGTTGTTTGTGCAACAGTATCTTCTAAATCGAAGAGGAATACGTGCAGCATGAATATGTTAGCTACATGAAGTAGCTATGAGAAAACATTCAATGTAGCCAAAGATTATAGGGTCCCCTAGGAAACACAACACTTTGGTTCCTACCCTATCACAAGTACTCCTCCCTGGCATTTACATTTGTTGTCATGTCAAAACGCTGTATTCAAAGTGCCCACTATTATATTCTAACTATAGAATTAAAATAATCAGTCTATTTCCATGATTCCAACAGTTCACCCAAGTGTTTTGCTCTAAATAGCAAGTCAAATCGCAATTGCAACATTTGGTTAAAAATAAGGCCTAGATTGTTTGCCCATATTGTGCAGCCCTAGGTGGCAGTGGGAAATGATCTCAAATGAGTGCAAATAGATGAATTGTTTTTGGTTTCAGTTGAATTGAACTGTATAAAACAATCAGAATGGAGAAAGACCCATTGAAATATTTTAGAATGTATGTATGTATGTATGTATGTATGTGTTGCCACAATAGGGTCACGTACTACTCGTAAAGCACATTTAGAACTTGTATAATTCAAAAACATAAAATACGCCAAAAATTTGAAAAATACAGTGATATTATATTTTGTCCATATCGCCCAGCCCTAGCCTGAGGGCATGCTGCCCTGACATTTACTACCATTGTGTGACCTGCTCTCCCCACTATTTCTGATTAATCATGGGGTTTCCTCTGTAGCTCAATTGGTAGAGCATGGCGCTTGTAACGCCAGGGTAGTGGGTTCGATCCCCGGGACCACCCATACGTAAAAATGTATGCACACATGACTGTAAGTCGCTTTGGATAAAAGCGTCTGCTAAATGGCATATTATTATTATTATAATATCGGTCAAATGTTGCACTCCTTGATTGGGTTTAAGCAAATAAACTGGGTGGTCAATTGAGATTGTAGCCTACAGATTAAAAACGCATTTACCAGGCTAATTTCAAACTAAATAAAATGTAAGATTATATGCATACAGTGAGGGAAAAAAATATTTGATCCCCTGCTGATTTTGTACGCTTGCCCACTGACAAAGACATGATCAGTCTATAATTTTAATGGTAGGTTTATTTGAACAGTGAGAGACAGAATAACAACAACAAAAAAACAGAAAAACGCATGTCAAAAATGTTATCAATTGATTTGCATTTTAATGAGGGAAATAAGTATTTGACCCCCTCTCAAATCAGAAAGATTTCTGGCTCCCAGGTGTCTTTTAGAAAAGGTAACGAGCTGAGATTAGGAGCACACTCTTAAAGGGAGTGCTCCTAATCTCAGTTTGTTACCTGTATAAAAGACACCTGTCTACAGAAGCAATCAATCAGATTCCAAACTCTCCACCATGGCCAAGACCAAAGAGCTCTCCAAGGATGTCAGGGACAAGATTGTAGACCTACACAAGGCTGGAATGGGCTACAAGACCATCGCCAAGCAGCTTGGTGAGAAGGTGACAACAGTTGGTGCGATTATTCGCAAATGGAAGAAACACAAAAGAACTGTCAATCTCCCTCGGCCTGGGGCTCCATGCAAGATCTCACCTCGTGGAGTTGCAATGATCATGAGAACGGTGAGGAATCAGCCCAGAACTACACAGGAGGATCTTGTCAATGATCTCAAGGCAGCTGGGACCATAGTCACCAAGAAAACAATTGGTAACACACTACGCCGTGAAGGACAGAAATCCTGCAGCGCCCGCAAGGTCCCCCTGCTCAAGAAAGCACATATACAGGCCCGTCTGAAGTTTGCCAATGAACATCTGAATGATTCAGAGGAGAACTGGGTGAAAGTGTTGTGGTCAGATGAGACCAAAATCGAGCTCTTTGCCATCAACTCAACTCGCCGTGTTTGGAGGAGGAATTCTGCCTATGACCCCAAGAACACCATCAAACATGGAGGTGGAAACATTATGCTTTAGGGGTGTTTTTCTGCTAAGGGGACAGGACAACTTCACCGCATCAAAGGGACGATGGACGGGGCCATGTACCGTCAAATCTTGGGTGAGAACCTCCTTCCCTCAGCCAGGGCATTGAAAATGAGTCGTGGATGGGTATTCCAGCATGACAATGACCCAAAACACACGGCCAAGGCAACAAAGGAGTGGCTCAAGAAGAAGCACATTAAGGTCCTGGAGTGGCCTAGCCAGTCTCCAGACCTTAATCCCATAGAAAATCTGTGGAGGGAGCTGAAGGTTCAAGTTGCCAAACGTCAGCCTCGAAACCTTAATGACTTGGAGAAGATCTGCAAAAAGGAGTGGAACAAAATCCCTCCTGAGATGTGTGCAAACCTGGTGGCCAACTACAAGAAACGTCTGACCTCTGTGATTGCCAACAAGGGTTTTGCCACCAAGTACTAAGTCATGTTTTGCAGAGGGGTCAAATACTTATTTCCCTCATTAAAATGCTAATCAATTTATAAAATTTTTGACATGCATTTTTCAGGATTTTTTTGTTGTTATTCTGTCTCTCACTTTTCAAATAAACCTACCATTAAAATTATAGACTGATCATGTCTTTGTCAGTGGGCAAACGTACAAAATCAGCAGGGGATCAAATACTTTTTTCCCTCACTGTATGTCTCTCTGGGCTGTCCAACAGGACTGTTTTCTTATATGCAGACTGACACAAATACATATGTAAAAGGTATCCATACAAAAATGTTTTGCCTAAATTAAGAAAATGCTCTTTATCTTTAATATGTCTCTATGCCAATTTGATTAAAACGAGAACACATGAGAAATCCGAAAGAGAAGGAAATATGAGCTTTCGTGGCTGTTTAGACTCTAGCCTAATTGAGCCACCATGAGTCAGACTCAACTTGCCCTTAAACTGCAGTGTGGAATATCCTTGCCCTTACAATATTGAGGAGATACGCAACACTCCAGCGTGAGTAAAAAGCAGCATCATACAATGTAGGCTTACTTAATACAGCAGACTACATTTAGCTTTCCATGAGAGCCTACATGGGGTTGAATGTCACCTCAGATTAATGTGACAAAGGCGCCATTGCCTCTTACAGTAGGGGTCTTGGTTACTAAGTTTCCTTAGTAGGTCTTACAATAGTAAGACAACAGGAGGATTATAGTAGTAATTTCTTAGATTTGATGTTGTATGTTAGATTTCCTGCAAATTACAGACAATGTTCAACATGAGTGGGAAATATGGTTTAGCAGGTTGCCAGTGAAGTAAGCATGCATCAGGCAACCCTGCCAGGGTCCATATCAACTATGAGTCTGGGATGCAGGGTCTACAGGGCCAAATCATTACCTGGAATAGACAGCACATTGTCTGAAACTTTGTTTAACAGGTTAATAATGTTATGGCATAGTACCTACCGAATCCTAATAGTAACTATTCGACAATTGCAATATACATGTTATATTTTGACACCTGTCTATTCTAAATTCCGTTAATATTAACTACATAGCCTACTGCTGCTCAATAATCCTAATTTACCAAGAAATGTGTTACGACGACAAGACTGAAATCCTATAGCTATTCTACTGAGGTAATGTCGGCCTACCAATTTAATTAGGTTAAACCCTCTGACTGAAGCACAACAAATCACTTTAACCACTCAAAGGCATATGTTTCCTTTCCAAAACAATGCAAGACCAGAGACAGATGACTTAAAATCCTATTCAGTACTAGTAGCAGACTAATAATTAGTCAGTCGATCGTGAAACTCCTCATGAATCATTGGCATAGAAATCTTATGCAATACACAGAACATACACCTATTTTAATAATTGAACAGGGACAAAAGCAAGTGAGAAGGGTTATATTACTGTATGCTCAGTTTTAGTCTGCTGGACTGCATCTGGTTCATTCCTGAGTGGCTGCAACAGTTTTGGTTAAAACTACAGCCTCAGACACACTGTCAAAGGTTGGTTTTTTTGATGGGTGAGGTGAATCATTAAAAAAAAATTATGGATCTCTAAAAGGCAAATGTCTAGAAGATAGAAATCCCACTCCTAAATACAACTCCTATTGAATGCCATTAATGTTTTCAGAATGCAACGAAATCTTGATAATTGACAGCAGTCAGCAGAGAGAACAATGATATTTCACACATCTCAGAACACCCTGACCCAAAACAAGCATAAACTCATATCCTACCCTGATATGGGTTAAAAACGTTATTTTATACAACTTGTCCAATTATCACCATTCCTCTCTTACATGACTCCAGCATTGCAAATTCTTCAAATATATTATGGATGCATATTAATGCACATTACTAGACTTCAATACAAGCGTTGCACGGATCAATGGAATTCCCAATGTTTGCAACTTGAAGACACAGATTCACAAACGATAAGTGATTGTAATCCACATGGTCAACCAGCAGCGTTCATTCGAAGCTCAGCATTCAGCACAGAGACTCGAATGCATTGCTGGCAAAGCGCAGCAAGCCGGGTGCCATTTAATAGGATAAGGACTGATCCCTTCTCTTAAGACACCAAAACGTGATAGGAGACGAGCTATCACACTGGGACCAGTACACAAGCGTTGCAGTAGGAAAAGAGAAGATGGAGAAAATTGCCTTTGGACTATCTGTAGTCAAGGTCAAATGATCGGTTCCGTTGCCTAGTCATAACGTGAACAAATAACGCGTGAGGTTGGTAGCTAATGGTGGCACACTGAGCGAAAACAAAGCATGACTGGGTAATGGATAGTAGCTAGTTAGATGGATCAACTATGGGCAATGCTGCAACTAAATAGATACACCGGCGGTAATGTCACTTGTTAACTTTAGCTGTACTAAGTTGAAACTTCGCTATCTCAGCTGTTATCCAGAGTGCATATCAGCAAGCTGATATGCATGACAGGTTCCAAAGACAGAGTTCAGACAGAACTGCTAGTAGCTAACTTAACGATATGTTGCGGCGTAGCTACGGTTGCAAAACATTTAACGTTAAAAGGTAGGTTGGACAATGTTAGCAGCTGGTTCACTAACGTTAACCTGCTAGGCTAGCTTCACCTAGCTAGCTAGTTTCTGCACACAGTTAAGTAACATTAGCTAGCTATATCCTTCGTTTAAACTGGGTAACATTTGCTGTCAGTCAGGACTAATGTTACCTAGCTAACAAGTCGGCTATGTCACAAGGCAACCACTGGTTACTACTCTAGCTAGCTAACGTTAGTAGTTATAGACAAGTGAGTAACGTTAGCTAGCTAGCCAGCTAACGTTGGCTAAGCAACTGGGCACCTGACGTTAGAACTGACCAGTGCAGTGGAATAACACCATGGAATAATTTCAAGTGGACTGCCAGTCGTCGAGGCTTAATGTTAGGTAGCTAACCGGCAAAATTGCCAATGTACCCAAGCAAAATGTAAGCAAACTACAATTTCTCAATTAAAAATAGTGTACCAAATGTAACAGTACCATAAAGAAACGGACATTGTCCCTGTGCAGCAAGAAAGCTAGCCAACTATCTAAATTACGCTAACCTAACTACAGGTTATCGACTCCTTGTGGAGTGCACTGCATGTGTCAAGTCAACTATTAGCCAACTACGATAGCAAGTTCAGGCTGAGTAAAAAGAACCCAGCCATTATGATTCTGGATTAATTAAATTGGAGTCCGAGTCGACTAGTATGGCTGGACTCAAATAACGTTCACATAGTTAGCTACTCACGCAAATAATACAACAAGCTATTTGAGCCACTTGGTTATTTCAAGTGGTTTTCACCACGATGTTTGCTTATTTTTCACTCCTGCTTAGTACAGTAGGGCTTCGGCTTCAACATCCACCTCCTGTCCACGAGCTCCTCCAAAGCTACAGTGTGTGCAGTCGAGCCCATTTCTAAATAACGTTACACCGCTAACGTTATTTAGCTACACAACTTTTCAAACACCAAGTCACCCGCGAGTTAGTATTTTCACGCGTTACAACACGTTGGAAATTCCATTAACTCGTCACTAAGAGCCGGTGTTGGAAAATGTTAGGTAGGTTAATGTCCGAAGCAAATTGTGGTGTAAAGAACTAGAAGCCCAATGTCAGTTGTTCCATCTTCTTACCCAAGTGGAAGCTAGCTTGAAGCTAGACATGAACTCATGAGCAGCTGCACTGAGCTAGCTAACGTTTACCGTTGAGCTAAAACTGTAGTAAGGAGATAAAACCAAACCGTCCCGCTATTGCTTACCAGAATCAAAGCTTGGCTTGTGTCCATGTCACAACTTATCGAAATATATATTTGTGTGCAAAAAAAAATTCTAACAAAGTACTTACTCCGTTCTCCGAATATTACCTCTGAGCCCTTCCTCTCTTTCGCTCTCCTCAGTCTCTCACTACAGACTGCCCCTCTTTCTCGATCTGTGGTAAAATCCCGCCCACTACACTGTCACAACATCGCAAGGGACATGTGATTCACGTCAGGGGGATGGGCAAGAACGCCAATATAGATCCCCATTGGCTTAACCAACATATCAGTCGCCCGTGGAAACGGTTACGTCATCAATTCCATTCCCGGATGGAGATCCTCTAGCACCCACTCTTTGCCCCGTCTTACTTTATAAAAATCTGATGGATGCAAAGATCAGTTCTTGCCTCGTATGATTTAACCAACATTAAATGTGCACTGATATCTGTTTATTTGTGTGTATATCTCCCTGGCTCTGTCGGTTGTGTTAGCTCCACCCACCTTCCCCGGCGGCTAATCAAACCTGACGTCATTCTTTCCATGACGTCGCGATTTTTCTATGTATTCAATGCTTCTATGTTTGATTCTTCAGCACATAAGGGTGAAGGAGGGACATATTCGTTTGGAATGGCTACATCATCTGCCTATTATATTGCAGTGATTATATATATATATATATTGCACAAATCAAGTTTGAATCACAACAAGGACTGACTATCTGAGCAGCCTACCAACACACACACACACACACACACACACACACACACACACACACACACACACACACACACACACACACACACTTACCTTTGCAGAAGTAGCATGCATTGCATTGTACACCAAAATCTGTTCTGAAATAGCGGTAGCTTATTCTCTTCCAAAAGTGCCGGACATACTCATATTATGCATAAGGCTAAAATGTCAAAGTACAGAGTACATAAAATGTCAAAGTACAGAGTACATAACATCTTGCACTAAACTTCAGCATAATATAAGTGTCAATAATCGGAGTTTAACAATGAAGCTCTACATTACCTCTGAGTCAATCCATTGATAATAGTGAACTTCAAATAGTGGGGTTGTTCCTGGAATGAGGGTGTAAGATCAGGTTGTGAGCTGGTTGATGTCACATTTCCAAAGGCACACAGGAGATGCCATGAGAGGTGCAAGAGAGCTGTGTGTGAGCCTCGCTGGACAAGGTCGCCCTTGAATGTGTGTGTGGGAGTGTGTGTGCAAGTGTGTGTGCGAGTGTGTACGAGTGTAGGTGCACAAGTGTGTGTGCGCGTGTCGGTGTGTGTGTGTGTGTGACATCTGGCTACCATTGATCTGTGTATTCTCTGCACCCATTATCTGACCCATATTGATCGGAGCATACATAATGCTGCATAATCTCTGCCAGGCTGGCTCTATGATTATTACATCAAAGCAATGCATGCAGGTTTTCAACTGTGTAAAGAATGCACATATTATTTCCTCTATGTAGCTTGAATGCCTTTATTGTTTCATACAGTAATTAACAGTGTTTATATTGCAGTTGCAACATCGATTCTTGAAAATCCATTCTTGCATGCAAATGAAAATAACCAAACCCAGGATTCTTACATGGTTGTTAAAATACCAGTATCACAATCCTACGATCCTTGATTTTCCATGGCAAAGAGGCAAACATGAAGCAGACTGAACTCTTTAAAAACCTACTTTATGTAAAATATTGTTTGCTATAGCTTGGAAAATAAACACGTGACCGATTGACAACTTTAGGCTGTTTGTTTCCAACATTAGGATTGTTTTCCTTATAAAATTAAGTTTACTTCATGTTTTGTTTCCTTGCCATTATATTTCTAAGTATTGCAATACTAGTATCTTGACACAACCCCACTCATGATGCAGAATTTTCTCCTAAAATTAACTGACCTACAGTATATTACATACAGGAGCAGTTACCCCATTGGTAATTTCTGTGTACAAGAGTGCATTTTGCACATTAAGTCTGAACTCTCACCGTTGGGGGTTTTAACAATCCTATAAACATCAAAAGGTGCAACACTCAAACAATTAAGAAATGCAATGAATTAAAATGATGAAATACCCATAACATATATAATTTGTAGTCTAAATCATGGTCCTGAATGGATTTGTAATTCAGAAAAGGTATTTATAATCCAGAATTTTATTATGCGGTAAACAGCATTTGGGTCATGTTACAGCTTTGTGATTTAGACCCTTATGGGCCCTAGTCAAAAGTAGTGCACTGAAAATAGGGAATAGGGTGCCATTTTTTTTTATTTTCTTTATTTTTTTACCTTTATTTAACTAGACAAGTCAGTTAAGAACAAATTCTTATTTACAATGACGGCCTACACCGGCCAAACCCGGACAATGCTGGGCCAATTGTGCGCCGCCCTATGGGACTTTTTTTTTTGGGACGACTCAACCCCAAATCACTTGTTTTGCACAGTGGACCTTGGGTTGATCAACAGAAAGCAGCCTGTCCTCAGGACTACCACATAGGTTGCATCCCCAATGGCACCCTATTCCCTATGTAGTGCACTACTTTTGACCGGGACCCATAGCCATATACTACCTGCTCTTCCCTTAATGGGTCACATTGTTTTACTTCGAAAAACAATTTACCGCTCCGGATTTATAAACAGGAGAAAGAAGTTGTTTAAACGCTGTGTAATTTGGACCTAAATGTGGCAATGTTCAATCGGTAGGTCTGAATCACAACCTTGTGTCAGAGAGGAACAGAACAGAGAGAGGGGAAGGAAATGAACACAACATAAATATCTCCAGTCCTCCCTTTTCGGCTTCCCTCACAGCCATCTCTGGGACTAGGTGTCAATGACCGCTGTTGACTTGAAGTTCAAACCAGAAGCATTTCACCACAGGAGTTATGCAGCTGATATCTTTTCACAAGTAATATGCAGGCCTCTCATGAGCCACATGAGGCAAGCAAACAAGTTTCCTTGCAGGCCTTCCAAATCCTGCTCAGCTGTGGGAAAAACGGTATACTAGATGGTGATGGGGTGCAAGTTTGCCAAGGGT